AATCAAGATCACAACAAACAAAACAACAACTAACTTCTTCGTTCAAATTCTTATTGAATCGATTTACTCTCTAATTTTTTTAGTGTTTAGGTTCATTAGCTTGAGATAAAAAAATAACAAAAAAATCATTTTTGATTGAAAAAAAGCTTTTTCAGAAGCTTCATCGAGGAGGAAATTTGTTTTCTTCTGGCATGAAAATGACGCTTGTTTTGATTACACTACATAGAAAATTAATTTGACTTCTGGAGCGTGCTAAAAAAACATAGAAAGAAGATCGAAAAACAGTAGTTGTGCCACCAGCGAGGGTATAAACCAAAGAAGATAATCAACGCGTTTCATACAAAGACCGATTCCATCAAAAACACTCGAAGTGCACAAAAACACTCACATGAACAAAGAAATAAAGTTCTTAAAATGTCGAGTTTGATTGCCCTTTTTGGCTTGCTTGCATTTACGCATTTTTTAAAAAAAAAACCTTTGGAAATCACAATAAATGATTAACACGGTTCAAACCCATTTGAACTGAATTTGATGAAAAACTTGAAAAAAATAGGAAATTTCAATATCACAGTTCATAAATAAGATATATGACTAAAAAAAATGTTCTCAACAACGTTTTTCTAGTTATTAATTAAACACTTGGAATTAAAATATGAAGAGGGAATAAAAATGTAATATTTTTAAATGAAAGCACGGAAATTCAATCATTTTTTTCTTTTTGAAAAATAAAATCTTATGGTTTAGAAGTTGACTTTTCCAACTATCGATTTAAAAAATGATTGAAAGTTATGAATAGTTTAATGAAAATGTTGGAAAGAAACTACGAATAATATGTCAAAAACAGAAAATGAATTGTGAACATATAGGAAAGTCAATTGGAAAGCTACGATAATGAAGTTTGAGCAAAACATGAAAACAAATACACGCAATTTTTTGATAGCTCGGATACTTGATATATATTTTTAAAATCAGAGAAAAAACAATAAAACAGTGAAAAGGATTAGAAAAAAGCACATGCAACCAAAGCTCCAAACGGTACACTTTAAAAAATAGTGTAACCGATACCGAAAGGGTGAAGGAACGAAGGGCTTAATCGATCGATGTACCTAGCAAGGAGGTACTTGCGAGCGGTCAGCCACAGTCCACTCCGCGAAGGAAAAGGGAGGGGTCGACCTCCTACCCCATGTCGCGTTCTTCTCCGCGGACAGGCCAGCGAGCAGTCGTTGGTATGCAAATTCAGAGGGAACTAAAGCAAACGCCCCTACGATTTTGATAGGTGCATGTTGCTTTTGCTTCAAATCACTTGCGCATGCTCCCGGACTGTTTGGACAGGCGCTTTTAAGTGCGACGCCCTGATTGCTGTTTGTGTCACTGATAAGTTCTAAGGAACGTTTGCAACAGTACAGCTCATGAAAAAAGCAAAATAGTCATTTCATGATAAGAAAAGTGATCTACTACGGGATGCGATTGTAGCAGTGCCTTTTGGAACAATCAGACGTTACCAACATGTTTGATTTTCAGCATGCAAGTATAACCATTCAATCCGTCTCATTGAGATACATACGAATATCATAAAATTATTGAGCGCTAGTAAGAAGAAATAACTTTATGATGTGCAAAAACCAGAAAAAAACTCCAAAACGTTCAAAAATTTCGCTGCTTTTTTCGACGCCGATTTAATTCAACTATTGCTACTACGCCATGAGAAAAAAATCTTTCAAAATAGAAAAACATTAGAAAATTATTCAAAGACAACAATGCAAAAAAAGAAAAAAAAATGAGAAATCACAGTAAAAATAACCGACTGCGTCGAAGCCCACCTTTACGCACACTTTGAAAAATATCTTTGGAGGAATACCTAGGGTTTTTCGACAAGTTCCTGCTGTAAAAACAAGAAGTTTTATTCAGAATATTTGTTTCAAGGCAATGATAGAACATTTTGAATTACTACGCAACAATTTTTCTGATTTTGAACAAGAACGGCGTGAATTTACTAAAAAAAAATCATCAGAAAAACAAAAACCTCCCATGAAAATAAACTCAAAACATTACACACCTAATTTCACCACATTTTCCTCTATCTTGAAATTGCAAATCTATACTTGGAAACATTGGATGACCTATATCAAAAGTATTTAATAAACCGCTGGACCAAGACCAAGAAGATTAAGCGGCAAAAGGACAATGGCGTGAAAAGAAGAGCGCAGAAAAAGGTAACGACTGGAACTATACGTTTGTGTCATGCCTGGATGTCAAACACAAGGTCAATTCTTCGCGCCAATCGCAGCAAACTGCCTTGAGGCCGTGGGAAAAAGACGGCAGATTACTTGAGAAAGATCAAGAGATAAACTCAATTTTTGACGGATATGAAGAATCATTGTAGCCAGATTGTGCGGCACAGGCGCGACGTTCCGCCGATCGCCGCTTCAGATAATAGTGACCTTGCATTTTTGGCGCATTGCATGTTTTTTGTGACACGGGTTTGTAGTGTAGGCCAGATGGAATGTCAAGGAATGGAAATAAAGCTGGGCTTGAAATATTGAAAGAAAGGCGTTCTCAGAGAATGATGTGTAATCAAAACAAACCCGGTGTGAAACCTTAAGAAACAAAAACATGTCATCTGTGGAACAAGAAAATTGGACTTTTGGAAACATTTAGAAAAACAACAACAGAAAAAATTGCGGACTCAAAAATGAAATGGCGCCTCTTTTCAAATCGTGAAAAGGCGCCAAACAACATAATTCCACCTTTCATAAAAAGGTAGTTTTAGGTTTAAAAAAATCATATCTTCTGAAACTTGTATTCTGGGAACTACAGCTATTGAAATACATTATTTTTTGACGTGACTTTTTTCTTTTTCAAGAAATTTTTTTGAAGCAAAAAGATTTAAAAAAACCTCTACCCTTTGATTATTTCTACGTTGAAAAGTCTCAAATTGGTTGTGCTATTGTTAAAAAATGCCTATTTTAAGAAAAAAATTCAAAAGATTCCAAAATGAACTCGACAAAAGCTCTCAACACGAATTCTTGAGGTATACTCGGCTGGTTTTTGTTCTAGAAATGCTTCCTTCTTTCCAGCTTTGTTCTGCTTCGCGGACCTTACTGAAAAGGAAACACATTACCAAAAATAACACACTTCCTAGGAATGGAAGAAAATATTCGAAAGAGTGGGTTTTTTGGTTGCAAACTAAACACCTTTTTTTTTCGGTATACAAGGATATTATGTAGAATGACAGAAATGAAATTTTGTTTCTATTTTTTATAAACATTTAAAAGAGCTTTGGTGAGCACCAAAAAGACGCGCACCTGAGAGGAAATGGACGACAGTTTTGAGTTTTCGGCGTTGACACATCACGACTTCGCGTCATTTTTTCTCCTGTTTTATTTGCAGATAAAAAGCCAATTTTTTTAAATACTACGTTTTGTTTCATTAAGTACATTGCATCAAAAAGTATAATTATAATAGCTCAGCTTCGTACACAAATCGATAATAAAAAAGCTTTTTAAACCAAAAAAAAAAACGAGCGATTTGAAAAATTAATAGAACGGAGGAATAAAAGTGATTTTTCTGGCTACTAAATAAAAATTTTTTTCTGAAAAAAACGAAATTTTTTTGTATTTTTTTATTCGACACATGAAAAAAATTTGAACAAAGGTGAGAGGGTCAATAATTTTTTTGAGCTTTAAGTTTCCGAAGAAAATTTCAAGACAAAAACACTTTCAAAGGTTTCGGGAAACCTTTTTAAACATTTTAGAAAAACTCGATGAAGTTATAAGACTTTTTATTTTCTATTGTAGCCACACCACATGAAATTGCGTCAAATGGTTAAAATCATGTTGATTGGCCTCACAGAAAACGAAAAAACTCCAAAAACGCATTGGCAGTTAAAATTGCAGCCAATTAACAGCTGCACGGCACCGTTCGCCAACTTTCTTCAAAACCAGTAGTAAATAGATTTCAATTAGTTTTTTTCTTTGAAATTGAGCAAAGAGAGCGACTGGCAGGAATTTCTTTTTCCTAATAATAATTTTTTTAAACTTTAGAGAATAAAAAAAATTTGGATTTTTGCGGCTCTCGTTTTTCTGATCAGGAGCATGAGCTGAATTTGCAATCTTCTAAACATTTTTAAACTGAGTAGATCAAATGGAGTGGAAATGGTTAGAATTTCGAAACCGTCCTTCAATATTTTTAGTCTTTGATAGAAGGTTAAACAGTTTTTGCTTTGTGTTTTTTTGATCAATTGAGCTTATTTTTCAATAGTTGAAAATACTTTTTTTGATCTTGCACAAAAAAATATTAGATATTTTGAAAATGGATGGAAAAATGTTTTTTTCAAAAAAATTCAATATTTTTTTAAACTCTCTTTTTCGCTTCTATGTAGGAATTTTTGTTGGGTAACCAGTTTTTGAAGCGGATTGATGGCAGCAAATGTTCCAGTTATGTGGTTCCAGGTAATCAAAAGCTCAAACAGGCTGTTTCCTTTTGGCAGGACAAAAAATCTCAAAATATTCCGGAACAAGCGGGTAATAAAAAAACCCATCTAGCAATGTCATTTTCTGATTTCAAATGAAATTGAAAAAATTCCTGTTCAGAAGATGTTTTAAAGTACTCGGAATGAGAGATCGTTTTGAAAACTGTAAACAAACAAATACGTGACGATACATTCAACAAACTGAAAAAAATGTAGAGTCTCTAAAAGGATAATGAACGGAGCTTTTGATCTCGTAAAACATTCAGCAGGGATTGTAAAATAGAGCGGATCTATCATAATTCACAGTTTACTAATACGCTCTAACAATCTTTTTTAAAACTGCTTACACTATAACTTGAAAGAACATTCAAGAGAAAGGTAAAACCGGGGAGTGGACATCATGAGTGAAATCGCAATCGGTCGCTCGCGATTAAAGACAAAAAAGTCGACCACCTAACGACAATTTTCACGTGGGAACCACTCCGGAAAGGACGTCCGGAACAGGGAAAAGCGACAAAAACAAGTTCTGTCAGGGCCTAGAGATAAACCGTCGGTGGTGCGCGGAAAGAAAAGAGAGCGAGAAAAGCGGAGAATGTGGGAAAGCTAAAAATACACTTTGGGGTGTTGGGCTTTCAGTTTGCTGTACGGTCAAGAAAATGGTGGTGAGAACTGGTCCGTTCGGCTGCTCCGGCAAGGCGTCGCACCCTTTTGTCTTCGGTTCGAACTTTTCTTCAAAAGCTTTTTTCAACCTGGAGATGTAGTTGAACTGCATATAATGAAAGTTTTGAGCTATGTGAGCTATTAAATCGGCAGATTTTTGGATATGTTCAGAGCGATGAAACTGTTTTGGAATTCAAAAACTCAATAGTCTTTTAATTCCATTGATTTGCGCTTAAGCCATTGGAAATTTGTTATGACATACATAGGAGCAATTCTTATACAAAAACATTTTTTTAATTATTGTTCATGGCCATCTGCCTCTAACAAAAAAAAGGATCAAAATCCATTCCCGAAAAATTATGAATTACAATTAAATTGGCAATTTTTCATAGCCAAAAGGATACATTACTTCTATTTGAACCTATCCAACTATTTGGTTGGACAGTTCGTCGAAAATTCATAAAGTTCTAAACGCAATAGGAGTTTCAAAAATACTCACAGCGATTCTTGAATCTTGAAAAGTTGTACTCAAAAAATGTTCAAATATTCAAATCAATAATATTTTTAAGGAAAAAAAAACACAGGAAAAAAAAGGAAAAATCCTATACCAGTTAAAATTCATCCTACCCATAACATAGTATGAATTCGGTTTTCTCAGAAAGCTGAAGCAGTAATATGAGCAGAATAGATACAAAAAAGATTGATCAATAACACGTGAAAGAGTCATGAAAAGAGCTATAAAAATTCCAATAAATCTTGTTCAATTTGAATTGCACGTGTAATATAGGGCGCAGTCCAAAATTTCTTTCTGAAAAAAAAGCTGAAAAATTAGTTTTACTCTGGTAAGTTCACCTACTGATATCAATCCGTCGACATCATTGCGAAGGTTTTTCATCTAAAACGCACTGAAGTTTTGAATGAGTGTAGGTAATTTTTACCTGGGGTGAGCTTTCCACCGTTCTCAGAGAGCGAATGAAGAACTTTCCTGGCCGCTTCCAGCGTTTCATCAGTCTGTGAAGTTCTCTCATTTAGTTCCTTTTTAATACGGAAGGAATTATACTTTTTATGATTTAAAAAAACATCAGATATTCTGTGGAAACAATTAAAAACAAACTTGATTGATTTTTTTAAAAAAACTTACTTTGAAAAAAAGCAAAAAAACGGATCATTGTATCATTCTCCATTTTTCCTTTTTTGTCCGAGTAAAATGCCGAAGGAGGGATGGTCGCCAGTTTCTGAGTCATTGAGGGTTAATATTGTTACAATTTGAATTTCAACCATATTTCTGCAAAGATGCTTCGAAAAGAAGACGTCCCTTGGTTCATCGGTTTTTTGATCATCAGCTGAATATTTCAAAGGACTTTTTCCATAACCGCAAAAAGCTCACTATTGATGAACTTAGAGAAGTCCGCCAACATGAAGTATCCGGCTTCTGGAAGAATGACATTGAATCCGGCTTCTCTGAAAGAATGCAATAAAAACGAAATCTACAATAATCACAGACTTCAAGTTCTCCGCCAGAAAATCCCTTTTTTTCTTGAGTTCTTTCGAAAGGCCTTTCAGCAAGTAAGAATTCTCCGGGTCGCTTTTAAACTTTGCATGCCTGAATCGAATACTGAAAATTCGGATAATCGTAATTTTTTTTACTCAATATCGAAAGCATCAGCCAGTGCTGCTTGAGTAGGAGAACTGCAGGTAAACACGCAGTTTTGATGAATTACCTTGAAAATTTTGGTTGCATTTTTTTTCTCGATTTCCTAATAATGTAATAATAAGACATATTACTCGAGAAAAATTCGATTCTTCAATTAATCATACCTTCAAGGGCTCCAAAAGATGTAGTGGTCCAACAGCCCACCCGAGTTTCCAACCGGTAACGGAAAACGCTTTTCCAGCGCTTCCAATGGAAATTGTACGTTCATACATATCCGGTAGGCTAGCTGAAATGTAAACTATTTTTCAAAAAGCAGCTATTGGTTTTTCATTGTGAAAAAAACGGATTTTTTGAATGGGGATCTATGTGAAATTTCTTCCAAAGCAGCACTTGTATGAGAATAAATAGAACTGACCAAAACGAATCATTGGTTTTTCGAAGCAATGCCACTCGTAGACTTCATCAGCCACCACTATCAAATCGTTTTCTTTTACAATACTGGCGATTTCTTCCAACTCTTCTCTGCTGTACAACTTGCCGATTGGATTGTTTGGGTTGTTCAGAACCAGCATCTTAAAAGAATAACTGAGAAGAAAAAATGTCCCTGAATCAAGAAGCTAATTTCTCAGAACGTTTGAAATGTGTTATTTGTATCACTCAAGTTTTTTTTGAGGTTCTCACGAAGTAAATTTTTTCACCTTGGTTCTAGGAGTAATAGCCGCTCTCAACTCTTTGAAATCAATTTTGAAATCAGAAGAAGAGGACGCATCTTTCGGCTTCTTCATCGAAATCAGAACTGGTTTTCCTCCTGCCATTTTTATCTGAGGGACGTAACAGTCATAAGCGGGCTCTATGACTGGAAAATGTTTGATATAATAAGCGTTCAAATTGGGAAACATGCCTATCACTTCATCTCCTTCTTGGATCCAACCGCAAAAAGTGTAGTAAAGGGCCAGATATGCTCCTACCGTAACCAAGATCTGAATTATTCAATTTTATTGATGGTAGCTCAATCTCTCTACCTCATTATTAGGGTCAAGATTTTCGCGACTGTACAGCTCAGAGTACAAATTCCCGAGTGCTTTCACAAGTTTCGGATGACCATAGCCTAGAACTACAAAATACATTCACAAACTTCCGGAATTCCTGACCTCGAGTGTATTGATGTACAGCGGTGAGAGAAGGATTATCACTGTAGTTTCTCAAGATATCCGTGACAAATTTTGGAGCTGGAGCGTCGGGAAATCCCTTCAAAGCATTGTCAGGGTGATTAACTAGATTTTATACTCACTTGTCCGAGGTTCACGGCCTTACAATCAACGGCAAGTTGCGTATATTCAACCCTGAAGACTATGTTGAGAAAATGGAAGACATTTAAATTGTCATTTGTTTTTCTTTTTCTCAGATTAAATCATGAATTTGTTTTGATGAAAGAACAAAATGAACCTGAAAACAAAAAAATACGCCACAGAAAAAAAAGAAGATCTACTTTTTAATTTTTTTAAATACCGCATATATTGAAACAGAAGATTTTTTTGTTTCTGCATACGACTATTACAATCATATTGTTTTTTTACCTATTTAAAGCTACTAGCTACTATCAAAACTTTTTTTCATTGCTTCTACTTTGTAAAAATCATTCTTCTTTAAAAAAAAATACGGTGAAGGATCTGGAAAAAAAGTGAGTTCTGCCTATCTTTTTTTAAATTCGTTTAAGAACAATTATTAGATGATTCAAAAATCAAAAAAAGTCTATTTTTTTATTACAAAAATTTTGTCGGTCGCAAAAAGTCTTCAAGATTTGCGCCGACAATTTTTGAAATTCCATCACGCACCTGTCTGCGGTGAGTACAATTTAATCGAGACAAAGACTACCTACCAAATCGAAGGTTTACTGTCACTGGCACGTTCTGCCGGTTTTCGATCCGTCTGGAAAGAAGAAACGCCTCTCGACATGCTGCAACGGACCATTGAACGACTAAGCAAATGAGACCGCGGAAATAATAACGACGGGAATTTCATGAGCCTGTAAAACTTTCCAATGGCCAAATACAATAGAAGGGGGGAGCGATGGGAATTATCGATTGGCATCCCACCCGCCAATTCTGATGATAACCTACAATGTATGAACCACAACCATCATTTTCTCCGTGACGTTATTCGAAAAATTAGGAACGAAGAGCAGAATTGATTGAATTGTTTCTTATCAACGAAAAAAATTATATATATACTATCATAAAAAAACAGTGTGCTTTAAAGAAACAAGAATATTAGTAAAATTTTTTTGCAGTAAGCTAATAATCAATAACCTTTTTTTATCTGGAACTGCAAAAAAAGGAAAATCAAAAAAATGTGCAAAATCCTAAGATTGGAAGTGGTCGAATCAATTTTGTCTGAAAAGAACTTTTCCCATATCTTTCAAGAAAAATATTTCCAACCTTGAAAATTTTACACATGCTCTTAGAAAATTTGAAAAACTTCAATTCTTCGAAAACATCTGGGAAGTGTCTTTATTTTTTCTACCATAGTTTTTTTTTCACTAATAAAAAAATTGATTCGAGTAAAAAAAGAATCACGACTTCTCTCACACAGAAACATCTTTTTCCAAAAACACATTTATCGATAGAAAATATATATGATTCGAGAGGAAAGTTACAAAAAGTTTTAGGGCGGTAAAATGAACAAAATTGCACAACGAAGCTGCAATATTTTGTCAATTGAACAACGTATGTGGGTCGCAACCGTGCAAAGCAAACTGATGGATACGCGAGAAGGATGTGAGAAAAACTTTAAAAAATAAACTCCGCATGTTTCGGTATTTATTTGGTTACAATGTTTCGCGAAAACGACCACAAAAAGCCCGGTCTCGTATTGATGGATTCAACTAGTAATTATGATGGTGTCACGGGAAAATGTGCGACTATTGAAAATGGTGAAGTCGGAAACAAATAAATATAACAAGATCAAATGGAAAGAAGTTTTTTTTCGTAGGAAATGGCTCTCAGAGCTTAGTTTCCGCCTTCAGGCTCGGCGGCGTCCGTGTCGTCGGTGGCAGCGTCCGAAGTCCACAGGGTGAGGTTGTCTCGCAGAAGCTGCATGATCAGCGTCGAGTCCTTGTAAGAGTCCTCGTTGAGCGTGTCAAGCTCAGCGATAGCGTCATCGAACGCCTGGAATTTTCTAATCAGCCTCTTCAAATATAGAGACAAAAGAATCAAAAAAAAGTTTTGCACTTTAGCTGGCTTCTTATTGAAAAAAAAATGAAATCTGTTCTTGATGAACTTTAAGGGAGGATTTGCCTGATGCTCTCGCCATAAAGTGCAAACACCTATAATTACAGCGCAACGGCTAATCCGGTTCCGCTTTATCCGGCGGTTGCCATGGCCTCGGCAAGAAGACCTGCTTGGCGAGCTGGCAAGCGCGGTCGGGACTCGCAGCGACTTCATAGAAGAAGACCGAGTAGTTGAGAGCTAGCCCAAGCCGCACTGGATGCGTGGGCAGAAGCTGGTCTTTAGCAATGTCCAGAGCCTCACTGTAGGCAGACTGACCGGCCTCCGAACTCGCTGAAAAAAGAAGAAACGTGTGCTGACCTGCTTAGCAAGCTGGCACGCCTTGTCTGGAGCGTTGAGAATCTCGTAGTAAAACACCGAGAAGTTGAGAGCCAATCCAAGGCGGATGGGATGCGTCGGCTGCATCTTCTCCTTGGCGATGTCGAAAGCCTCCTGGTAGGACTGCTGCGACTTCTCGACAACAGCTGCAATCAGAGGCTTTGCGACAGTTCGTCAAGGGTCTAGAGCAATTGACTAGCTACTTGTATGGAGAGTGTGCCCGACTGTCAGCTCCTAACTTGATCTGTACTTTTTTGAGTAAATTTTTTTTTGTTGAATAAAAGCGTTTTTTTTTGGCAGCGAAAACGTTTCATGATTTTTTTTTGAATTTCTTGATCGAATTAAGCATTTTCGTTTGCAAAATAATTTTTTCAGATAGCAGTAAAGACCAGTTGAGAACGTTTTTCAGTCGGTAAACGCGCCTTGGATCGGCGTCAGCAACCTTTTGGTGCAGTACTAAGAGAGAGAAGTACAGGAAACACACTCCACACAAGGTAACCAGTTAATCGCAAAAACTGATGTTAATCATGATGATTTCACAATTTATTCTATCCTTACTATGCAAAAAGCATTCTTCTCAACTTGATTCAGAAAAAAAGCTGTTCATTCATTTTCTCATACCGAGTCAAAAAAAGCCTATATTTCTATACTCCTCATGAAGATTCGTTATGATGTAAACGTACAAGTGCGATCGTCTCCAGAAGCGACTTCAGCGAGGTAACGGTAGTAATCTCCCTTCATCTTGAGGTAGAAGACCTTAGATTCGGGGTTTCCGGCCTTCGGAATCAGGAACTTGTCCAAGAGGTTCTGTAAGTGGAATTTCATAAATATATCTTACAACGATTTTTTGCTGAAAATTTTAAAAGTCAATTCGAAAAACTCACAAGAACATCCTGGCAGATATCGCGGAGTTCCTTCTCGACTTTCTCACGGTACTCCTTGGCCATCTGTTGCTTCTTCTCAGATCCCTCGGTCTTTTGCTCAATTGAGGAGATTACGCGCCACGACGAACGACGAGCTCCAACGACGTTCTTGTAGGCGACGGAGAGGAGGTTGCGCTCCTCGTTGGACAGCTCGGCGCCGAGTTCGGTGACCTTCTTCATCGAAGCGGCCATGTCATCGTAACGTTCAGCCTGAAATGAACAACAGGTTAGAATCAAAATCTTTTTGAATTTTGAGTTTACCTGTTCGGCAAGCTTGGCGCGCTGCACGAGTTCGTCCTTGTTGTCGGCCATTTCGATTGCGTTATCAAGTCAAGCAAGCTGCAATGAATCCAATATCAAATCAAAACTTGTTGGGTTCGCGACAATAAGAGTACGAGTATACAGTTCAGATAAGGGATGAGTGGAAATGCAAAGAAACGACGAGGAGCACTAAGACCAAAATCGACTCGGAGGATGCAGGCCAAGAGTAATGCCGATGTATGTGTGCGAGGTCTTTCCGAGGGACGCACCTCCCCTTGCGTAAGAGCGCTCACATCACTTCAACTACAATTTTCGGCGCTTTTGAAGGAGTGCCGCCAGATAAAAGTTACATTTTTGAATAGACAGCGTTTTAAGGATTTCAATGATCTCAAAAAGTAGGAAAAAAACGTTGACGCAAGGAAAAACGGCCGTGTTGTTGTTAAATTCTAGCGTGCGGCGGAGGAATATGAGGGGCTGTAGGCGGCAAACGGCCCGCCTCTCACTCGTCATCTAACAGGGCTTCGCGCACGAAAAATTAAAGAGCGCTCACACTACTTCCACATCGAATTTAACCTGTTTGTTGATGATTATACGAATTAATATTTAGTGCCCATCATTACTAGGCCACTACCAGTGATGTCAATTTTTTTTGAACGGCAGAAAAATCCTTGAAAGCCAAAACATGTTGAAAATGTGCATTTGCAGCCGTTTCGGCGGAATCCGGGGGATCGGCGAGACGTGTTCAGACTCTGCTGAAAATCAATGGCCACCCGGCTGACCGCATACGTGTAAACAAACTGCGTCTCGTGTAATTAACTACCACAAAAGGAGATATTTTGAAGCGATATCTTTTAGGTTCTTGCTTGGGTTCGGTCCAACTTCTTAGAGTCGGGTTTTCCGTTTGTTTCTTCGGCCGCCAGCCATCTCGGATACACTTCAAAGACACACGGCGTACGCGAGCTGCGCACACAGAGACACGGAGGATTTGGACAGAAACGTGTCGGCTTGCACTCGAGCGTCAGACGCCACAGATATAGCACCTTTCTACGGCGCTATTCTCCGCCGCCGCTAATGGCGTCCGCAACATAATGAGTGTTATCTACTCAACACCGACGTCGCGCTTCTTTGATACTGAGAGAGTTCTTGGGTGATCTGTGCACTCTTTATCTAAAACCAAGACTGTTTCAACTTATCAAAGTTGACAGCTTAAAAATGGTCGATGATTGCCAGAGGGAGAGAAAAACATTTAACGTCTCTTCCGAGTGAAAGGTGCTTGTTTTTTCAGCGCAGCTCTAAAAATAAGTCGTCCTCTTCTAATTAGCTCCTTTCAACGCTTTTGCAATTTTTTCTAATTTGTTAAAAGACATATTGAACTAAGAGTAAATTTACACGAAAAAAATGTGTTTTTTTTTGCTTCTGAAAAGTTGCTCTTCAATATTAATTTAGTTTGTTTTCTAATATCCAACAAATTAAAAAGTTTTTAGTTCTAATAAACATAACTTGAGAATATAAACTTCAAAATAGAAAATATTTTTTTCTTCAAAGAGTATCTGGGAAAACAACGGGGAAAGTATCAAAATTTAAATCAGAACTTCTTTTTCCAAATTTGAGTTGCCAGTCGAAATGCTATCTGGAATGCTCCAATGTGAGTCCCAACAGTGCAGTCTCGCTCGGTTTGGATGAACTTTTAATCGATGGTTCCAACATCATAACTTATACAGTTCTCTAAAATTCAAATCGCGAATGGCGTCAGATGGCTCGTTGTTTTTTGATTCCTTCCGTGAATTGTTATTGTCCGCCAGATGCATTTGCATCTGAGAACAACAGTTTCGGAATCAATCAAATTTCCCTTTCGCAATATCGTCGACAGCAAGGGTGACTCATCTGAACGTTTCTCGTTTTGATTTTGAAACTATGGTCAGCTTTTTTTGTAATAAATTTTATTGGCGCAAACGTATAATTCCAAATTGATTATTAAATTTTTTTTAAATTTGGTGGTTGAACGAAATTTGGGGAAAAAAATTCAAATTTTATAATTTTAATTCCAGTCGGAATTTTCTGCAAAGAGATACTTAGAATTAAATTCAGAGAGTTAAATTCTCGTTATCATTTCCATTATTATACCAGTTCCGAAAATTTCAGAGTAAAAATATCCCGATATTATCAAATTAAAATAAAGTCAAGCCCTTCATTCCTAATGCGTAGGCCTTGCGACCTTGATCACATCGATGTATATTATGGGCTGAGAGATAAGAGGATTTTCCTGCCGTTCTCACGTCCGTCTTACTCGCCAGAATCGCCAACTTCGGTATTGTGCCATTCTTGAACGGTCCGTCAAACGAGTTTTCTAGCGCTCTCGTAGGTGCCAAAGTTCTTTTGTATAAAATAAATAAATAAAAAGTTCACAAAAAAAGAAGTGGTAAAACTTCCTCCCTAATATTCAGAATATATGTACTACGGTTAAACTTTCGTTTTCTAGAAAGAAAAACTGGAAAAAATAAAGAATTAACTCTTTTTTTACGCGGAAATTCGCATTTTAATAACCAATATCCTCAAGAAAAATATAAGTGAGTTCACATTTTTTTTATCGCATCAGATCCTTTGTGATTTCAAGTTTTACGGTCACAGGAAAATTAATGGAAGACTCTCCGACGTTGCAGTCGAGCGATATCACCGACCTCAAAGAATTGGGGAGGACTTTTTTTGCGTGTATTTACTTATCGGGCTAATGCGTTGAAAAAAAGTTTTTGACCTGGTTCGGGGAATTCTCTCGATTCATTTGCAACATTGAGATATCATGAAAAAAATGAAATTCTTATATTCAAAAAAAATTTTCTTATCTTTTTAGGTATATCTGATTATAACTTTTTTTTTCCGGTAACACTACTCATTCATCCTACTGTGGTTCTCGGAAAGCGACAAAAAAACGGGAAGATTGAAGCCTCAGCCGCTGGCGTCACAAGGCCATTGTCTCTTCGGAGCTTCGTAGGTTCTCTGCGTGGTGCTCGAGCCGCGGTATCGACCAGAGCGCCGGCGGCTGCGAAGGGCAGCCTTGCGCGGCTCGCTCTATTCCTCCGTCGGGAGCAACGCTAATTTTAACCCACAGCCTCCACATAACATGTCTTCTCGGAGAACCTTTTTTCGGCAAAGGAAAGTGAGGGAAACAAGATCGAATCGTCTTCTGATTCAAATGAGAGAAATCTGAGCTTGCGAATCTTCAGTGATCTTATTCTCAGAAACAAGGAACTTGATTTCAAATTTCTTGCAAAAGAGTAAATTTGCAAAGCTACTAAGAGTTTCAATTTTCATTCAGGCAGATTATTTGTCTGTGAAGGGAGAAACAGACATCACATCGAGTGAAATATCCGAAAAGCTGAAGACAGTTTCAAATGGAATTGTGTTCACTTTGTCGTTGCAAATGAAGAATATCCGGAAAAGGCTCTTTTTACGTTCTACAAAATGCTCTCGGCGCTTTCGCTCTTGTAAAATTTCTGAAATAGTTTCTTCCATAACAATAAATAATTCAATTGAGTTTTTTTTTTTGCAAGTTCTCAGCCATGAAATCAAACGCAAATGTTTTTATTTCTCTCAGCACCTGTTTACAAAAAGGGAAATGTCGTAAAAAAATGCTTGCTCGGAATCTATTTTGGGGTAGCCCAATCTGATGACGCCAACGCTCCAAAATTGCCAGAGTAGGGTGTTTGAACGTTGTTCTTGGAACGCATTATTTTTATGGGTCGTTTGAAGAAAGAACAAGAACTCGTCGTTTCCAACACGGTTTATGGCATTTTCATGCTCGTAAACTATGCATTTTTTTGCTTGTAACAATTTTTTTCAGATTTTTTTCGTTTGAAAATTTTTGATTAAATTGATAAATCTATGAAAAAAACTCATGAAACAAATCAATAATTTTTCGAACTCATTTCTTTTTCATTAGATTAAAATGAGCGCAAACTTGCCCGCTAGACATCTTTTAAAAAAAATAAAAAAAGTATGTGTTGTTTAATTTGACAGGCTCGCATGTAACTATGAGTCAAAAAAATCTAATTTTTCTCTTATTGTTATTTCATACTTACACCTTTTTATATCAATGTAATTGTGAAATTAAATAGAATAATTCTCAAAATGAAAAGTTGGAATAAATTCTTTTTAAGTCTGTTCACTTTCTTTCTAAGGTAAACGCTTGAGGGTCTCTCAGCTGGCATTTTCACTCTAATTTCTAAAACGTCGGAGTTAACGGTTTGTAAGACGCATCAAGCCGACGTCCACACACGCTTGGACAAAAGGGACACGGCTGCAAACACTGCACTTTACATCACAACGGTCCGCCGCCGCGACATTCGTCCGTTTAGATTCTCTCAGAACCTCAGTTCACTCAAGGGGTTGTTTCAGTCTGCCTCCGTTCTGAAATTGATGTGAGAACTTTTCGCTCTTTTGTATATCCAAATGACGGAACCCTCATGATTAATTTCGAAGTCGGAAGTTTTGCGGAAGTACGGAAAATATGAAAACTATTCCTGTTGATCCGTTCTCCGAAACTTCAGAGAAGATGAAATTTTGCAAAAAAAAAGATTATAAAAAAAAGTCTGCGCCTACAATGACTAAACTTGTTCTATTTTGTGACAACGACGCCAACTTGAGAGACTTTTCAGCCGTATCAAATGAGAGAATCGGTTAGAGACCACACCCAAGCTATGTCTTTGGATGATAGGTTAACAAGTTTTTTTTTGAGAGTGAGTTCGAAGAAATTTTAAAAAGTAGGGTAAGGGTGTACTTGACAACTTTAGAGGCCCATGAAAATACATTTTATTCTCACTCGGTAATTTAAAATCCAGAGAGTCATATTGAAAAAAATGATCATTATTACTACTGGATCAGCAATAAGAAACTATTGAATAAAATCTCTCTATGTCAACTTTCTTGAATTTATGACTATTTTGTTTCGTTTTAAATAAGAAATAGGTTCCTTTGTGAGTTGGAGCAGATTATCCGTTGCGAAATAGTTAAATATTGGTTCTATTCCAGTTTCTGTATTGCTTTAAGTAGTGATCTCAAAAACGGTCGTTATCTCAGGCAAACGACGCGATGAAATTTAAAAAAAAAACGGACCCTGGTGGACGCACCTGGGTGCAGAGGCCGACTGTTACACAGCGCTCTGTGATCAAAATCGCTTCCCACTTTTTCAAAAAAAACTTTCGCCGTCGAATCGTCGCACAGTTGCCATGGGTCTTGTGCTACACTCCCTCAGACGCAGTTACCGGAGTTTACGTCATCGTCCAAGTTTTTGAAAAACGATTTCCGCCGAGTTCTCGAAGCAAGACTGCATATCAATCACAAGAATGCATCGAAGAAACTCCACAAACCGAAAATAAAAAAAAGACTTTTTTGATGAAAAATAATAAAGGGACCTCCACATTTATAGAAGTGAAAAAAAGGAAATACTAACAAAAACAGCTGCTGAAACTAAAGATAAAAAAATGAATCGTAGGAAGAGGACAAAAAAACAGTTTTACCAAAAAAAATATAACCTTCAAAATAAAAACACTTTTTTTGTCAAAATTCCGTGTAAAGTCTTCACTCAAAGTGGTCGCTCTCCTTCTGAGGCTTCTACCCCCCTTGCTAATTCAAAGCGATTTTTCAGCGTCTCGGTTGTTCAAATAATTTCAAATCATCACTGGATTCATTATTCGGTTCTTTATTCCAGAGACAATCGAACAACTGGTGATTTGAATTCGTTTGAACTGTATCGGCAACCGCTTTTGGCAGACACGAAGTACAAGTCGGAGAAGTTGTAAAGATTTTATTGCTGGCATTCGTCTTGTTTTTCTTCTCATCGGCAGTAGCACTGCAATGGTGTGGAAAAAATCTGTAACTCGCGAACTTTCGACAGCAGTCTTCGTCTACATACCACGAAATGAGAAGATTCACGGAAAGACATAATCTTACTCAAGGGTTGTAGAAACGGTCTGCGATTGAATCTTCATGTTTCAGGCTGAAAATTTGATTTTATATAAAAATTCAAATCAAACCAAAAAAGTAAAATACGCAGCAAAAAAATATTTTTTTTCGAAACAGGCAAAAATTCATATGAATAAGACGCAAACAGCAAACTCATTACCTTCGAACAATTACAGGGTGCGCAATAAATATTGAAACGAGTTTGAAACGTTATAACTTTCTCAAAAGTCAACCAAACACCACCAAACTTGGAAAAAAGTTTTGTTTTTTTGATTGAGGAAGGCTCCTTTCTGTGTACGGTAGGGAATCATCTTCAGCTTGTCCTTGACAATAGTTCTCATCGATCCTTGACTCATTTCGTATTCTTTTGCCATCTTTCTCATGCTTCTTTCCGGAGTGCGTCTGATTTGAGTGGACGTCCCCTTCTTTGCATGTCATCTGAAGTACCGAGACGCCGATAGCGTTGTGCAGTTCAAAAAACAAGAACACGAGAAACTTTCAGCTTTTTAACGATCTCTGAATTTGTCATTCCGCTTTTGACACAATCAATGATTGCGGTACGGTACGGAGATGGGGCCACCATTACCTGAAAACTGAAAAACATGAGCTGTAACTTCAAAAACATGATAAGTGAGCATGAATGAACGAAATAAACAAAAAAATTCAAAGGCCAGTCCTTTGTGCAAAAAGCAGCGATCAAACAAAAAACGGTTTCAATATTTATTGCGCACCCTGTTTCACACACAATTTTTGAGCGCTACTTTCAATTCCGTGTCTAATGAACAATATATGGAGTTTACTTTTCAACTTTTTTCAGTTCAAACCACGAAGGCGTGACGCGTTTGTAAGTGAGAAGAAACCTCGACAAACAAAGAAAAACGGAAAGATCCGTATCGAAGATGGCAAGTGTTGCTGCATCGGCCGGAAAGGGAAAACGCCACTCAAAACAATGTCAGGCATATTCCCGAAGGCACAGATCAAAAGAAAAGGTCAAAGAAATTTTGGCCGCCTCATCGAGAGCAACTTACGCAATGACGACTCATTCGCAGTTAATTATCGCCTTGTCAGAGGTGAATTTAGGAGTGATTATGGCCGGGAATGAGAGAAAAACCGCGACTGTTTTTCTAGGAGTGAAATTTTAGCTTTTTCATTACCAAATTGTTATTCTATTTGTTTGATTCGTCACTTTTTTCTATTTTTTTGATTTCTTGTGTAAAATTATTTTTTCTATCGAAAAAAGAACATTCACATATTTTTATTCTGACATCGAGTTCGGGTTGGTATATACAACAAAGTGTTTCCAAACGCGCAACAGCTGTGGTCAGTAGGCTGACTGCAACGGCGGCACGGTTATTTGTAGTAGGGGCACGGGGATGAGAGCCAAGTTTTCTGGATTTTGTGGTTAGAAAAGGACAAATAAATGATGCTTTTTCATAAAATCTCGCAAGTTTTTCTCAAATTTTCTATGTTTGCTAAAGTTAACAAAACTATATAAACAAAAACAAAAATAGTTTTTTTGCTAAACAAAACATCTCTCAAAAGGTCGTTTCCGAGGAAAACGTCAAATTGAACTTTCAAAGAGAAAATTGAAAAAAATCTCAAGACGCTTCTCTTAAGAAACTCTATTTGAACATTTTTGAAACAAAAACCAGAAACATAATAGCTCGTACTAGAAAAGTTATCACCCAAAAAGACATTTCAAAAAAATAAATTCGTCGAATACTTTCTCAAAAATTTGGGAAAAAAATCTTGAGGCGCTCCTCTTAAGAAAGTCCATTTGAAGATTCTGAAAAACAAACCAAATAACTGTGCAAATTGATTTGGCTTCGAAAATGACATTTTAATGAATATTTGTGATAAAAAACAGTCGAAAATCCCTTCAAATAGTTTTTAAACGCAACAAACACGTTTTTAGAACAAAAAATAAATAAAAAACAACAAGATAATGAATAAATACGCAAGAAGAAAACAAAAAAGTGTTTGAAAGCGAATGAAATTTTGTGGGGTTGACACGCGCCGCGCCGAACCGCGTTGCGTTAGAGACAACTCGCGTTTTCGCGCCTTTTTGACGACCATTTTTTTTGCCTGCATTTGTCTGTTTTGGAACACTGCGACAGTACTGTCAAAAAACATACTAAAAATGCGCTTTGGTCACAACTTTCTTGTGAGGAATTTAATCTTCCTGATGATTCGGAAGGTGTGTTTTTTTTTTCTGTTAACTGATACTTCATCAAATTGTTATAAATGTCATCCCAATTCCAGAATGTTTCAGAAAGATTGAACTTATAAGAACGTTTTGACAAAAACTCCGTATTTTGAATCTTTTTTGACGGTACTGTACGTGTTCTTACATATTGCAAAATTTTTTTCAAAAAAAGTTTTTCTTGAAAAAAATAGAAGCCAATATTTTTGTCACCTGCCAGCCTGCTTTGAAAAAGTCACACTGAAAGTCTCAAAAGCGTAATTTGCTAACATAAGAAGTGACTGGAAAAAAGCTTTTCAAAGAAAAAATCTTGTTTTCCTAAATGGATTTTTTTTTAGATCCGGAGAATAGAGCTGAGCGTTATCTTCGCCTTATTTCGAATGTCCCACGTTTAACTGAGCGTGCGAGACAGAGTCTCAGCGCTGATTTTACTCGACTTCCTTCTTTGTTCCCACTTTTCCAACTTTCCTTTTGAATAATTATAAAAAAATTGAGAAACATTTGTGAGCAATTTTCATTGAATAAAGTTTGTTTCGAGCTTTTCGAAAAAAAAGCTACTCAAACACTTTCATGATTTCGGTAAAGGATGTTCACACCTTTAAACTTTTTTTGATAGTTTTTTTCATCCGAATCTCGAATGTTTGAAATATATATGTAAGAAAACAAGCAAGAAGTTATTGATTGTAATAACGGGCTAACTGATTTGCTTATTTTTAATCAACATCTTCCTGGGTAATTTATTACTTTTTAAAGACTTAAGGGAAGTAAAAAAACGGTGTTTCAGTTCAAAGCACTACTTTGTAGAGCTTTTCCTCGCAAATCGGGCGGTGAACTTGAAAACGTACCAAACTTCCTAGTTTTGAGGAAAAATAGTTCAAAGTCGGAGAGAGAAAAGTTCGAGATCCCGCCGAAAGGTCGCTTTGCAATAAAGTTGCTCTATGGACAACACGTATAGTGATTTTTGGGATTTTTGATTTTTCTTCGTTTTTTTTTGTTAGTCACTTCTGTATTTTTTTCGAGTACACCGTTCGATTCGGAAAGAAGAACTACATAAGATATTGTTTACACCTGAAACCCCGTTTTTACAGCTCTATGCTTTTAAATGCGTATTTCATTCACAAATAGGGTCAATATTGAAGATAATAAAAAAATGTTTTAAAAGTTTTTATTCTGATCTTTTTTTTTAACATAACGATTGTGAACTAGGGAGTCCACTTTTTTGAAAAAAGTTCTCATATTAATAAAATTTCGACGACTCCATAACTCATTCTGATGAGCGTTAGAAATCTTATTTTTGCCGGATTGAGTTTTTGAAAAAACTCGAAATATTGGAAAAAACCAATAGTAGAATCCTATGCTTCAGATTATTTGTTTGCAATGTTTTTTTCCATCCCTCAACTCGATAAGCTCGGATAGAAAATTAATTTCAAAATTTCAAAGGTAGAATGTGGGTAATTACATTGGAAAAATGTCACATCAGCTTTTTGCCCGAAAAAAAAACTTTCGATTGCATGACTCGAAATTACCTTTGCTGGACAAATTGCGACTTTCAATGCTTCCCCTGCACGTTGCTGGGAGCTCGACCCTTGCGTTCCGAGTTCCTCCAATCTTATCCAGCCGTTAATTTGATTTTTTGATGTTCTTTCGAATCTTGCCAACATGGGCTGATAGATCACTCATGAGATGAATTTCCTGACTAGGTTAAGGTTAGCATTTTTTATGATCCAAGGCGCACGTATCAAATGAAACAGAAAAATTGGGATTGCACTTTATCCGTCAAGTAAGTTTTTGAAAATGTTGGAATTGGGTCCATTAAGAGTTCCTCACATTTCGACGAACATCCTTGCATTTTCGCATAAGTTATGCGATTGTTCTTCACTTTTTTTCTATTATTGGGATATCCATCTCTTCATCCGCACTCAGCTTCATAGGCTTTGATTGGTGTTATATCCTTCCAACATACAAGCTTATACCTGAAAGCTTCGAATTTGGGCCTCTCGATCCCATATTGGGATTATTGTGGTTTCGAAATGATTTCATAGCAAAAAAGCTTGGATTTGCACGTTTTCGAAACTACTTCTTGTTTCTATGATTCTTTCTTCTTCAAATTCAATTACTGAATTTTATGAAGTTTCCTGTAGATGATATTTCGATTTCACCTTCAGATGATGCTGACGCAGCGGAATGAAAAATAATCCTGATTAGTAGATTAAAGTGATAGATCTCCCAACTGTGATTCGGGATTAAATGCTCCTCCCATAGATGTGGCTCCTGCGCACACCGCTGCTCATTCCAGCATTATCTTCTAAAAAATTTCGTCCACCCTCCATTGCGTTTTTCATTTTCAAGCCCACGTATATTCAAGAAAATTTTTTTTTTGAATTGCTAAGTTTCATTGTAAAAATGGTACTTTGACCGAACACTTCTTATAAAATCTTTCCAAGGTATCTAAATTTTCATATCTTGACACGGAGATCGTGAGTTTTATCAGACACTGAATGATTGCATTGTATTTTGTCTTTTCTTATTCACTCTTAATTAATTATACTCAAGTTTTTTTTGACGAAAAATTGAAATTGGAAAAACAGTAAAAGCTGAAAGGATTACGTAGTGTGTTTTTGAAAGTACAGTAAAAGTCTTTATATTACGTAACGTGTTTTTGATGAGTTGTCCTCTGGGGATCATAACTTTTTCATTTGTTTTTCATACTGAGTTTTTCAATATATCTCCAGTTTTGCTTTTTCAATAATCACGCGAAATTGATAGGAAATTTTTGAAGCTCTTTGAAAATTTAACTTTTGGCGTGTTTCTTGTACTGGTTTTTTATGTCCAAAAAGGTTGACCCATTCGAAATCTTTGTTTTCATAACACGAAAAGAACGAAAAAGAAAGATTTAGGAAAGAACATCTGAAGAAGCCTTTCCATGCAGTAGGATGTCTTCATTGATCGAATGTCGGCCTCCGCCATCCGAAATGGAGCTTCTGTTTGATGGACCTCTATCTGGAATGGTCATCGTTCTTGGAGTTCTTGGAAACGTTTATTGTATCCAAGTTATTTTCTCACGTTTTATCAACGCCAATATGCTAGTTTCCTTGACGGCTTTGGCGGTTTGGGACATTGTAAGTTATAAAAAAATTCCCGTTTTTTTAGAAATGAAAAAAACTTCCTAAAAAAACTTTTATCAATTTTTTTAGAAAGTTTTTTTATAATCCTCGAGTTGAACCAACTTCTCAGAAAAATTTTCTTGAATGATTCATTTTGTAGGTTCTGTTGAGCTCGGCTTTATATCATCATTCCTTTTGGGCTTCCCTACAATATTTCCAATTAAACAACGGACGCTGGGACCAACACATGGTGGCGATAAATGGAGTCCTGGAAGGAGGACATATCACAGCGGTGAGTTCAACCGTACTCTGATTTTTTCTTTCCAATGGCTTTATTTGTTTTCAGACCTGGCTGCTTATTGCTGTTTCTGCTGAAAGGTGTTTTGCGGTAACTAGGCCTTTCCATTTCATGTCTTCCCACCGAAAACACCAAAGACAACATTATTCTCGGCTCCTTGGAGGTACGCTCATTGAGAATTTGGCTTCCTATCGTAGATTGGAGATGAAAAAAGCCTTTTCAGACAATATTTTCAAGCTTAAAGAAAACGAATCGAAATAATCTGTTTTATCAGACCTCGGAGATAAGCATCATCTCCAATTGGAAATAATGTGTTTTCTTCTATTAATTCTAACGATTTCACAAAGCTACTTTTTAGTTCTCTAACATGCGCAAAAGTTTTATATTTGAAAAAAATTCAGGTGTTAGCCACAGTCTTTGATAACCAATGAATAGAACAGAAGTTTGCTGAGAAATGTATTTTGCAGTATAAGAGCAACTTGTTTTGAGGGATGTTCCGTTGGCCGATGCTTCTGACAATAGCTGCCTGCGTCATCTCCATTCCCTGCACTTTTGAATACCAACTGGAACAGTGTGTCTACAATAATTCCACTTATGAGCAAGTGAGAAACTCCGCTGGCAAAAAAAAATCTAAAGGCTAACGCTTGAAATAAAACAGAAATATTCAAGAAAGCTATCTTTTGATTATCAATTCTTTTCAAGACATATGTGTCGTTAACTGGCTCGTTTCAGATACAAGAAACTGACTTGATGAAGAACTTCTACTACAAACTCTTCTTTCGGACAATTTTCCTATCAGTCGTCAAAACTTTTGGACCATTTGTGATTATCACAATGCTCACTATTTCCACCGTTAACGGGATGAGAAAGGGGATGGAGAACCGCGCGACGATTTTTAAGGAGCAAGGCCAGAATCACCTCTTCAAAGCGGATCAGGATAAAACTCGTAGCTTATGGGTTTGTGATAAGATAAATGCAAAACGAGACGATCAAAAGAGTTTAGATGATCTCGATCATCCTTCTGGGAAAATTTTTGCTCCTTCGCTGTTATCCAACTGCCATAGCCGTTTTAGAAGTGGGTTGTTTTTTTTTTTTGAGTGACCAATATATTTTTCCGAACATTTGAACTTGCTACTCTAAAACTAGAGATTTTTAGGTTTTCTTCGGGAATCAAAAACTGAACCTCTTGCCAATAGATATTTCGCAGTTTTTCCTACTTTTGAACTCTGCCTCAAATTGTTCGATTCTCGTCATTTTGAAGAAAGCTTTTGAAACTCGAAGGTTCGTTCTCAAGCTTTGCAAGAATTAGCAAGATGTTTCAGGCTGAAAAAGATCAGAATGCGTCAGCGCGCGCTTGTTGCGAAGCATGCAGAGCAAGTGCTCAGCATCGGAAAAGCTTTGGCCGGCGACAAGATTTTCCTTTTGCCAACTTCCGACACATCCGAACAATTGGAAAACTCCTACGAAATGACCCCAATGGTCCAAAAATTTTGATTAGGTTTTGAACGGAATTTTTTGCATTGAAACTGACGTGAAAAACATTTTTTCAGATGCTAAAGCAAAAGACTATTAAAATGTTGCTCTTTCTGAGACCCAAAATGGAAGATTTGTTCAAATTTAGGTTTTTTGACGGTTCGTATTTTTTTCCGTTTTCCTCGCATGAATCCTAGCAACGCGTAGTAGAGTTAAAAACGTTTTTCTCCCAATTTGTAATCACGTCTATGTACCATTATTTTGTATCATTCACAAAAAAAATTCATTTTTTTTTGTATTCTCCCTCTTTCTTTGTTTGTCTACAGATCAATGGGTGAAAATACACGTATCTCAGTTTCCATATCATCTCCAAGCTAAAAGCAATGATCTCAGTGTATTTCGACAGATTTCCCATTTTTCAAAAAATATAAAAGCTTGTTTTATTTTTCGGGCGAAAAAATCATCGAACAACATTGTCAATAATGCTAAGCAAAATTGAGCACTACAATAACAAGTCAGATATAATCTTCAGCGCTGGTTGTTCCATTCATAATATCCGCTTCTTTTCCGTTTATTTGACGCAAACTTCATACTTATTCCAATTTCCGTTCAATAAACCCTTCATTTTATGAATCTTTTCATGAAGTCTATGGGGAAAGGAATGACGATTGTGTGATTGTCCCGAGCGGATATTTTGGCCAGCGAAAGCAAGTACCTGAAAAAAACGCGGTTTTCTTTGTCTAAACTTTGAAACACATGCCTCAGTTGAATGGCTGCCGGAGACCCGACCAACTCGTCTGCAGCCCTTCGAAGTGCCATTGAAGCCTCAAATGTGTATTTTTTATGGCGAAAACTGTTTTTGAAGCCTATACTAAGCTGCGCAAAGCCTGCCATTGCGTCAGAAGGAATGTTTAAAAATAGTCATCAGATCGAACTTTTTTTTTTGATATATCAATAAGAAGAAACAACTGAATTTTATGATTTTCACGGATGCTAAGCCTTCGATAAGAGAAAGGAAACTGAAAAAAAATTTGCCGTTGTTAGAAATAATATCGAATTGATTAGCGTTTGAAATACGACAAGTGGGAAAAATTACTAGATGAGAGGAAAAGTTCTTCTTCTCAGAAATTTTCGTGTAATTGACTTCAAATTTTCTCCGATAATTTCTCTTCAATATTGACTACCAAAAAAACGATGTGACTGGCTGGATCCGAAACAAGTCTCAAAACACATATTCTTGCATAAAAGTTAATTCATAATTGTTTTTTTTGCAAACAAAGAGCGTTTTTTAGTTGCTGATTGAGATGATCATAGAACTTCGCAGAGCTGTACCTTTAGATTTTGTGACTAGGGATGAGAAAAATTAATAATTCGGTCCTTCTGACCAGTTAACGTCTGAGAACAAATCTTTCTCTCATATCCTTAATCAAAAAGGTCGCAAGTCTATAGAAAATTTTTGAAAAACAGTTTAACCGTAATGTAGAATGTAGAATTTAGTAATGTGAAAGTCAAAAAGTTTTTCTCAAGATCTAAAATTCTTGAATCCCAGAGAAGGCTTATCAAACTTACGACGGAAAACCATTCTTGTTAAAAAATAAATAAAATTCGGATTGAAATACCGTAAGTTCTCCGTGGGCTGTGACGACCTTTGCGTCGCTCTGGCGTTGTGCTTCGGCCTCTGCGGCCATAGCACGACAAAGCTCGTTTGGTATCCGTATGTCTTTTATTTCAACCCGCTCTACATGAATTCCCCAAAACAATGTAGCTGTAAAGAAGTATGATCAGGATTTGATTAAATCCGAAAAAATCACACCTTTGTCTAACATCGACTTTGCATGAGCCGCAATGCCCTGTCGATCAAGCAAGATTTCAGAAAGGGAACGGGTTCCGAGAACATTTCGTAGTGTTGATTGTGCGAGTTGACGAGTTGACGTGTGAGCATCGTTGACCATAGAAATACTTGCTATCGGATCGCTGAATGGCTTTTATCATTCAGTTTCTAGAAGCATCTTTTCATGAGAAATGTTTTAACGTTTCTTTTCATCTCTGAGTTAGTTGAATATCAAATTATTTCAAGAAAATAACAAAAAATGAAACGAACCTCGTTCTATAATAAACGGCTGCGTCCACAGCAATCATCACACTGTCACGCGTCAACATTTCTTGTGTCGGCACATTATAAGACATTGTTCTGAAAGTCAAAATTAGCCAGTTTTCTTCTCTCAAGTTTTGTTACAGACAAGATATCATAGTAAATGTTAAACAATTCTCACCTGAGATCTACTATTGTGTGCTCGTCTATAAACGGCATGACCAATACTATTCCAGGACCCTTTGGAACGGGGCTCCAAACTCTTCCTAATCGAAAAATTATCTGAATATTGTTTTGATTTCAGTCTCAGGAAAACAGATAAGTTCTAGGTTTTGAGTAAGGAGCTCCTTTGTTTTCTTTCGAATAGATAAAGACTGTTTTTCCAATTTCGTTGAGCTCCCTATCTATTTTGTCAAAAGCCGGATCAACTCAAAAATATCCAATAACTTTCTTCTACATGAGATGAATTTATGAAGTTTTAAAATGGATTAATTGGTTTATCATACCAGTAAGCGGCAAGGTGGAGGAAAATCGGAGATATAATAGATTAGGAAAAAAAATAACCGGAACTAACCATTCTGTCATACTCTTTGACGATTTTGATACAGAAAATGAGAGATATGGGGAATGTAAGGACCAGAACAGCCCAAGAGGCGACGAGAACCGCGAGATCCGCGGTTGTCGGCGTGAAATAACCACGTCGCGCGTTGTTCCCGTCCATTCTTCCTCCAGACCTGTTACAAATGGACTCTCAAAAATAAAAGAAGTTCGCACGAGCTGCGGACGAAAAACAATAAACCCCGGCCGCACTGGTATTTTTCAAAACAATGGAATAATTTGGCGGTAGAAGGTTCTCTAATCTATGAGCCGACAAAAATCAAAAGGTTCTTCGAAGAAATGAATTCTATAAGTCTGAAAAAAATCAAAGCTCTCATAAAACTAAGGACTTCGTGAAGTATAAGTTGAAAGTAAACAAAATCGAGAAACGCTCAAATTTGACAAGCCTGAGACCTCCTCAAGCTGTGTCAAAACAAAAAAAACTGTGGATATAAACAAAGATTACTTTAATTCAAAAATTATCAGAACTCTTTTTCTTTCAGCTACCTTTATTGAAATTTTTTGAAAAGTTACTAAACTCGATTTTTTTCATCGTCACAACGTTTTGCAGCTGATGAGAAGCTGCAGCCAAAAAAAAAAAGAGCGAATGACTTCCAACATCTGAGCACAGCGTGAGAAAACCGCAATAAAGCCGCTGAAAGTCTCCTCCTCAGGCAAAAATCAGACTGTGCAACCAAATGAGATTAATGAACGGGAAAAAAGAAGGAAGTGTTTGTGGCTAGAATAAATAGTTTCAAGTTTTTTTCCAGAAAAAAAAGTTATGAAAGTTCGTAGCCTACTTTGTAGTCTTTGTCGATTCTTAACAAAGAGACACATCAAGTGAATTATTGAAACTCGGAGGCACAAAGGAGACCAAAAAATAAGACTTGTTGAGGTAGACTATTTCTTCAAAACCTGAACATTCTTACGCATCGTCTTTCGATAAGTTTTTTCTCCTTGCGAAAAATTCTCATCAAAGTTTGAATAAGGTATACCAAAGAAAAAAAAAGAGTTCATCCAATACCTTCAATCCTGAAAAAAAAGTTATCTTGATACCCAAAAAATAGAGCAATTATGCGGTGGAATGGCTTTCAAAAACAATACGGAAAAAGTGGCGCAATCTAAAAAAATGACTTGTTTAACGTTCCTGCGTCCAATCTTAATCGTCCTCAGGAGCGGGTAATCGTATTCACTCTTATTTTTCCCTTCAACTCTACCCTACACTTGCCATCACAACTTTTTTCTTTTTTTTTCGGAAAGTTTTAATTTGCGTACATAACCATTTATTTCGTTTTGTGTGAAAGACAAGAGAACGAGGTATGTTGAAAGAATGAGAAAAAAAAAATTGACATGGTGAAATTTGTTATGAAAATGAACCTTATGATGTCCAATAAGTGAATGGAAAAGCTTCTCTCTCAAATCTGTAATTGAAAAAAAACTATTCTTTGTTTTGATGATCTGGTGGAACAGCTCTAGAGAAAGAAGTGCCCGAAACAGATCCTTGAACTGAGTTTTGAGGCGTCATCTTCTGTCGACAGTCCTGAACCAGATTTTTCGGAGCAAACCTCGAAAATGGATGAAACCTGTAAGCGAGCGTCGATTTCAGATATCAGCCTATTCATATCCGTTGTAGTAACCGTATGCTAAAAGTTTTAAATTGAAAAAAAAATGAGTTAGATGAGGTTACCGAAGGGCTCATGTAAGAATAAGGTACGATCAGTCCTCTTGGTCCTCCTCGAGGAGTCTGCAACCAATTGGTGCTCAAGAAAGATATAACACTATCGGTCTGACCCTGCTGGTTGCAACAAACGTCCATCTTCGGTTCGGATCGAAGTCGACAGGAGTACGCGACGAGCTCGCAGCAGGTGCCGAGCGCGCAGACGACGCAGAAGACTGATGTGAAGTAGGACTCGTAGGCGGAAGCGGCGGACTGAAAATGTCAAGAGAAATTCAAAAAAAATGGAATAATTTTGAATATGAAGAAACTCAAATAATAAGCTTTTTTTCATACATATCCTTGACTTACAGTCCCAGCAAGGAACAATGATTTTTTTCTTTCGACTAAAAAGAGTTCATCTTATTATACTATGAATTTTTCGGACTCAAAGCTTTCAAAAAGTAGCTGACTATCCATATTATTTTCACCTTGGGTTAAAAAATTTGAAAATATAAAAACGGAAACAGAGTGAGATTTTCTTGAGAATAAACAGAGTGCAGTGTAAGTTCAATGTTGATAAAGCTTAAAAAGCTCATTTTTTTGTGGCTTGAATAATTTTATTTAGATTAAAAATTATTTTTTTCACAAAGGCTAATGAAAAGTTAGACAATGTCATCCAGCCAAATTGTAATCTCACTATCATAAAATTTCTCAGAATGGTGCAAAGTATTCACTTGACGCAAAGAAAAAAGTATGGATTCCATACAAACTTCTTTTTTTTTCTAACGGTTCCTGAATCAAATCTTCAATTCACATCCTCCTTGAGATAGCTCTTAAATTCTGAACCAAACCACTATAAAAAAGGAAGAAATCTCACTCGGAATGAGAATAATTTGTTTCTTGGGAGTGCCAAGAAGCAGGAGATAGCGGTAGTGAGGGCGCGAGCAAGGAAGAACTGGAGCAGATGGACGCCTCCGCTTGCGCGACCACCGGACGCGACTCACAGCGCGACGGACCGCATATTGGTCCATCCGGAATGAGCAGTAAATGGCATGTGGTGGCTGCAACTCTCCCATTGATAACACACAAGCTCCTATTTCTGGTCCAACTACACTCGTGAAACTTCACGTGCAAGCCAAAGCAACACTGTTAACTTCGATCAAAGTTGCTCCAGCTCACGTGAAATTTCGACCTTACATGTCGCACAGCTGTCGACGTCACTCGCGGCATTGCTCCATTCTTCTTCGCATGCAGGACAGCCGAAGTCTGTCTGCGTCGCCTTGTCCTTCCGCCGCATCTTTTTCTGCAGCTCGTCTATCAATCGCATACGCTGTCGTCTTCCCGAAAAAGGCAGCATCTATAACTTCCTTCAATTCACACAGGAGAAATTTGGAACGAATAGTTCCAAAAATTGTTAAACGTTGAAAGAAAAAACCTTTGCCAAGTTTTCTCCCGCTTTCCCAGCCGCATTACGAGCATTTTTAGGAATCTCTTCACTTGGTCTCGATTTTCGTTTTTTCCATGCTCGCCACATCTCTTTCATTCCTGAAAGCCTCTTGATTTTTTATTCAATCCCATAACTAACCTATAGTGCCAGATTTCAGACGGTTTGCATCGGGGTCTGCGCTGTACTCTTCCATCAAGGTTAGCAAAAGTTCCTGTAATATTTTTTGCTCACTAACAATAACTAAAACTAACTTACTTCAAATAACTTTTCGAGTTTCAATTGAATTACATTTATGCACATAGAAACAAGTGAAAGCCCAATAATGATCAATCCAAATATCAGGAACATGTCTTCGCTATTAGTGGGTGTTACATCTCCTCAAATTATTCAATCAGTCCTTCACAAACCTTTTAGTTTCAAACCATATCCAATTGTGGTGAGGGAGCAAAAAAAGAAATAAAAACTTTTGAAGTAGTCCCAGTCTTTTTCAAAAAATAGGAAAATCGCAGCGCACAGGAACATCCAACCAAAAGCCACTCCTAAACAAAAATGACAACGAAACTGAAATCTATTACCAATAGCCAAAAGCAGAGGCATTTCAGAAATTCGTTCCTCCTCCGAAAGTCTGATTCTATTACTGCCAGATCCAACGCAAAAATATTCTGCAGCTCTGCAAAATGATTTTTTTAAATCGATTCCTTTTTGAAAAGACTCTCAAAAAGTTCTAGAGATAACCTTATAACCCAGTCCCAAACGTTTTCAAGAGCCAGGAGAAAAAATCTGCCAAGCTTGTGAAGGATCATGAGAACCAAAGGAATCCCAATCACTGCGTAAACCATGGCAGCCAGCTTTCCTAACTTCGTCTTAGCTGTGATGTTTCCATATCCGATGGTCGTATACGTTGTGACTAAAAACCCAACTTCAACCATTTAACATTGATGAACATACCAGCAAGAAACATGGCGTTCCAAAAAGTCCAAACGGGTGTTAGAACATGTCCAAGACCAACCGCGTTGTTGTATTCTAGCACGCTTTCATTGACCTGGAACATAAAGTGATTAGATACTGTATCATTTCAAACTAGCAAGAAAGACAATGAAAGAAGTCCCTCACCTTCAGGTGATAATTCAAGAGGGTCCAACCACCTGGTGCTCCTTCGTCGACGAGTTCCCAACATCGCATACATAACTGGAACAAAAACATTTGAAAAAATGTACATTCTCACCTGATCTGTGTAGTTTTTCAAAGCTTTTATCCGTCCATAATTACTCTCAAACTGGTGTTTCCAGAGGGGTTCAGGATTTCGGGGTCGCAATGCCATCGCTTTGTGCATTTCATGTTCAGTCAAGTAAAATGTCGACAACGTGTACCAGTAAACGCTCTGAGTTTACTAATACCAACGATCTTTGCAATATGTCAAAACTTTATAAATTTTGTTGAGTGCATATTTTCTGAATTCCCGTCTTCGCGTGACCAATGAATCGGTGTCGTTACTGAGTAAGAATGTCAAAATAGATTGAAAACGGCAACTTACGCATAGATTTTGTTCAGAACGCTCAGTCTCTCGTGGATATCCATCATGACTCCCACAAGATTATCTGTCAGCTGATTGATGTAATTTCTCTGAGAAAATTTTTGTCAAGTTTCAACACAGAGACTAACCTTTTCTGACAATAAAATTTCTTCATGTGGCTTTTCAATTGACCAAAATATGAGACCGCCGATCAAAGAATATGCAAATAATAGAATTATTGGAAAAAGGTAGTGGACCCGTGACTTTTCATAAATTATCTGAAATAAATGATGACTAGTAGACGAAAAAAAAAGAAAAAGAAAGAAAGAGTCCAACTTGTAAAAATGCGGCAATTCTTTGAATCCTGGATATTCTTGACTCCCGGCGCTCTCTTCTACGTTTTTTGCCGAATGCGTGGCTCCAAATGCTTTCATGCAATAGTAAATGCTGAATAAATGTGTTTATTATAATGTTTTTTTCATTATGAGTGTGAAAAAACGAGCTGAAAAGCTCGATCTTTTTCTGGCTGGAAAAAAATGTGATGTGGATGCGATCTTGAAGTGGGTGATTCAAGGTGGGAATACATTGAAGTCAAAAAGGATTATCTATTAAGTATAATAGGATAGCAAAAAAAGCCTCTCAGTAAGAAGCAAAAACAAATTTGAGAACTGCTTTCAATATGATTTTTTTGAATTGAAAGCAGCTTCTTTGAATAATCTTATCATGAAATTATAAAAATAAATTTTTTTCTTTGAAAAGTCTGAACGAAAAACGGCTTCAACTTTCAATTTTCGATTAATTTTTTTCACAGAACCCAATAAAGCTTTGAAGTTAACAAAGTTCTAACAATATCTTTTTTCTAGGATCATCTGGCACGTTTGGACGGGAAACTTCAATTCAGACTTCAGAAAATATTTCAGTAAAATTTTCTGTACAAAACTTCAGTCTTCGAAAACAAAACTACTTCCCCTAGTTTTCCCGAAAAAGTACACAGCTTCTAGCGCATCATAAACCATCATAAACTTTTTTTCATTCCGATGTATTGATGTTATGAAATTTTAGAAAAAATAATTGGTTAAAAGATAAAAAGGGGAAATTTTTTTTGCTCAACAGAGATAAGTTAGAAGATATCAACGCTTAGTTTCAGTTAAATATTTGGCCGGGTTTCTGAGCACTTAACTAGACATTTTGTCGAAAATCGCAACCAAGAAGTAATTCGAAAAAAGAAGCTCACCTGCATCGCATTTTCATCAACTATTGTGTCTCGCCGCCGCACGAACGAATACCCAACTTTGGGACCATTCATGGTGGCCATACCGTCAGAACATTGCTCGCAAACAGGACGAATCCCAACCAAAACCGATTGATGAGCGTTTTGGCTGCACTTTTTCCGAAGTGAGCTCGTGGTCCAGAGCTGCTCTCGGCTCTAATTGGGTTATTTGCACCAGTCTGTCTTGGTATCCGATTATTCCCGTCTTTGTGAATGAATATGAATGGCATGAATCTGAAGAAATACGCAATATATTTCGTGGCTTCTTGTGACAACGTAAAATCGAAGCTGCTTGATGCTTGAAAAAAGAAAAATGTACATTTCTCTAAGGAAATTCTCAATTTCATATTTTTCTTCTTCACGCTTTCGATTCATGACTGATTCCAATGTTCACTTGGAAAAAATTCTACATTTGATTATTTTTCAAAACTGATTCGGAAGTGCTAGTAATCGTTTGCTAAAGAGCACAGAGGACTTTACAAAAAAAAATTTTGTTTTCAAAAATAAGCTATTCTTCTCTATTCGAAAAACATGGGAACGCTTGCAAATGGAAACAATCAGAAACTGTTCAAGAAATGAAAAGCCTTTTATTATATTCAGTTTTTCTTTTTAAAATAATCTCTCGGTCCTGCGCTATCTAAAACTATGAATGAAGTAATTTTTTTGGAGGTCCAAAATGTTCTCCGGATATTTTCCAAGCGCGCTGATGCACTTGAGAAAACGGAAAGACAAAAGAAAGGACGGATGAAAGACAAAAGTTTCTTCAGAAGCATCCTACGTGGATCAGCCTGCAATTTCAATAAAACTTCCAAAACTCGAAAATGGCTGTAAACTTGTCCCGTTTTCTGATCTTTTAGTCATAAAATATGTAACTGATCAAAACGACATATTGGTTTTAATTCAAAATTTCAGGCGGAACGATAAAATCATTTCGAAAAACGCAACACTTCTGAATTTCCCGTTGGTGAAAAGCTGAAAGACCAATCAACATTCATGTGACAGGAAACGGAACAGTGGCGAATTTTTCAAACACTTGCTAACGAGCGCCTTTGAACAAAGGCCACGAAAGTTGCCTCGGCCTTTGACGTGACAATCCGTCACTTTTTCAGGCTCTCAGCCAATCGTCGACTTCACGGGTATGTTTATTAGGAATTTCCCAAACTGAAAACTCAATGGCACGCGCTAAAGTTGAGAGAAAACAGTTGTCGTTGCTGTCAAAGTATGAGAAATTGCGCGGCTTTTTGATCGCGTGTAGGCACACTTTAACGTACTAAGCAATAAAGACGTTATAATCAGGACTTTCTTTATTCATTTTTTTCTTATTCTTGTTTATATATTCTTTGTTTTCTCATTTTTTTCCATTGTAGCCTGTTTTTTTCTTTGATAAACATTGAACTCATAAATTTCATTGCAGGGCTTTTCACCTAGCATTTTTAAATTTTACAATTTTCCAGATTTTATTTAGATTAAGTTACTCGATTGATATTTACTTTTTTTCAGTTCCAAATCTTCTCTATTCCTAACCTTTTTTCTATCAAAAAAGAGTCAAACAAAAAATTTATAAGAAACTTCAAAAGTTAGTATTTTTCGGACTCCTGGGAGAAGCTGAAAATGATAATTGTGAAACATAGAGAGGCAGATACAAAAAAAAAATTCATCGATAACGTCTACGTATTTTGGAGGGCCAACAGCTCTGAACTGGGGCGCGATCTGATATTTCTCGGCCTCATGCTATTTTGTCGTTTTCTCGCAGTCCGTGAGTGAAAAAAAAATGATATGTTGCAGAGAAATAATAGAGCGCGCCTTAAAGCGCCACAGTTCAGAATGTATGTGATTACGGAGCTACGCAATTTCGCATACACCGTTAACAGCGACCACAAATATTCTGCTTAAAATCTTAGACCAAAGTGAAGTTTTGATGATTGAACTCGAAATAGAACTTCATTGTGATTCTATAAACTATATCTTAATGATTTCATGAAAAAAATTTTGATCGTCTCTCAAACCAGCCTTTTTCCTATTTCCCATAGTTTATATCTTCGTAGAATGCCTTTTTCAATACTTTTAGTTAATATTTGGAGCCTTTTTTGTTAAGGTGGGTAATATGGAACCACTTCATTTTTTTCCAAATATTTTTAGTTTGTATTTTATCTTTCATTATTTGAAAAAAAAGTATGACGTGAGAGAACGATGAACTTTGCACCTAATTTTGAAAAGGCAGGCAAGAGATAAAGAGGACGCAGGCACATCAGACAGTTTCATGTTTTAGCAAATGGACTTTGTGCACCAAACAACGTTTTTACATCGGCCACAGTAAGGAAAAGAGCTTATCATCGCTGATTTCTGTTTTTTTTCGCCGTTGCCGCCGTTCACATGAAATTCGACATGGGGCTTCTGCGATCAAATTTCAAATTGTGCGCCTATCATTGCGTTTGCTTGCGTGCTTCAACGTAAGAAAACGTCCATCTGGACTTGCTTCTCCAAAAAACAAAGGCTCCGTGTGTCGAATTTGGATTCCGCCTCCGGAGATCTTGTCCCCGGAGAGCGTTTCGCAGCGGCATTATTCTCGCTCATCATACTTTTGCTGCCAGTTTTCGCAAGCTTTTTCTAACCCCGACCATCAGGTCTCAGATTCGCTTCTTGCACTTCCAGCTCTCCTCTCGAACTTCCTTTGTTTTTTTTTTCCTTTTTTTTCTTTTATGGATGCTACCATCATAAAAGAGTTATTTTTTTATCTCATTAAAGTCTTATATATTTAGAAGTTATTAGGAGCGGCCTGAATCAAAGTAAAATTTTTCATTGTTAAGAAAAAAATTTTTCAAATTTTTGAGTTTATAAACAGCTCAGTTTTTCAAATCAGGTAGGGAAATTTTTAATCAAAGAAAATCTGAGAAATTTTTTTGGTTGCAATAAGCGTTTCACTCAGAAACCATGTGACGATTATCATAACTTGTTATAAGGATCTACCTAAATGAATGAAAAGTTGAGATTATTAAAAAAATTTTTCTTAAAATTGAACTTTTTTTAGTTTTTTTGATATTTTTTTATCGTTCGAACTACGAAATTGATGATTTTCATCAAGAACCAAGCACAAAGTAATTTCGTCACAATAAAAATATGTAAAAAAATATAATTTTTTTCACATTTAATCGATAACTTGAGTATCTTAAACCACAGCCTATGCGTTAGGATGAACTTCCATGGAAGGCGAAGTCGATAGGAGCAGCCGAAAATGACTGGCAGTTGGCTCCAGTCAGTACTTTCAATGGCTCCCCTTCGCCTCATTAGTTTGAATGGACCGCCAACTCACGATTGCACGTGTAATAAGACCCTAGTGCCCTTTTTCAACCGGCAATTTTGCAGGTTTCTGTTTTTGTCCGGATTTCTCATTACTTTAATTGGTTTCTGCAGCTTGCTGAGTAATTCGGATAAGGGTACTATTTTCACCACTTTCAGTTTTATACTCTCATACAAGATTTATCTACATATTTGTGGAGTTTTCACAATTATTTTGCTAACTGTCCGTCTTGGAGTGACTTCCAGATAGAAGAAATATCCCTTCAAACACGAGATCTCGATAAATTAATCTGGATTTGCTGTTGGAACTCAAACATCGAGAAATTAGAGATCCTACAACATAAAACAAAAGAATGTACCTTTTATGATTTTTTTTTCCTGAAGGTATTCAAACCTGCAAAAAAATAATATTTGATAATCATAACAGTTAAATGTATGATAGGGACTCCAATAAAGATCAAGCTTCAGAAAAATAAATTTTCGAATTTTTTGATCACACACTTTTTTTTTTAATTCGAAAAGATTGATGTCAGGCTTTTTTTGAAATTTTGATCATTATTGAGAAATAGAAACTCATTTCCAGCATTCTCAGACCAAAAAAAAAAAGCTCCGATGGTGGCTTTTTGCCACCTGAGGGGCTGACGCGTGGGAATCGCACGGAGTCTGCAGCCAGTCGAGCGGCAACCCATGCGTTTTTCTTCGCATTTTTGAAATTTTCGTAGCATCAGTAGAAATAAATGAAAAGAAAGAAGCTGAAGGGAACCGACTCTTCAGGTTTTCGCTTCATTGCGTTAGTCTGTTCCTCTTTTTTTTCCTTCTCACTATTTCTGATCTCTTTTTCTATTTTGAGTTGGTTACCTACCCGTTTCATTGCTAACACACTTATCTGTTTGAACTGGACACAATTTCAGCCACAATTTCATCTGATCGATGTATTTCGCGAGGTAATTGCTTTCGCCAAAAATTCACCCTGAAATTTGAATGCGTTTGCTAATTGAACGCATATAGAGTGGCTACTTCACAATTTTGAAACGAAGACATTTCGGCAATTTCACGCAATTTCGTCTTCTCATTTTTATTCGACCCGTTAACGATGCTTATTTAGTAGGCGCCACCACATGTGCTCACTTTTTTCTGATTCTCCATTTCTTTTTCAGATTTACGTACTCTCAATTAAACGCAGCTTCTATGAATGGCGTGCTCTTCACACTTGTTTTTGCCTTCTGACAAATAGTGGCTTTTTCTAAGGAATTTCTTGATGAAGTTTTGAAAAAAAATCTGTGATTTGGTTTCCTGTTGACTGAAATCTAGACTATAGAAATAATGCGTGGAAAACTTTTGGTTCAATTTTTGGCAACAAAATCGAGTCATTTTGTTCCATTCACGACGGCTTTTTATTTTTTCAACTGAATCGGAAAGGTCCTTCCCTTTTTCTCTTTTCAAAGTTTTCCAGTTTTCTCGAATTGCATTTGAGATTGTCCTAGTTATAAAGCTTTCATCTCAACTTGTTTGAATGAACCATTTTTGCACTTGATGTACGTTTAATGTGTAAGTCGGATGATAATGAGATTTGAATTGAAAGTCTGTCAATTCAAAAAGCTTCTCGTGTTTTCGAGATTTCTGTGTAAGACTGGAAAAATCTTTCTGGTGACTGCATCTCCATTGCGAGCTTACTTAACGAAACTCGAATCGAATCTACGGTGAGCGTTTCAGTGTATGCCCCGGCACATGCCCATGCAGACGCATCACCAGCCGCGGAAGACGACACGAGGCCGTGCGCCTCCGAAAAGAATTCTCGACCGTAGGCTTGTAACCTCAAATCATCATCCAAGAGTTCATATTCAGTTCACCAACAAGTGGACTTTACAACCTGCGGTTGGATCTTAACGTTTTGTTCTTATGCTCTGGCCATTCTCACACTTCCCATCTCCATCTTCTTATGTGTAAAGGTCGAGACCAAGTTGTTAATCACTGTCAAAAACAAATCTTCAGGTCGTTCAAGAATACGAAAGAGCTGTCATTTTTCGGCTTGGTAGGATCAAACCAGGTGGCGCTAGAGGGCCAGGTGACTAGAGTTTTTCACTGAATTTTTTTCAAACAAGGCACAAGCCAATAACACAACTAACTATTTTTTGTCGAAAAGAATGGCTTTTTTTTCTCAAAAAACCTGTGAAAAAGTTGACCTTACTGTTTTCAGGATTATTCTTCGTGATACCATGCATCGATTCGTACAAGAAAATTGATTTACGGGTTTTGTCATTTGAAGTTCCTCCACAAGAGGTTTGCGGAGACAGCGGATATTAATTCCATTTTGATCTGAAATGAACAAAATTTAGCTTCTTTCAAAAGACGCTGTGACTGTTGCAGTAGATGCGGTTGTATACTTTCGTATATCAAACGCCACTATTTCTGTAAGATCATGAATTTGATGACTTTTTGGTGGAATATGGGTTCATTCAGGTGATAAATGTGGAAGATGCTGCAAGGTCAACGAAGCTTTTGGCTCAAACGACTTTGAGAAACATTCTTGGTACGAAAACATTGACAGAGATGCTTTCTGATCGTGACGTCATTTCTCTTCAAATGCAAGTAAGCATCAGAATTGAGAAAGCGCAAAGAGACTAAAAAAACGGTTTTTTTAACATACAAAAATGAATAGTTTTAGTAATCATTGATTATTTCGAGTTTGATTGACATTTATAAGCGCCTCTATTATTTCAATTAGTTGTTTGTGCTGAGCGATGGAGATTTGTAGCAAACACCGAATTCTACTAGACTACGATCGCGTGAACTGGTTGCTTGAATAATAGAAAAAAAAATTTGGATAACACGAGGAGAAAACTTTCAAGAGTTTGCAGCGTTCACTAGTGCACACGTTTTTACGAAAACAGCCTTCAGGAAATTGAGTTTGTGAAGTTTGAAAGAGCACTTTTAAGTTCAATATCTGTGTTTTTTATTTATTTTCAATACAAATCTTCAGATTCTTCCTGTTTAACCTCTTCGATGAGTAATCATTGCTTGAATACCAGTTTTTTTTTCAAAATCAAAAATTGAAGATTTGAAAGTCAAAACCGAGAAGTGTAGCAATTTTTAATGAAGCCAACGCCAAGCAAATTTTTGCCTCCAATTAATAATAATTCCTGTTTCAGGCGACACTTGACGAGACGACCGAGCCCTGGGGAGTAAAAGTAAGCATTTTCATTTGCTGGGCATGCTAAAAAAAAAGAAATGCCTGAAACCGAGCGAATTCTCTGCACTTGCGTAACCTAACACTTTGGCGGGTGTCGCATTCAGAGCCTTCGTTACGCATGAAAGATGAGAGAACGTTGAATATGTGACGCGCCGTAGCTCTTCTCTCAATTTGGCGAGTTTAGGTTGAGCGAGTGGAGATGAAAGACGTGCGACTGCCGCATCAGCTGCAACGAGCCATGGCCGCCGAAGCCGAGGCGACCCGAGACGCCTGCGCCAAGGTTCTCTCTCGGAGACTCCCGACTTTTCGGCTTGGAAACAAAAAATGAAGGAAAATTTGTTCGGTATCTCTGAAGAGTGAACTAATGACTTTTTTGAAGCTTGCGAAATTTGTTTTTCTTAAGACTCTATGCAAGGACCAGTTACAAACGTTTTTGATTAACTTTTTCCTAACCTTAGATTATTTTGATTACAATTCTCGAATAACTTTTTGAACTTCCAATCTTTGATTTTTGATAATTGTGCTACGATAATTTTACAAACATCAAAACATCAAAAGTGATATCCTAAAGTTATTGATTGAGATAATTTCAATTTCAAATGTAAGTTTATAATACTTCTCTTGAAATTTTTGTACTTTGACTTATTCTGAGGATAACAACAACAAAAAGCAAGAAAGAACCGTTACATTAATTCACACCAGCAGCTTCACTAATACTGACAGTCAAACTTTTTGAAAAGTTTGTCTTAATTTTTCATAAAATGACACAAAACGTTGAAACCAAAAAGCATTGCGATCACTTTGCGTTTACCGGAAAGTATTAATACCAAGTATTGGATTTTGGACTTCGTTTTTTTTCATCAAAATTTTTGGATAGCTATGAAGAGATGCGGAAAAAGATTCCTTCATTCTTTTCTGATTACATTTTCAATGTATTAACTTCTTCTTGTCTATTGCGCAAATGAGGATGGTTTCAGAAAATATTAATTCAATTAAATTAATCAAAAAAACTGATAATTTTTTTCTTTTGCTTCTTCACACTAGGTTGCAGATAATAGCAGCTGAAGGAGAGCAGAAGGCTTCGAAAGCTCTTGCTGACGCCGCGGATGTCGTATGTCTTGATTTAGTTGAAATATACTTTTTTTCATTTTTTTCAAGATCGCAACTTCCCCCTGTGCAATTCAGCTGCGTTACTTACAAACATTAAACAGCATCAGGTGAGTAGCTACAATTTTTTTCCCACGTTCAGAAGAAGTAAAACTGTAATTAGCCCTTTTTTGCTTCTTACTAGGAATAAAATTTATATTTTAGCTTTGAAAATTTCCAGATAGATTTCTCATATCTATTCTAACCTCCTTCAAAGTAATACTTTTTTTCAAACTGTAAAATATCAATTTCTTTCTTGATTCTGTGTTGACACTGAAGCCTTGAAATATTTTTTTCTTCAGATATTTTTTTCAAAAAAAGTTTTTTTGAAGGTAAGTACGATGAGTCCCAATCTATACCCTAGAAGAGCGTCTGGTTAAACTTTCAGAAAACTTTAAATTTTTGAGTGGGACCAATCCACTTTTTTTTCTTGTTGCACCAAAGCACTTTTGAGAATACTCATAACTGATACTTCAAAATTATTTTCCTTTTTAAAGTCAAGAATTTTTTGAACTGAAATATCTATCATAAATATTCTCTAAAAAGAAAGGTCGGAATGTATTTATTTTAAGCTCCGAGAAAAACAATACGATAGTTTTTCCGTTTCCCATGGAAGTGATATCGAGATTCGTGAAGAATGGAACCAAAACAAGGTGAGATTTGCTTCTTTTACGAGATATGGCGTTGCTTTCAGGAAAAACGTCATCAAGTAGGAAAGAAACCTTCTCAAGAACATACTCCTATTTATGAAATGAATCGAAACGAACAGCTCACTCTTTTGGACATAAATCTTTAACGAATCGTGTTTTTTGTTTGCATCACAATCCCTTGGGTCGATTCGAGCAAGGACAATGCAAAAATTGTTTTATGTTCAATAGTAATGGGATTCCGATGGAAGGCAGTAAGGAGCAAGGCGCTGAAAGAAGATGCCGTACGCCCAGAAATAGAGCGGCAAATGAGAAGTCGTTAATACGATGAAGGCAAGATTAGTTGGTGCCACAGCGACGTCGAGCTCCAGTTGGACCACGTCGACGTCTTTTCGGCCTTGGTGAGCTTTCGAGGCCTTTCAAAACAATTTTCGGCCCACCTGACTCCCGTTTTCACAAACTAATGATGTTTTTGGTTTTTTTTTCAAGCAGCTGCAGCCTGAGATTGGTCTAAAATTTTTGTCCAACCCGAACTCTTCAAAAAATGATAGTTTTTTTTAAAAATTTATTCAACATCTTTTCGAGAAAATCTCACAAAACATTGTTTAATGAGCCGAATAATTGTTGAACAAAATCTGCTAGTGTCTATTTTTCGGATTCTTGCAAAGCTGTTTCCCCTCCTTGCAGCAACTTTTTCTGTCAGTTTTTTTTTCAATGCTGAACGCTCTTAACACACTAGATTTGCGAGCAAAAAGTCATTATATTTTGCCAAAAAAATGTCTGAGAATTTATTGTAAATGGAATTTATTGAAAAAGTATACCATTTTTGTTTTTGAGGAAAATGATATTTTTTTCTAGGAATTCAGCTCAGTGCAAGGCTTTTTTTCTATATATAACTCTTTTTTTCACAAAAAAACCACGGTGATCCATTTTTTTAGAACCTTCCACTTCTTGCACAGCGTCTGAAGGTTTTATTCATTAAACTTTAATAAAGCTATAGTGCGAATGATGCCGTGAAAACGTCCTCTTATTTTTCCACGACTCCCTTATTCGAAAGAAGGAAATTCGCTTGAGCAAGAACTCCGCCCATTTTTCAAGCTGACAGACGGACGCCTCGTCGCCGAAATCGCTCGGCAGTTGGCCCTCGGCTTGCCTTAATTCGTCAAGCATCTCCTCCTTTAATTGATCTATCCGTCGTCCTAAACGGGTCGAATTCGAGGCAAGCGGCCCGGGGCTTGTTGCTCACTGCCACTGTCTTTGCATTCGCCGTGGCAGTTGACGGATTTCTGCTCACTCGAAAGTGAGCTTCATTACTCTTTCGCCCGCATAATTGCTCGAATCTCTCAAAGGTGCTCACTTTCAGTGGCTACTTGGATATGTACATGCTGAAGTGGAAATCTGAATTTGCTAGCTGCTCTGGCTCTCATTCCACTGGTTAGAGCTCCATCGTTTTTCATATTCATTCACTATTATTTGTTAAAACAAATTTATTCATTAAATCCGGTTTGCTCATTCATTGAATTGCCATAGATCTATTGTTCAGACAGTAATACAAATTTTTATCGGAAATACTTCACAAACGCTTGTTGCGGGCTTTAATTACACTTTACAGATTTCAGATTCTCTAACTTTTACCGCCATAAAAATAGAGGAAAAAAGGAAACTATAAAATTCTGTATTAATAAAAAAACGCGAACAGATTATCAGAGAAAAAGAAAATTTGGTGCGCAATTTGCAAACTTGTGCCTAATCGTGAAGAAGTTGCATTCTCAGCTTTTCTGTTTTTCTGCAAGTCATGTTTTTTGGTTGTTCAAATCTCATTTCTCAGTCGTCCTGTGCCGTGCTTCTATGAATGAAAAAAAAAACTCATTTTGAGGTTATTTCATAAAAGAACTCTTGGGTCCCAGAGCTATTGTTGGTTTAGAATAAATGGGTACTCGCGGACGTCCCAAGTGCCCGTAGACAACGATTTATGCTTGAAAAGGAAGTACACGTATACGTTGCTCTTGGTAAAACTCAACGTAGCGTGGCCAGAATGTTATTGCTCGCCGTTTTCGCCTTGAGCTTTGAGGGAAAAAGACAACAGCTGTGAAGTTCCTGGCTGAAGACGGCACACCGACGCTTTTTATACGGGTTCCAATTACATTTGCAGTCCACGGCAACTTATTGTAAAGCAATTTTTCAAGATTTTTTCTTGTTCTCAACATAAACAAAATGATGACTTTGAATGTAAATACAAGGTAAAAAAATCTTTTAATCCCATAATTTGAAAGCTTTTGAAGGTTTGGTAGGAAACTCATTCATTTAGAGTTTTATGAATCGCTTCAAGACTTAATTATTCCACTTACTTCCTTTGAACTACCTCGAAAATTTCTGTGAGCTTAAAAAAACTGACGGTTTTGAAAAATAAACTAGTTTTTGAAAAATTCTTGATTTTGGTCTGGAAATTTGCAGTTTTTTTCTTAATTGAGGAAAAAAGTTTTTTGTTTCGAGCATTCATTGTTGTCATGTATAAAACTGTATCAAAAAAACTACATTAGCCTAATATTATGGAACTTTTTATAAGGACACTTACAAAATCAAAAAAATTAGAGAAACAATTTTTTTATTGATGTAATATTCGCTTTTTGTTTTTCGATCCCGTTTATCTATTGACTGTTGCTCTAATAACGTTCCAAAGGCTTTGATTTCTCTAGTGAAGCCTAAAATTAGCTCTTTGTGAATCTCTTAATCCATGCGTATACTTTGCTTTTTCCTTTTTGACGTGAAACTTTTTTTTATTTTTGCGTTTTTGCGATTTTTGAGAAAAAGCTTTTCATTGTGAATTTTTTACAAGCTGTTGATTTTGCTAGAAATTGTTAGGTCATCTTTTGTTTTTGCATCATTGAGTCAAGTATTCTGCCTTTGTTCGCGTTTCCGTCGCGCCTCATCTATTTCCTGCCTTTTCTTAGCTGCTATCCTCCGGCGGCTCAGAAGACTTTCGTCCACTCATTGAAATAGTTTGCTCAGGATCCTCAGCTGTACTACTCATATGGCTTGTCCTCGGTAGTTGTGACAAAAAGGTGAGATGATGCGTCAAGGCACCGTCCGAGCCCCACCATCTCGAATTATTGACCGTTCGTTTTTCCCTCACCTAAATTTTTTTTTCAAATTTCTAACATTTCCGTTATAGTTTTTTTTTTGAATCAAAACACAAAAATCAATGAAATTTTCATTTTTAAAGCAATGTACGAGCCAAAAAAAAAATCGAAGAAATTTTGATGTAGAAATCTTGTTTCCATCCAGTGTATAAGCCTTGAAGACGATGTTATCTGAATTATTTATGCCGACGGATGCGGAACCCTAATTATTCAGAGAATTTCTAACGAAATCCTGTAAATTGCTGACGTGATTCTTGAGATTTCACTGCAAAATCATTAAGATTTTGAACACTTTGCTTATTTTTTTGTTTCTGTAAGATTACAACTTCTAATGAGAATCTATTTCAGCTCATTTAAAGGTCAACTACACGGTTTGCGGATGGGTTATCACTGTTCTCAGTTATCTTTTCGTTTTCGTAACTCTTCCATTGTCAGCTCTTTTCTGTGTCAAAGTGAGTCTTCCAATAATTCTTCAGCCTGTTCAAAAAGCTGGGAGTTTTCAAATAACATGAGAAGAATAACAGAAACACGAACGGAAAACTGTTTTAGCTTCTTCAGTTCATGCCAAAATTAAGCTCTTATTCATCCCAGAAAACACATGTTGATCTGATTATTGGAATTGTTCAAGTTGAGTTAAGGTTGTGCAAGAGTATGAACGGGCAGTTATATTTCGACTCGGTCGATTGAAACACGGCAGGGCGAGAGGACCAGGTTCGGCTTTTCATCTTCGAGCTAAGAAAAAAACCTTTCAGGGATATTTTTCATCGTGCCGTGTATTGATTCTTTCAAAAAGATTGATTTACGCGTTGTTTCCTTTGACGTGCCTCCACAAGAAGTTTGATTTGAATTCCATTTTCTTCCAAGTTTTTTTCAGATTTTATCAAAAGATTCCGTTACGGTTGCTGTAGATGCTGTCGTGTATTTTAGGATATCTAACGCTACTGTTTCTGTGAGTTTTTCTTCATTTCCTTTTTTTCACTCTGAAAATGTGTTTTTAGGTAATAAACGTCGAAGATGCGTCAAGATCAACGAAGTTATTGGCGCAGACAACACTGAGAAACTTTTTAGGAATGCGAACCTTGGCTGAAATGCTTTCAAGCCGCGATGCAATTTCCATGCAAATGCAGGTCCGTTTGGATGATTTCCATTCAATCCGTAAATGTTAAGTGCTATTTTCGTTCTAAAATTGGAATTTCTTTCCTTACTTCTGACTTAGAGCTTTTGAAACTTTGTTCCGTTGCAAATCGTTTTTCTCGCGTTTGGAACATATTCTTCCTAGAGGAGAACCAAAATCTTCGTTTCTATTTCCTGTCAATCAAACATCCTTCAAGAGAAGTTTTTTCTGAGACACTACTACGCCTTTTTTGTGCAAGTTCCGAGAAGTTTTCCACAACCTTGTTAGGTTTTTTTAGACCAAAAGTACATTGAAGTAGGCCATTTTCTACATAATTTAATAATTCCGTTCTAAAAAGGACTTTTAGCGATGAAATTCATAGACTCTAAGAATGATGATTTTTTTTTCTTTGATAAGTGTGAGGGCTGATTTGAACTTCGTAGTTTTGTGGCCTATTGTTTTCTAAAACGAACAGCCGAAAAAAGTTCAGGCGGCGTTAGACGAGGCGACGGATCCCTGGGGAGTCAAAGTGAGCTTTTTTGTTGGACGGCTCGCAACAATATTAACGTTGATTTATAGGTGGAGCGGGTAGAAATTAAAGACGTAAGGCTTCCTGTTCAACTTCAACGCGCAATGGCAGCAGAAGCTGAAGCTGCTCGCGCCGCTGGAGCCAAGGTTTCTTTTTCTATGTGTCACTATTTTGACCTCACCAATCTTCCATTTATTTATTCAAAGTTCTTCACGAAGTGCTTCTTTTTCAGATTATCGCTGCCGAGGGAGAGCAAAAGGCTTCGCGCGCACTCGCCGATGCAGCCGATGTGGTAATTTCCGCTCGTGTTCTAGGTCGTTTCATGGCAAAAATGCCCGGAAATTGCTGCGGACGATTCTAAAGCCAAAGTATCGAGAATTTTTACAGATTGCTATGTCGCCCAGTGCTATACAACTACGATATCTTCAAACTCTCAACAGCATCAGGTAAGCTCATTCGAATTTCGGAACGCAAAGAAAACGATTTTTTAACATCCCTCGCATTTTTGATCAGTTTTTCACGTTAAGAAACCGCAAAAACATTTTCAGAAAAATCCTGTTATATTTTTTTCAGCATCTTGAAAAAAATAAAAATTACCAGCGAAAAACTGAAAAACTTTCTGATTCATATTCAAATTCAAATAAAAACATTTTTCATGGGAGAAATGATTAAAAAAAGTTCCAATGGAAAATCGCCATCCTGTCGGTAACCACAAAACGTCGCAATCAGTTAAGAAAACTATTTGATATTTTTCAGTTCGGAAAAAAACAACACGATCATTTTCCCGTTCCCGACTGAACTGATTGCCAGAATGGTTCGATCGTCGGCTGCCTGATTTCCTAGAAAACGTTTCTTCACACGTCGATTGATTCATTACGCGGTCCTTTGTATTGACATTGAGCGAATAAAATTTGTCAATTACTGTAAAGCGAACTTTGGCGAAAGAAAAAAAGTTGGGTGAAGGCGGTGATAGGAGAAGACCGGTTGAAAGAAGAACCTACAAATAGCGACTAATGGGTCGAAGGAGCACGCAGGACTCCGATTTCTCTCTTCTGAAAGTTTTGTTTCCCAACATTTTCTCGGCTCTTGTAAATATCTAGTGGTGAATTGAAAATCCCCAGCGATTCTTTTTTGCAGTTATCTCGTTAAACTTTGCCGTAGAAATCACCATTTCAAGAAAAAGAGTTTTTTTGGTTCTCCAAAAAATTCAAACTATTTCAATTTAGCTCTCCTATCTCAACTTTTAATTTTACGACTGCAGCCCTTTTTCGCACCTGCTCATTTGTTCGAAATGCTAAATTTTTTTCTGAATGATATTCTAAAACTCGGAAAGAGTAGCATTCTCAAACAATTGAGTTTTAAGCCACTCAATTTTTGGTGGTTTTACGCTTCAATTCACCATTTTACCGTTATTTTCTCTCAAGATCGACATTTTTCAGGAACATGGCGTTGGCAAATATAATTTTATTGGCGCCGTTTTTAGCAGTTTCTTATAGGTTTGTTCTTCTTCAGCCCGTTGAAGTATTGGAAAATAATAGCTTTTTCCGAACTGACGTTCAAATGAAGTTTTATATTGAGAAATTAAGAAAATGTAAAAAAAAAACGATAGTTATAAATTATAATTGCAGCATGGGCTACGGAGCAAGCACTTACGGTGGTGGATTCAATAGTCCTAGTGGTCCTGGCGGTTACAATGGTGGACCGCCTTTCGGAGGACCGCCGCCATATTCGGCTGGCGGTGGTTACAGTGGTAGCGGTGCTGGAGGCTATTCTGGAGGTGGAGGTGGAGTATACGGCCACAATCGACCTTATGGTCTCGATGAAGGAAGCACAACCATTATTCGCAGAGTAGAATACGTCTCCGATCCAGGTTACGGACGCAACTCTTACAATCGCCCAGTACAGCCTATGCCTCTTCCTGAACCAAAGCCAGAACCTTTGCCTGTCCCGGAACCCAGAGCTGAACCTCCACCTCCACTTCCTCTCCCACGTCCAGAACCTCTGCCAGAACCTCGTGCTGAGCCTCATCCTGAACCCCATCCAGAGCCTCTTCCTCTTCCTGCTCCACTTCCAGAGCCTGAGCCTCGTCCAGAACCACCTCCGCAGCCAATATATCGACGCCCAGTCTCTTCCTATGGAGCTCCGTTACCTATGGATAATAGTTATGCAAGACCTAAATACGGATAAAAATTTATTCTTGATATGATAAACACCTTTGGTGAGGCGCAGAAAAACGTGAAGCTGAGAATAACGAAGAATCCAAAATATTGTTGATACTCGTAAAAAAATTTCAAACAGTATGAACATCGGAACAGGAAGAAGGCAGTTTCGGTAGAAAATAAAGATCAGAGAAAAAAAGACATACAAAAAGAAGTCTCTCAAACAAATTGCTCAAAATTTTTAGAAGGTCTAATCTTTCGAAATGAAAACAAAAGGACGTCAGAAAAAGCTTTTGACAACATTTATTGATTTGTCAGAGAAGTATCTTTTGTACGCAAGAAAACCAACTACAGATGTCAAAAACACCAAGAGGAGTGTGACAGAAGAAACTATCGAAGTGAAGAGCGTTGGAGTGAAGCAAACCGACTCGCCGTCTCGAAGTTGTTCTGAGAGTAAATAGATCATGACCAACAAAAATAGAAGATTCAGAACCATGCATCGTACTTTCGTCGCCGTCTTGGTCCATCACATAAACTGTTTGCGAAAACATGTCTGCATCCCTCGGCTTGAAAGTTTTCGAACGCTTTTTTCTCTGGAACCAAATCGTCATCTTTATATTGGTATTCAAACAAAACCATTTTTGCTTCAATCTCTTCGTCCAGTGGAGGGCCTTTGTAAAGACATAGCGGCGGCTGGAAACACTTTTGCTTGTAATTTTTACAAAAATCGTTTCATTTTGTTTACCCTTTTCCAACTTATCCAACAAAGTATGCCATTTTCATATGGATACATGAAACAATTTCAAAAAAAAAAACAGAAGAAAATGCATAACGAAGGCGGTTCGAAGTACTGAAGAGGATAAATAAAATTTATATTCTCACCGTTATGCCATCACATCCGCCATCGTCTTTGAGACAAAGGCGAATCTCGCATTGAAATCGAACAGCTATGCGATCGGCAAACTTGAAAACGAAAGATTCACGATAGGCCATATTAAGAGCTTCAACATAGGTTGGGTCACCCAGAAGCAAGTGATCAGTATGACATCTTGAAACTGAAGTTCTTAAAAAATAGAAAGATTATGAACAACCCTCTTTCGTCCACAATCATCTGCTTTTCTCCTTGACCGTCTTCCACGTAACAGCTGTGGACCAGAACTCCGTACTCCTCTGAAATGCATGAAAATGATTTAGAGAGGCCATTTAATGTGTACAGGACGGGTAGAAATGAGATTATTATTGATCTTTTTCAAAGACTCACCTGAATCACATTGCCACCGGTGAACAACTTGATCTCCCACTTTGGCGTATCTGAGAATTGGACCATCCAGTTGGTCTTTCCTTATAGTGTAGCTGCATGTGGGCATCGCAAGGTTCGATGAAACTGATTCCGTTGGAAGATTGCTGAAAAAAGATAAATTCAAAAGTCAATATGAATGGTCACCTTAACACTAATATTGTATAGAAGTTCAAAAAATATTGCATTCTATTCAAAATCATGATGGACGATTCGCAACGATTTGCATGAATATTAGTCTCAAAATTTGCGTGCGATACAAAAAAAGAGATGAACATTGCATGGTTCAGGGATAAAAACGATTTGCAACGCATCGTAAACCCGACTTTCTCGTCTGTCGAGTGGTTTGTTTGAAGCCAGTTTTTGAACGAACTGTATTCAACTTCGATGATGATATGAATGAGCCTCGAATGTACTACGTTTGTAACAGGATTAGAAATTTAGGAAATAAAAGGACAAATCAAAAGGATTTTAAAAGAAACTTAGGTTAAAGGTTAAAAAGGAATTTTCCAGTGCAGTTGCGAGCAACCGCGCTGCACGATCCCTCAAGGGGTGAACCAAGGGACGAGGAAGCGCCCACGGCGCGGCGGTCAAAATTAATAGTTTTTTTGATCTTTTTTTTAAATTTTTTGTTTCTTCGTTAAAAAAGAGCGGGAAACGAATGGAAAGGTTTTTAGGGAAGAGTCTCCTCAGTCGCAACTTTTGTTTGGTTGCTTGACTGGCAAACTCGGTTAATGTAGAGTTTTTGGTTGAGCTGAGCTCCCTTGGTTTCCCGCTCTCCCTTGTTATTCCATGCTTGGACAGGACCTCATTTTTCGTTCAATTTGAACACTAGGACTTTACTCATCTGTTTTTGGATTGAGATTTCGGATTTAGTTTTCATTGGAATTTACCCACGTTGGCCGGGGACAATTTCTTTCTTAGATGGAATGCGTCCCCAGGGTTTAGTTCTAATCGTTGGCTAATTAGCACTCAGGATATCAGGACTAGGAATCTTTTGAAAGGTAGTCACAATCCAGGCTAGGTTAAGCTAGGGATCTTTTCGACAACTAGGAACACGTGTTTTTCCCATTTTTCTGGTGTATGGGTTTTTTGTACATGTGTGATTTGTACCTCACCTCCTAGCTGTATTTCCGGTCTTTTCGTGTAATAACCAGATTATAAAGATTTTGTATATGAAGCGTTTGTTTGATGATGATGAACCAAATTTATCTGGGATCAACGCCATCTACCCCGGAGTTGTCCCGCTTAGGATCCGTCCTTTTAGGAGAGGCTCCGGGGCCCAGTCGGCGACACGTTCCTCACGCATTTTCAATCATTCAATAGAAAATTCTCTTCCTTTGAATACACAAGGCTCTATGAAACCTTCTATTTTCAAGTTCTCAAAGTTCCAAACCTTAGAAGTCATAAAGATTGGTCGAGTTGCGATGTAAATAAGTTAAAAAGTCTGAAATACTCACCTGACGTCAATTGCTGCAGTCACAGTTCGAGCCGCTTCTTTGTACATACACTTTATGTGATAGGCTTTGTCCATCCGTGTCAAGAAAAGCTGGAAAAAATCATTGAAGGAAATCAAATAAAAATAATTTTATCAAACCCGAGACTTCAGCATCCTAGAAAAAAGTTCAGAACTTTTATCCTAAATAATATAAATGACAAAAATTATTAACAGAGAGCAGATGCGTACAAGCGCACCACATATCAAACGTAGATACGGACGCAGTAGCGTTACAAAGAAACTCTTACAATGTGAAGATTCATCAATTGTTTTCCGAATTTCATAGCTCTTCGCTTGAAAAAACGTTGAATCAATGTTTAAAATTGAAAAATTCTTATTCCTTTCCAAATTTAGATTTTATCCAATGCGAAATTTTTGAACCAACCGGATGAAAACTGATAATCAAAATGGTTGAAAACATCATTCCTTCAGGCGCTATCTGAGACTGCTTCTTATTTTCAGTAGCGATGATTTCTCTTAACCATTCTTTGGCGGTCCATGTTGCAAGCGCCGTGGTTGAGTTTGATTCCTCCCAATGGCCTTCCATCTTTGTCGTGGGAACTGTAGTCTACCCGGCACTCTGGTCGGTTGAAACTACCTTTCACGTAGACTTTTCCTGGAAATTACAATTTTCGATTTTCAAAACTTCGTCGTTTGGGTCACTCGCAGAAGAATATTTCGAAAACTCTGATTGTAAATCAAATCATTCAAAATAACAAAAAAAGTTGCCTGAAAACTGTTTTTTAGTTTTGAACTGCATGTCAATTGTATCCGCATTGCATTTGATCTCTGGATGTCCTATAAGTTCATTCTCATCTGATGCACCATGAATCGCTGTCGTCTGAAGAAAAAAACGAAACGTCAATGTCAAAAATGATTGGCACATACCCCAAAAAGAAACAGCGAGAGGACGAAAGGCCAAGTCGCAATTCGCATTCCGCGACAGCGAAAAAATGCTGAAAAAAGTTCGGAAGTGTTATTGAAGGCTAGCAATCCAAATCAGAATACCGGCAAGGATTGTATTGTGGCGGTAAGGTAATATGCAAACGAGGGCAGGGCACTCAAGAAATGAATACATGGTTTGGAATACGCGGAATATTCCCGTCACCTCGAAGTGTGTTTAGATTTTTGTCTGGAGTATGAAAGCCATTCAAATCGTAACTTGGAAGTTTTCGAAGAGAATAGTTAAGCTATTTTAAAAGTTTATTTTTACAATAATCAAAAAAAGAAACTATTTTAAAAATTCTGGATTTTTCAGAGTTTTTTTTTGCATAAAAGTTGAGTTTTAGATGAGAATATTTCACACAGCCACCTATGAAAATCATTTTTGAGCCGAACTTTCAAACTCGTGTCAAGTAAAAAAAAAAGACACGAACTCAAAATTTCATAACTTTTTCACAAGTTCGAGTTTTCAAAGCAAGCAGCATAAAAAATCTTACTTTCTGGATGACGTTTGGGTGAGTTCGAAATGATTTTAATAAGATTGTGAAGAAAAAAAAACGGGCTTTACAAAAAAGTGTAGAAGAGAAGCGACCTAAAGCACAGAATTGAAGCTTTAAAATGTCAGAAATGGGCAGGACGATATTTCCGGCGAACTCCTCAACGCCTACTTCAAGAGGACAACCAGCCGGGTCGACGGTTTTGCCGCCTTATTCTCGACTTGCGCAAGCCCTTTGTTGGACTACTTGGAGGTGACGATTACCGCGCGGACGCTTCTTTCTTGCCGCCTCTGGTAATACCTTTTTTTAACGTCGACAGCTTTGTCTGTCCTCAAAATACAATGACTTTTTTCGGACGTAGCTCGATTACTTCTTGTGAACTATAGCTCTTGAAAAACAATTCACAAGAAGAGTCAAAAAAAGGTCATCCAGTTTTTTTGCGATCATTGGGGAGCTCTTGAAATTTACATGAGAGTAGCTATTATGACCAGTTCAGGAAAAAAATTTTCCGCTGAGAAAAACTCGTAGAAATAACAGAAAACATTTGACTTTTGCGAGGAGCCACAAGTATATTTTTTGTAGGAGCCAGGCGGAAATTGAAGGCGTTTTCTCGAAAAACTAGAAAAGAGCCTGATTCATCAAGTCTTCCTTGTCAGACAGATTTTACAACAACTCAACAAGAAAAAAAACAAAATTTTGTGTAGTTCGAAAGGAAAGAACTTGTATCAAACCAGAGGTTAGTCTAAAAAGAAATGGCTAACGCAAAGAAGAAAGAATAACTAAAAGCGAAAACAGAATGAAAGCCAGCCGAGTTGCAGCAACAGGTATGCCGACGGCGAAAAGTAAGCATCTAGTGGATTAGGTTGCGGATGAAGCTTAATGTAGGCGGCGGACAGTCGCCCAAGCGTTGAAAACTCGGACGATGTTCAATTAAAAAAGTAGAACAAGAAACAATTTTTTCGGACGACTTAAAAAAGAACAAGAGAAGAAAAGTGAGCGCCGCAGATACATCTCACGTGCTCGTTGAATTACCGCACCTGCTCCTGAGCCGTGACCTCAGCCTCCCGCGTACCTGTATTTATTTCATGCCCATTGTGACAGTTCACTTTACCGTCACGAGAACCACCTGTTACTCATTAAGCTCAGCGAAGCTTGAACTACTTTCAAGAGTAGATTTTTCTTGTTTTTTTTTCTGTCGGAATAATTTATTTATACGTCACAAACTTCTAAACTGAGCTCTTGCTGAATTAGTTCATATGATCACTTTATTTCTCACAGTTTTCGTCCAAAAAGTTCAAAATTCCTTCATGTGAAAGTATTCAGTCTCGTTTTCAAGACTCAACAAAAAAAATTTTGAACTTTACGTGGTAAGGTTTTCAGTAACGTTCCGTTATATTCTTTGAAATACTACACGTCAGTATTTAAATAAATTCAACTTTTTCTTCTGAGGATAAAAGGTGACTTTTTTTCAAAAAGCTGTGCAAAATAGAAAAAAAGTGATAATACTTTTTTTCTTACTACTCGAATCTGTTCAACGCGTTGTTCTTAAGCAAAAAAAAAAGTTTTTCTCTCAAAAAACAAGGCCGGCTGGCCGATATCAAAAGATAGGTCAACCGGATACCTAAACATTAATTCCGAGAGATTTTACGAGGCGCCGACAATACAAGTCGAGAGGTCAAACGTGCCGGTTCAATGGCAATTAGCAACCGAGACAAAAAGAACAAGGCTGCGAGCACAAGTTGTCGACCGAAAAACTTCAAGGAGTGCCGGTTGTCCAGAAGAAAAAATATTCCAAGTTGGACTGGAACGTTTTGTATTGATGAAAGCAGACGCGTTTTTGAAACAAGTCTTTTTCCGAACTGAAAAGTTTTGTTCATTTGCCTTTTTGAAAAGCTCCAAAAGGGGCTGCTTCTTGAGAAAAGTTTGCAACTCTTATTTGAGACTTTGACAAAAAAGAAAAAATATTCCGAAAAGTTTTAACATTGATAAGTATCGATTGAGATATTTTGATATTAGTCTCTCTAAGCTTCTTTAACTATCCGTAACAAAAAAAACCAACGTGAAATCCAACAAACGGCAGTTGCATGCGGCAAAACGTAGAGGACATACAGGACAAATTATGTAATTTCGGCCCGTAACATCCAATCTGAACAATATTCAAGGACAGATCTGCTGTCCGCTACATAATAATTTGAGTTAATCACTTTTGAACCCCTTTTTTGCGTTCGCGTGTAACTTTTTTGTACTTTGTTGAAGGCAGCACGAGCCAATTTTAGCCGTTGCCAAAGGTCAAGATGAAAATGGCTAGTAATTGCAGAATAGGTTTGAAGGGACATTTTTCCAAAAAGTTGAAATCAAAGGTCGGTAAAGAATTGTAGAGTGTTTCTGAAGTCTCTATTGGAAAAAAATTTTTAGGAAATCACCGAAAAAATGTCAGAAAATTACACTACCTTAAAAACTCAGTTAACAATGATACCTTGAATTGATATGAACAATGAATATATTGACCATATCAAAAAAGATTGAAAACTGAAAGAATTAAACATTATATTCTTCAGACTATCATTTAAAGAAAGTTCAAATAGTTATGATGAGACATTTAGAAAGGTAGTAGTAAACACATGGAGTCGGTTTACCTATTGATGGGTACACCTGATCACTCCTATGTCCTACCGACGGAGCGTGAGAAAACAACCTAGAGACAGCTGAGCAATACGGTCGGCAGGCGGAAAGGCGGCGGGCGTCCATATCGGGAGCGTCTGTAATGACACCTGGCTCCGTACAATTTTCCGTCTCACTGAAACCTCATTAGATGATTTTTCGCCCGAAACAAAGGAGCCTTCCGTCGTTTAGAAATCTTTGAAGGTGTGAGAAACTGTTCAACGAGGTCAGCAGAAACTTGAGAAAACATTTGACTCCGAGAAAATTTGATGAAAATTTAGAAAGCAAAAGCTAACCGAACTTCTAATTTTTCTCACGAATTTTACAAAAAATTTTCCTTGGATATTAATAAGATCATTGAAAATAAAAAATAATGGTTTGATTTATATTGACAGTCCGATTGAAACCAATTTTGAGAGTTTCGAAGCATCGAAGCAACCAAACTTTTTGCAGAGTTCTCCGTCGATAGGTTTGCGTCGAGTTTTTTTGTAATTTTTTCATTTTAGGCGTTTTTTTCTGAGGTTTTATCTTTATTGAAAGTCCTACTTTAGCCTGACTTTTTGCAGCCAGGGCCGGAAATTACAAAAAAATTCATTACCTGAATTTCTCAAAAACGCAATATTTGATTTTTAATCTCGTTTTCATAAGCTAGCAGTCTTATTCGACGAATGAAGACCTAATAAAATGATTCAAGTTGTTCCTCAAACTAAATGAAAGGCTCGATTATAGGTTGCAATTGAAAAGTTTAAAGTCAAACTGGTTGACGCAAAGACCTTGCCAAGAAGTTTCTACACAATCTCTTGATTTCTTCGTTTCTGTTGCTATCATGAAAACCTTTTTCTTGCTGACGTTCGTTCCTCTATTCGTTTTTTCTCAGCCGCCGGATTTTTTTGGCTTTCCAGGTGCGTTCATCAAAGTTGTTTTCATAATTAGCTATACTCACAAATGACCATGTTTGTATATATATGATGTATTTCAGACGGACCTCCTCCGCCGTTTTTCAGACATCGACATAGATTTGGGTCTGTGGCTGAATAAAATTCGATTTAAAAAATGTATTACCAGAGGTCCTCCACCATTCGGACCCCCTCCTTTTGGTCCACCTCCGTTCCGAAGACGATGGGGACCTTTTCCACCACCAGACTTTCCCCCAATGGTAACTTTTTTACTCTGATGGGAAATTTCAGGTAAAAAATTTAGGGTCCTCCACCTTTTCTTCCTGAGCCGCTGCCTTGGGTAGATATGCCTCCAGTAGCCTCACAGAAAATTCAGAAATAATAAAAAAATTTAATTCAAGCAACCGGAACCTCCTGAGACTCAACCACCGGCTCCTGTGATTCCTGAACCACAACCTCCTTCCATTTCCGGACCAATTTATACGCAGCAAATTGATAGTGTTAGTTTTCTAATTGTTCATAACCCAAGTGTAAGCTCTCTTCTTACTTTTCTAGAAGTTTTCTCATTTGTTGATTTTTTTGTAATCCAACAAAATAGAATTCCACATAACTTCGGTCTATCAGGTGATTTCGAGTATCAACTCTCACACTGCCGCTTTCCAACAACCTGGACAAAGTTATGATCAAGTGTTACAAGTGATGAAACAGTTCTACGGGAGAAAAGCGAATACCGAATACGTAGGTTTTTATCTCTTTCTTCGGCAAAAGTTTAACCTCAGGACATTGCTAAAGTGCAACTCCCAATGAACGGCTTAAACAACGAGCTCAGCGCAAATCGAGCTGTAGCTCCGGCTCTTTTCGAGTCAGACATGGTTCTGACGGTTTCACAGATCAAAAAAATCGCTAGCGACGGCTTCAGAGTTAAAAGAAAAATGAACGTGAATGGAACAACGTGAGTTTTTTCAAAGTTTTCTCCAGTTTGTGCCTGGTTTTGTCCACTGTACACAAAAAAACTTTCAGTTGGTCTACATCTGTCTCATACCGGTTTCTGGACACTGACGGTAATCAAAAAAGTTTTTTAGCTAATGAAAAAAAAAAATTTTAAGCGGAATGGCAAAAACAAATTAAATCCGCTCTAAATTATTTTGAAAGAAACACCTGTATCCGTTTCCGACAAAACGGTCCAGGAACAGATTACATTGCCTTCAATAGAGGAGAAGGGTTCGTTATGATTTATTCGAAACTGTGTCATGAATCAAAATCGTTGCAGGTGCTACTCGAGTGTTGGTCGACTCGGCGGTGCGCAGGAAATCTCAATCGGTTATGGTTGTGAAACGGTATAGCAAGGTAATTTGGAGCAAGCTCAAATTGTAGACAGCTGGGGATTATTTCGCACGAAGTCAGTCATGCCCTTGGATTCTGGCACGAACAAGCGAGACCTGAGAGAGATTCCTACGTGAGGTAACTTTTCTGGTTTGAGTTTTAATAATATTCACTACCTTCACGGATAGACAGCAATGCGGAAAACGGAAAGACCGCATAAAATATAAGTTCCATTTCAGAATACGGTTTGACAATATTGTACAGGGAACACAGGGTCAATTCGACAAAAGAAGACCTTCTGAAGTTCGAGATTACGGAATTCCCTACGACTATGGCTCCGTCATGCACTACGCCGCGCAGGTAGGTTTCCTCGAATCTGCAAAAAAAAAGTTAAATTTTTCAGTCTTTTTCGCAATCTTCAGCTTTAAACGCAATCGAAACTGTTGACCCCCATTTTATGAGTACCATCGGTAACCGAGTTGAACCTTCTTTTTTGGATTTGAAACTCCTCAACAAAGCTTTTTGCGCTGGTTTGCATGTATCACATTAATCTTTGAAAAGCTTTTTTGAAGGAGTGTGCAGAAATCAACTGCGATGCCAGCATGGAGGCTATCCAGATCCTAACAGCTGCGGTAAATGCAAGTGCCCGACTGGATTAGAAGGGACTTTCTGCGAAAAGCTTCAAACTTCAAGTGCTTCCAAAAAGTTTGGTGCTTTTTTCAATGAAACTATGTAGACTGTGGAGTCGAGTTGCCAGCGGCGGGGAGCCGTTGGAGGAATATTTCTTACTCTGGGACGTCGGATTGTTACTGGCGAGTTCAAGCGGTTAGTTTACCCTAAGGTTTCCACTTTTTTAATTATTTCAGCCTAACAACGGGAAAGTACGATTCGAACTCACATACGTTATGTACAAGTGTAACCCTGTCTGCGAAGAGTTTGTCGAAGTACCAAATAGAAATATTATTAATTGCTACATTCGCTTTTTCTAAACCAGATCAAATATGATACAAATCACGAAACGACAGGTTTTCGAGAATGCTGCAGAGCTACAAAGGGAGAGTTAATCAGTCGTGGAAGCAGTATAATTATTATTTCCAAAGCAGCCCAAAACTCTCAGTTCGTGCTACGATACAAACTTGGTATTATAACACAAATTTGCGTGTTCATCAAATAACTTTTAGAAGGAGGTGCACCACCACGACCAAATCGAACGTGTAACTTTTTTTTCCGCCTAATAAAATAAATTATGTTTTACACAGTACCGAAGGCCAGCACGTGGTCTGGTTGGAGCTCGTGCTCAGAGAAATGTGGAGCTTGTGGCACTCAATACAGAACCAGGTATACACATCTTCATTTTTTTCCTGCTGAAAGAGTGCGTTTCAGAGGCCAAGAAAGGCAAAGTCGAGCTTGTGACACTCAGCCGTGCACACCGGGCACCACGCGAGGGAAAAGAAGTCTTTATAGTGATTTTTCAATCTCTTATTGTTTGATATCACTGAATTGGTTTAGGGGAACCCCGCGCTTATATACCTTGGTGCTGTGCGCGGTTCATTCTCAAGAACAACGTGTGCGTTCCAGTCAGATGAGAAAGCTTTCATTGCATTCTTCACGTGCTTGCCAATGAACTTTCTTTGCGCATGACCTTCATTGCCGCTGGCAAACACGTTAGAGCAGTGAAATCCTCAAGGTCTCGCATTTAAGCGTCCAATCCTTGAGCAAATATGAAAATTCTTGTTTTTATTACATAACGAGAAGATGGAAAGAAGAAATCGTCAGTTTCGAGTGTTTTCAGATGAAGGTGAAGCGGAGAGATCAAAACATCAATAATAAACTTTTTCTTCTTTGCAGTGAGGAAAAATTCAATTGGGAATTGAAGTTTAAAAGAAAAAACTTTAAGAAAGCTTTTTTCGGAAATATCACGTCTTTAGGTTTGATCAAGAAAATCGTTACTGAGGCCGTATGCAATAAAGTGGAAAATGGTGGAAAATGGTTTTCCACCATTTTCCTGAAACTCGAAAATTACTGCAAGTCTTTTTCATACTGAAATTGCTTCTTATCCGAATGTTCTTGTAAAGACTTATAACATCGGATCGAAATCGACGATATCTTAGCAAGTTTCGAGCTTTTCTATTTTCAGGAAAATGGCGGAAAATGATTTTCCATTTTACTGCATACGGCTTCTGAATGGAAATGTACTTGATTTTTGATGATTGGAATATTTTGGTTAATAGTTGAGCTTTTCTGGCCTGATCCAATAACAAAAGGCTGAAAGAAATAGATTGAAAAAAAAAACTTTTTCTTGTACAAAAAAAGCTCCCTTGCAATACTCCCTTTGAATTCACCGCTGCCGAGTTTTCGAAGTTCCCACAAGGAAATCAAGGATACGTGGACGGAAGCTGAAACTGGTTGTGCGCCACAAGTATATAGAGGAAGGTTTCTTGCACACAACCATAATCTCTGCTTGTTCTCACATCATGCAAACTCGAATGATCCTTCCGCTTCTTTTCGTGAGTTTCCTCGTTTCTTCTTGCCTGGATAGAAAACTTTTTGTAGTTTTGCCTAATATTCGAACTTTTTCGTCGCTGTGAAGAAGACTTTAAAATGTTCATCGTAATTGAAAATCCGCTATAACATTATTTCCCTTTTCCTGAAGAAAATAATCAGTTTGACATTTTTTTTTTTGCGATTTCTTGCTGAAAGCTCGATTGATCATAGAGAAATTTAGAATAATCATGACAAGAGAAAAACAGGTAGGTTTTTCAAAATCAAGATCCCAGTCAAGATGGTCAAAATTTATTTTTTTATTATGAACAATATTATCAGGAATTTTCCAAGAGCATACAGTTTTTAACCGATTTTTACAATGAAAAGAGCTATTTCGAATATTTTCCAGTTGATTTCAAATGAAAATCAACGAAAGATAAGTTCCTTTCCATTCTAAAAACTTCATTGTTTCAAATTCACAGAAAAGTTTTTTGAACACGATGTGTAAATCATAGATGCTTGTTTCCTTTGCTGGAGCTCAATACATGATGGGCGGCTTTGGAAGGCCCTGTGGCGGCTGTCCTCCTCCGATGTGCCAGCCTAGACCAAGTTGTGGAGCGCCGCCGATTCCGATGTGTCCACCTCCTGCTCCTTGTCCTCCACAGTAAAATCATTCCTTCTAGTTTATCAACTTTCTCAAAAAAATTCAGATTCTGTCCGCCCCCACCGATCTGTCCGCCACCACCTCCCCCGCCGATGCCGCTTCCCTTGCCCCCCACCCCCCACCTAGACCTTCGTGTCCGTGCATGGGGCGCACTTTCATGCCTCTACCTTACCAGCCTCAAGTCTATCAGCCAGCAATGTACCAGCCTGTGTATCAGCCGATGCCCGTACCTGTCCCAAGCTCCGGAGGTTGCGGAGGCGGCGCGGTGGTTCCTGTTCCCAGAATACCAGCTCAGGTAAACCAAACATCACGAACTCATTGATTTCAAGTATCCCTTTTAGAACGATTGCTGTTGTGGATGTTCATCTCCTTGCAAGTACAAAAGCGTGCGACGAGCTGCTTTTGCGGCAAAAACTGTGGATCCTTCCTGCAATAACTCAGAGTTGAGAAACATCATTCTTGATGTGAGTCACTCATTCAAAGATCGCGTGGTCGAGACTCTATTTTAGAACATTAGCGACGACGCTTCGGAATCGAAAAGAGCAATCCAAAAGGCCGCCGAAGAAACACTAGGAACCGAAGTTAATGTCGTTTGCGGCCGTGGAGAGTTCAGCTACATTGCTCATACGGAATCCTTCTGTCAGACTTCGAAAGAAGACGTCACATGTTATGCATTCAAACCTTTATGAGCTTCCAAGTGTTTTTCCAAACCATGTCTGTATGTTTTTGATCTTTGAACTTCTTCTTTTGAATAAAAGGCTTTTTTTCAGAAAGAAACGTTGAAAATTTTCGTTCATCAGGATTCGTATTCTTAGCTCATAAATGGTCGATTTGATACCTAAGAAACTACGAAAAAAAGTTTTAACTTCTTCTTTTTTTCATTCAAGTTACTATAATTTTTTTCATTAGATGTCGTTTCGAAGGCCTTAGAGTTTGGATCTTCGAAACTGATTGGCATCAACAGATTTTGAGAGTAAAACTTCAATGAACGACATTTTGTGAGAAAAAAAATATATAATTGGTCCATCTTGTAATTGTCACCTCTCTTGTGAAAATTCCAAGTTAAAACTGTACTTAAAAAAAATAATCAAAACTCTCTATTTTCTTATCGCTTGATAAGTAGTTTGATTGTCGGAGATGATGAAACCCAATCGATCACATATCTTGACTTTTGGTATCAACTACGGCGTTGCGTCATTCGGCAGCGCTATCTGCGACCTTGCGCCGAAAAACAACCGTTTCGTCGAAACATTCGTGATGCTCTCGCCACTCGTTATTTTCCTTTTGCAACAATTTTTTGTCATCCTTTTTCTTAGAATAGGTTTCAGTGCCAAAAAATTTTTTTTCTGATGTTTCGCTGACAAGGAACGTCCTTTCACTTTGCGGTTAAGAATTTCCTAAAAATTAGTCAAAATACTTCTTGACGTACCAAAAGGAAACTTCGAAAGTTTTAACCTGCACAACTTCTCGATTTTTTTCAGAAAAAAACAACTCAAAGACAAAAAAAATAAAAAAATTCAGTTAAAATAGGCCTTTTTGAGACTTTGAGCCCTTCTTTATCGAAAACTGAAGAGTTTTGCAGATTGGAACATTTAGATTCTTTTTCTGGTACATCGAGGATTCTGGCCGAATTTCAGGAAACCTTCAGCCGCAAAGAAAAATGAAGAATCATCTGAGCATCTGTGGAATAATTGGATTTCATTGGGGATTATTTGTGATATTAAACCGTCTAGGCATGAAAGGTTGGAAAATTTTTTTGGGAAGAAGTCTCTGAAAGAATCGTCATATATGACAAGGAATGTGATTTTTGTGACAAAAAAAAACTATTTGCTTCTGCCGGTGAATTAATTCTAAAATAAAATGTCCCGAACTACATGAAAAAGCTCACTGAAATAGAACCACTATTATAAAAAAAAATGTTTCGCAATGTATATTATATTTCATTACTTCAAAATAGAAATAAAATCTGGAACAGCAAAAATAAGATTTAGGAAAATGAGCTCTGAAATGATTAGTTTTTCTTGCAATGATTATCGATTATCAATTTTTAACTGTCTCACATTTAAAAATTAGCCGGCGCAAAAAAACAGTTTGGTTTAAAATGTAAATTTAATTGAAATTTTTTTAATTCTTTTTCATTCTGCTACCTTGAAAAAACTCTCGAAAGCATCAAAAGTCTAGTAAAGAGATGACTATTTTCAATTGTATCACACAAAAATGGAAACCAAAAAACGTTTCAGTTTCTTAAAATAATAGGTCCGATTATGTATCAAATCAATTTTTAACAATTTTGGGGGATACTGTAATCAAAGTGTGCACGCACGCACACGCAATTATGCTCAACAAGCAGCAATTTCTGTCTTTCTCATTTCTCGTTTTCATTCTTTTTATCTTTTCTTTTTTTCATTTCTTTTTTTGTGGTAATTCAATTTTTCACTCCAAATATAATTTCAGATGACCTCGTTCGTCAATATCCCTGCCGGCTCCGACTTTACCTTCGAAAACTTACCTTATGGCGTTTTCTCAACTAAGGACAACGTGAGTTTTTGAAATTTTATATTTCTATTAAACATATTTTTCTATATATTTTTCGATCACTGTTTCGAAAAATTTTCAGCATACCCATCGTATCGGAGTGGCCATCGGTGAAGAAATTCTCGATTTGTCTGTCGTTTCCAAGTTTTTTGACGGCCCAATCTTGCGCGAACACCAGAATGTCTTCCAAAATGTTCTATATTTGATTTGAATGTACTTTCAAATAAGACTCACTCTACAGGAATCATTGAACGATTTCATGAGACTTCCTCGTGCGGCATGGTCTGAAGCTCGTAAAAAATTACAAGAGCTTCTTGGAGAGTATTCGCCTCTCAAAAACGACAGTGCTTTGAGGTTTTTTGTCACTTTGAAAAAATATTCTGTTTAAAGCAATGGTGTTCTAGAAAAGAAACAAAATAATTGTTTCAGTAAAAAGGCGCTCGTGCCTCAGTCCTCTGCTACCATGCATCTCCCGGCCCAAATTGGTATACCCTTTGTTTTATCTTATTTTCACTTAGTTTTGTAGGGGATTACACTGACTTTTACTCTTCCATTTATCATGCGACCAATGTGGGAATCATGTTCCGCGGAAAAGAAAATGCGCTTATGCCGAACTGGTTTGTGGAAAAAATTGTGAGGATTCAAACATTTTTTAGGAAATGGCTTCCGGTTGGTTATCATGGCCGCGCTTCGTCAGTTGTAATTTCTGGAACCGATATCCGTAGACCTCAGGGACAAACTAAACCGGAAGGAGGTTTGTTAATCTTACCTGATGCCATTTCGAAAAGCAGTAAAGCATTTTTTGAAGTTTTTCAGCTTATGAATTTTTTGCAGTATCTGAGCCTTTGTTTGGCCCATCGAAATTGATGGACTTTGAACTCGAAATGGCGTTCTTTGTTGGCGGAGAAGAAAATCCTCTGGGAACGCGTGTTCCAATCGAGAAGGCTGAAGACCGAATTTTCGGCGTTGTTCTAATGAACGACTGGAGCGGTGAGCATATTACTTTCGAGAAAAATGAACAGTCGGAATTTGTTCTGCAGCAAGAGACATTCAAGCTTGGGAATATGTCCCACTTGGTCCTTTTCTCGCAAAATCACTCGGCACTACTATTTCGCCGTGGGTTGTTACTATGGAAGCTCTGCGACCTTTCATGGTGGAAAATCCAAAACAGGTACAAAATAACTGGAACTTGAAAGCAAACTTAAAACTGTAGATCGAATTTCGGAAAATGTTTCTTTTCATTTTTTTTTTCTTCCTTTTAGGATCCGGTGCCTCCTGCTTATTTGCATCATGAAGATCCTTACACATTGGACATCAACCTCGCAGTTTCGATCAAACCAGAAAACGGTCAAGAGCACGTTGTGGCCAAAACTAACTTCAAGGTTTCTCTCAAGCTCAAGATTATTTTTTTCATTTTGTTCATCCATTTCTCGAAAAAAAGTTTCAAAAGTGTAAAAGTATCGATCGCATGTTTAAACTACATCGAAACTTTTTATGGGAAATAGATTGCATCTTTTTTTCTCAAAAAAATTATATGAAACTTCAATCTTTTTTTCCACAACATAAATCCTAGTTTTTTTGCTTTTTGAGCGTCACAAAATGGGAAAAAAACTTTTTGATAAAATAACAAAAAAACAGTCATTATTGATAATAATTCTCAAATAATATCGCTCACTGTTTTGAATCTTGAAGAATGGACATATTGGAGGTGATTTATCATCTCGATTTCCCTCTTTGAACAGCTCAGAATATGGAGTTGGTGTGAAAATAATTTTTTTTTTACTAATATTACTTCAAATTCTGTTTAAATCTGTTACAATATCAAAAAAAATCCATCACAAAATGAAGTATTCTTTACGAAGTAATGTTAAAACTTTACAAACTTTAGCACCTGTACTGGACGCTCAAACAACAGCTTGCTCATCACACAGTGAATGGCTGCAACATACGCGCCGGAGATTTGATGGGGTCTGGAACTGTTTCAGGACCGGTTGAGACCTACTTGTCAAAAAAATTTTGACATCTAATTTCAGGAAGAGGGAGAATATGGTTCGATGCTGGAGCTTTCGTGGCGAGGAGCCAAGGAAGTCCCTGTTGGGTCTGAAACTCGCAAGTTTCTGAAAGATGGCGATGAAGTTATATTTCTCGCTTCATCAAATACGTTGTTAAATTTCAGGTAAATCTATCTGGAAAATGCGAAAAGGACGGGAAACGTCTTGGATTCGGTCCCTGCCGCGGTCGTCTTCTTCCTGCTGAATAACTTGTTTCAGCTCATCTTGCCCATTGTTGAACATTTTAGTGGAACTAGACCTTTTTTTTTTCATTCCCATTTCACTTGCCTTCAGATTCACTCGTTTCGGTTGTGATGGTTCAAACGCGTATTTCTTATAAATTTAACTTTTTTTATGTCAATAAATTCTGTTCTGATCCTGGCATGCAATAGTAATTTTTCACTATCTTTGTTTTCCTGATTTTCATTAGTTAAATATCAGACAAATGGTGTCAATTTCATTATTCCATGTTCATTCCCAAAGCAACAAAACTTGTGACCAGCGCTATGATGCTCAGGTCAAGCTGTGATCAAAGAGACGCGAAACTAAAATGTTTCTAACTAAAAGAAAAATTTGGCTCATCTCATGAAAACTCTGAAAATCAGCTCAAATGTGCAGTTTTTTGGATGGTTTGAAAAGGAAAAGATTCGAAAGAAGGTTTTTTTGTTTGTATTTGTTTTCTTGAAACCCATCATTACTCAAATGATCAGATCTTGTTTTTCTGATAAGTTTTCTCAATTCCAATTTGGCTTTCTCAATCGTAGGTTTTGCAAATTATCTCTAATCAGCTCCCTTTCCTCCATTCAAAAATCCCTGGCATCTAATCTTCCTATCGATGCTGTTTATTTCGATTTTTCCAAAGCCTTCGATAAAGTAGATCACAACCTTTTATGCCTAAAGATGTCCAATTTCGGTTTTAATGATACTCTCTGTCATTGGTTCTCTAATTTTTTATCTAATCGTTCCTCCATTGTAAAAGTCAACAACTCGTTTTCTAATACATCTTCTTTTAATCCATTGGGTGTACTTCAAGGTACGGTTAGCGGCCCTTTTTTCTTTCTCGTTTTCATCAATGATTTTGAAAATTGTATTGATCCACAATCCTCGATCGCTATTTTTGCTGACGATTTAAAGGTTTATAGCTCTTGCCCCGATTTGCTTCAAAGAAGGGTTAATGGCATTTTCCTATGGTCTGAACTTTGGTCTCTTCCACTTGCTGTTGAGAAAACTTTTTACCTTCACTTTGGCTCTAACAATCATCACACGGTCTATTTTCTGGATCAATTTTAAATCCCACAAAGCTCAATTGTTCGTGATCTAGGCCTTCAAATTAATGAGAAGCTCACATTCAAAGACCTTATTTCCCGTATCTCAGCCTTCGCAACATTACGGTCTAATCAAATACTAAACACCTTCAAGTTTTCTTCCCCTTTGCACTACCTCAGAATGTTTCAAACCTACGTGACGCCTGTACTCGAGTATTGTAGTGAAATTTTTTCTCCTTCTATCTCGTCTGAAGAATGCTTCAAACTCGAATCTTCTCTACGTCAATTCAGTAGAAAAGTTTTTATAAGATGCAATGTCCGCTTCACTTCTTACTCTGATCGTCTCAGTCAATTTAGCTCTAAACCTCTCTTTGTACGTCGTTGTACAAACAACATTATTTCTCTTCATAAAGTTATTTGCGGCTCTGACCATTTTCTTAATCGCAATAACTTCTTCACTATTTCTCCTTTACAGAGAAATCTACTTCGACTTCGCACTTCCGGTCAGTTTTCTAAAGATTTTTTCTAAAACCATTCCATTAAGCAACAAATTAACCTCTAGAATTAATTTTAAGGTCTCCATAGATGCGCTACGAGTGAAACTTAATGATCTCCCTAACTCTGCCTTTTTCGAATATATTCCCTCCCGTTTGCTCTGATTCCCTTTCTAACCCCGGGTCATAGTCTACTTGTGAGATTGGACTAATTCCCGTTACTGATTATTCTACTGCTATCTTGTTCTGAACTAATTTGATTATTATTTTCTAACAGTATGCAGTGAATAAACCTATTATTATTTAGACCATATTTTTTTTCATTTCCATTTCACTCGATGTTTCAAACGCGCATTTCTTATAAAATTTAACTTTTGTTATGTCAATAAGTTGTGTTCTGATCCTGGCATACAATAGCAATTTTTCACTACCTTTGTTTTCCTGATTTTCATTAGTTAAATATCAGACAAATGGTGTCAATTTCATTATTCCATGTTCATTCCCAAAGCAACAAAACTTTTGACCAGCGCTATGATGCTCAGGTCAAGCTGTGATCAAAAAGACGCGAAACTGAAATGTTCCTAGCTAAGAGAAAAAAATTTGGCTCATTTCATAAAAAAACTCTGATTTTTTTTTAGATTTGAGCGGCAGGTAAATCTTTGAAATATAGCTTATGTATGTTTAAAAAGTTTTTCAAGGAGGTAGAAACAAAATTGGACAGTGATACATTGTTTTAAAATTTTCGGCCACCAACGTCTCCCGTTTGATGGGATATATGATTTTAAAATAAAAAAAAGTTTCAATATCTTCCAAAATGCAAATGTCAACGCAAGAAAGATTGACCATCGACCAACTACGCTCTACGCTGAGTTTGTGAAAAGGTTAGTTAATTTCATCAATCATACTCGTGATAATAAAGTGCATTGTTGGTTTTGTTGTTTTTTTATACTTTCATGGGATGCAGATAAGTTGTTGATTGCCTTCTCAAGATAGAAATGAAAAATCTTTGCACGTAATCGTTTTTTTTTCAGTTTTTTTCTCTTTGCAAGCTGAAAGTTACCTGGTCTCCAGTTTGACAGGAGAAATGAGGTTGTTTTTTTATCAAAGTTATGGGAAAGTCTAAGAATAAGAGCAAGGAGAATGTAGCTAATGAGCCTGATTCTAGTCTATCGTCTAATGCTATTCTATCTACCCCTTCTGGTCGTCCTCAACTTTCCATCGCTAACTTGAACGATGAAGTTGTCCTACTTAGGCAAATTGTTAGTGATCTACGGATTCAAGTTGAAGCTCTCCAAAAGCTTGCCTATCCAAAGAACTCTTGCAATTGCGCCGCCGTTTCTGAAGTCAATTATTCGGCTCATCAAAATTCTTCTACCGTCGCAGAACAGCCAGTTGATCAACTCCGGAATGCCGTTGCTCAAGCCTCGTTAAGCCGCTCGTTCATTGAGAAATCCGTCTTCGCCGTTCTCAAACGTTATCCTGATAATAAATCAGTAACTCAAGATAAATTGGACGCTGATCACGTCGCTGAGGTTTGCCGTAAACTCGATATTCCAATGCCTATTTCGACCCATCGCCACCCGTGTAAAAGATCCTAAGTCTATTCGTCCTGTCAAAAATCAAATTCGATTCAACTGATCACCGTAATGCGTTTTTATTTGGTTATCGTAAAACTGTCATCGAACTTAATCTCAACTCCAATATTGTTCCTTCTCCTCGTGTACGTCGTGATATGACTCTTCCAGAGCTTGAAATTCTTCGTCGTGTGCGTAAAGAAGCGTATGATAAGAATGTTCAAGCCAACAAATTTATTTACTATGTTCGCGATCTTACCATTGTTCAACGAAAAAATCCTTCCTCTTTTTTTGTTAATAACTTTGCACGCTCTTCTTCTGAAGGCATCATTGATTCTGATCATTTGATGTCTTCGCCTCCCACTAATAATGTTTGATTGTACAGATAGCGTGCGCGTAGAGCAAATTTCCTCGTGTGAAATTCCTACTTATTTTTCGAAAATTTTTCGAAAACCTTGGAGCCATGCCAATCTCTCTGCGTCTCCTCGCCTCACGCGCGCTCTAGCTCGCACGCTACCTCTATTGCCCCTGCGTCCTTTCCCTCTTTCGAATCGTCGCTTGTCAAATTTTTCTATTGCAACATACGTTCTATTAGATCTTTGTCTAAAACAACGCTTCTTTTTGACTTTCTTGAAAATAATTCCGTTGATTTTTGTTTACTTGTAGAAACTTTTCTCGACAGCAGCTATCCTGATCATCTATTTAATAATCCTAATTACAATCTTTTACGGTTCGACAGAATTTCTAACAACATTTCTAATATAGGTGGTGGCACGTTAGTTCTCTACAAAAAAACATTTTTAATGTGTCCGAAGTGGATACCAACATTACGTCTTCCTATTCTTCTCATTTTTGTGATCTACTTGTCTTTGATTGTCTTTTTACAAAGTAAAGTTAGGATTTTTTTCTAGTTTATAGGCCTCCTAACACCTCTAAAAAAATTTTTTTCTACTAATCTTTTTTTCACATATAAGTTCATACCTTTCACCTAAAAATAACGTCATAATTGGCGATTTTAACTACAGTTCAATTGATTGGAATCACTTGCCTTCCTTTTTCTCATCACCTATTGTACAATTTGCTACGGTGAATAATTTGCTTCAATTTTGCCTTGATCCAACTAGAATCGCTGCTACTTCCTCCAATATTCTGGATCTATTGTTTGCATCTAATCCGTCCTCCATTCTCGATTTCAAAATCACCCTGCCTGTACTTGGTTCTGACCACCACTCCATAGTATTTTCATTACCTAATTCAAATCGCTCAAAATTCACTGCAAAAAAAATTAAATTGAATTTTAAACGTTGTGATTATGTTTCTCTTAATGCCGCTTTGTCCTGTTACAACTGGCCTCTTCAACTTTCTTATTTTTCCACCCCTGAATCTAAATACTCTCACTTCTCTAGGGTTTTCAATGAACTGATTCAGCAATTTTGTCCTTGTACTCAGGTAACTTCTTTCCGTTTTAAACCGCAAAGGAAACTTAAATCTCTACTACGTTATCGTTCTGATCTTATCCGTTCCGGCTCGTTTTCATCACAGGAACGCATTGATTTTCGTAATTGCTTTAAAAAAACCCGCAAACGTGTCGCTAAATTCATAAGAAATAAGGAGAATTCCGTTGTTAATAACTTATACGGCTCTAATCTGTCCAAATACATTTCAAATCGACTTAGAACTAGAGTTGATATTCCTCCTATCATCTATAATGGCACTTCTTATAACGATGACACTGAAAAAGCTAACATTTTTGTTACTACGTTCAAATCTAATTTCTCTGATATTCCAGTCATTTCTCCTCTTATTCTTCCTTCACCTAGATCTTCCAACTGCTCTTTATTGTTTTTCCCAAGAAATTGTCTTCGGTTATTTATCTAGACTCCCATCAAAAGTTGGTTTTTTTCTAATGATAACATCAATCAGCTGGTTCTCAAACGTTGTGCTCATTCGATATCACTACCACTCTCGATTATCTTTCAAGAATCTTATTATTCTGGAGTCGTCCCTTCTTCCTGGAAAACTTCGTATATTATTCCAGTTCATAAACGAAATAAATTGAGTGACCCTTCCAACTACCGTCCTATCACTTTGACACACTCGATTTCTCGACTCATGGAAAAAATTGTAGCTGAGTTTGTTCGCTCTAAATTTGGTCATAAGATATCTAACTTTCAATTTGGCTTCATGAATAAAAGATCTTGTAAACTATCTCTTATCGAATGCCTTTCTTCTTGGAAAGCCGATATTGCCCTTAAAAAATCCGTTGACGTCATCTACTTCGATTTTCAAAAAGCATTTGATCAAGTCTCTCACGACCTCCTTTTGCTTAAACTAAAAAATTTCGGGTTTGATCAAACGCTTTGCAACTGGTATAAATCTTTTATTACGGGTCGCGAATCTTTTGTCAAAGTTAATGACTCATTGTCTACTTCTTCTTTTCCTATACCAAGTGGAGTCCTTCAAGGAACTGTTTCTGGCCCTCTCCTCTTCCTTATTTTTTTATAAACGATATTTTTTTCATCATTTTGAATTCCAATGTTAAAGCTGTACTGTTCGCCGATGATATCAAAATTTTTGGTTGTTCTCCGTCCCATAATCAACAAGCTATTGACGAAATTATTGAATGGTCCTCTCTTTGGGGGCTTCCCATCGCTCCTGAAAAGTCATATGCTCTTTATCTTGGTCCTAGAAACCCCAAAAATGTCTACTTTTTCGGCTCTAACATCATTCCTGCGACTCAATCTACTAAGGATCTTGGTGTAATTATCGATGAAAAATTGTCTTTTTCTAATCATATTCATCAAGTCTCCGCTTTAGCCCTTCTGAGATCCAAACAACTGTTAAATTCTTTTCGTTTTCTCTCACCGTCCTTATATTTTAAACTTTATAATTGCTATGTTCGTCCAATTTTAGAATACTGTTCTGAGGTTTTCAACCCTCCTCTAAACTCTGATCTATCTTATAAACTAGAAAGTTCCTTACGTTTCTTCTCTCGAGAAGTTTTTATTAGATGCAATCTTAGCTTCACTTCATACCATGACAGAATAACTCAAGTCAATGTTCTTCCGCTTTTTCAACGTCGTCTTCTTCTTGATATTTTCTCTCTCCATAAAATTGTTTTAAAAATTGATCATTTTCCATCAATTGACAACTTTATTTCCTTCTCTCGGCTAGGTAGACATCCACTTCGGTTACAAACTAGGGGTTCATTATCAGATAACTTCTTTTCGCGTCATATAACTCTTTGGAGCATATTAATAACCAAATTGAATTTTTCGTGCCACCCCAAAACTTTAAAAGATAAATTATCTAGGATAGCTGTTAGCGAACTTATTATCAACATCCCCAATCGTCTTTTTATAGTTTATCATTTTTGTTCTTCTCTTTTTGCGAACGGTCGCCATGCTGCTCGTTAGGGCACCATATGACCTTCTTAGCTTTGTTGTCTGTCCAATGTTATATTATTTCCTTTCTATCTGTATCTTAATTATTTGCGTTGTTCTGACAATAAAGAAAAAAAATAAATAAAATAAATAAAGTTGAGAAAAAAAACTCGGAAAACTTCTAATAGAGGGTTTTGAAGTGCCAGTCAGCACGAAGCTTATCGCAAACGGGACGGACGCGTCGATAGTGCACTTGCAATCTTAAGGCTTTGGTTGTAAGATGCTTTTTCTAACTCTGGTTCTACTTCTTGTTCCGGTTGCCAGTCCTTTCAGACTACCGTTCAAGCTTGTGGCTGTCACCAATGTTACCGTCGCTGAAGAACAGGTTGGTTTGACGATCATTTCCTCAACGAGGAATACTTGAAAAGTTCATGAAGTTATGCTCATAGTCCAAAACAAACTTCGAATTTTTTTAGACGGGTTTTGTCCCAGTCTTTAGACAAGTTTTCATCAAATTGTCTAGGGATAACCCTAGATTCTTAAAGTAAAAAATAAAGTTCCGAGTTCATGGCATTTTTCTAAAGGTCCAACAAATCTCCAACTACTTTGTGGCCAACATCAGCATCGGTACGCCACCTCAATTGTTCACAGTCATCGTCGACACTCTCACCGCTGACCTTTTTGTTCCTGATCTGAGCTGCGATATTCCTAAAGGAGTTTGCTCTACTGACGACTGTACAGGAGGTTGAAAATTTCTACAAGCTCAAAGTTCATTTGATGAAGCCCGTTTGAAGTTTTCTGCGCCGACTTGTGTCCTGATAAAAAGTGTTGCATTCAAATTCATGACACCACAAATACATCCAGCTGTTATGGAAAACGACAATTCTACTCGTAGTTTTCTATTATTATCTTGAAAAGATTTTTTTTTTGTTCAGATCGCTTTCCAGCACCTACAGTGCTCTGAAGAAACCTTATACCATTGTTAACAGTTACGGCACCACTGTAGGCTTCACTGGCAAAGACGTTGTTAGGGTAAACTTTCTGTATCTTCAATTCAAAAAATTCAAACTATTATAGTTGGGAGACGACCCAAAGCAAACCATCACGATTCCTGACGTCTCTTTCTTGCAAGCGACTAATGTCGGAGAAGCTATAAGACAAGTGGACGCTGATGGGGTTTTGGGTATAAAACAAAAAAACCCAACTGTCTCTTTAAAACCAATATCATACTTGCAGGGCTCGCTTTTCAAAGCGCTTCTCAGACAAACTCTGTACCTCCTTTTATTCAAGCCGTAAATCAAGGTATCTGAGAAGTTTTAATCAAACATGTGGAACCATCAGGAGACGTGAATGACTCAATGTTTTCGATTTGGTTAGAACACCAAAATCAAACCGACGACCTGGGTACATTTGGTGTTATTTATTACGGAGGTTTTCAAAACAAAAGAAAGTTTCTGAAAAAGGTTTCAAGGAATCGATCCTTTTCATTGTTCTACGGCTCGGCAATCTGTAGCTCTTTCTGGCGCCGGTCGTTATCAAATCACAGTGGCCAACGTCAATACAACTTCGGGATCTAAGTCACAGTCGACTAGCAAAAATACTCAGGCAAGAGAATGAAAATCTTGAAATATAGAGGTTTACTTAGACTTACCTCGACTCTTCAAACAGCAACATTGATGTGCCTTCTGCTATCATTTCAAACATTCAAAATGTTCTGGGATTAACAGCGGGAACAATTTTTCCCCCAGTGGTTCCTTGCTCCACGAAAATCACTCTGGGGTTCACTTTTGCTGGAGGTTTTCCCTTTTTTAGCAGCGTTTTCCACATTTACACTCATTTTCTCAAGGATCTTATCAAGAAGTGACTGAGAGGGATTTGATTCAAATGATAGTGCCTGGAATTTGCAAACTGCAAGTTACCCAAAGCACTGATAACAGGTGAAAACTGAAAATCCTAAATATTTCATTGCTTTTCAGGGTTCATCTTGGAATTCCCTTCTTTCGAGGAAGATGTACTTTCTTTGACGTCAATCGGCACACAATTGCTTTCTCGCCTGCGCTTTCTCAAAACTAACAATTACAAATGGAAAATACAATAAAATGCTTCATTTTTTCTGGAAAGATTACACCTCTCGGCACACACGCAGAAAAAAAAAACTAATAAACAAATTGTTTTTTGTTCTCTTTTTTTTCCATCTATAAGGATCCTCACAGAAGCGGACGCAGAGATTTGAACTGAATCTGCAAAAAAATGATCTTCCAACCATTTTGAAAGATCACTTTTTTGACCATTCATTTCATAAGGAAATTATGAGAGATCAAAAATTTTTGACCATTGGATTTAAAGTGACATTATGACAGATCAAAATTTGAAATGTTTTTTTATAAATTTATCTCTAATTGTAAACGACATGTTCATCTTTCGAAAAAAAAAACGATAGGTCATATATTTTTGACATGTTAACTTTTCATTTCCAATGATCTCTCCGATCAACTGAAAATGTAATATATCAACTAGAACCTTTTAAATTCAAAGTTATCAAACAGAAAACGGAAGAGTATCTATCATATGGGACGTATATTAGAAAACCAAAAAATTAATCACAATCTGTGAAAGAGATAAACTTTTTTACTTTGTCATTTGAAACCGAGAAACAAGTTAGTGTAAAAATGGCTAATGTGAATTCTAAGAAAATTCCTAACGTCTCATAAAAAGATTAACCCATCCTTGGCAGCGATAACTTCCTAATATTTGAAAATAGAAAAACTTTTTATGGTCAAAATTTCGGCATTCATTTCATAATGACATTTTGAAAAATCAAAAATGTATCTGTCATTTCAAATGATCTCTCATTGTAAATGACAAGTTGATCTGTCAAATGAAACGAAAGATCACATAATTTAGACATTTTAACATGTCGTTCAACCGAAATGTTATAGTCTGTGTACCAAGACTTTGAAATTCACCGAACGACATTCCGCTGTTCCGCTGCGTGCCTTTAATTTTTCATTTTATTCAAAAACTCGACCAACACGTTTTCCTAAAAGAACAGTCCATCTATCAAAAATTAAAACCAATTTGAAGCGAGACCGAGGCTCGTATTGACGCTTCGCAACGCAGCGGAACAGCGGATTGTCGTTCGGGAGAATTTCAAGTCGTGTCACACAGACTAAAACATTTCATATTTAGGTGACATTTTATGAAAATGTTGGCCAAAAGATTGGTCGAAAGATCATATTTGCAGCTCTATTATGAACGCTTAAAAATCTTTCAAGGTAACGTCATTTTTATCATCAATTTAATGGAGACACTAAAAAAGAAGCAATTCTCGTCCATAGATTGAAAAATCATGATGACTTTCAGTCTTATCGATAAGATGACAAGAAATGGAGATAATAAACTGCACTCCATTCTTGGAAAGCTGTGCAGGGATGCTGGTCTTCGCTGCGATATTCCTCCTGTCCGCTGTTGGCGGCAATGCTTTCCGTCTACCGTTCAAACTGGCAGCAGTCACAAATGTTACCGAAGGCGAAGAAACGGTAAGGGAACTCATTTTTAGATTTATAAGCTCTCGTTGCTCGAAAAACAAGATAAATCCAAAACGACGGAAAAATTGTATATTGAAATGCGGATTTTTCAATTTCCCATCATGATCACCGCCTGTTCCATAAGATGGAGCAAGTTTCCGTCTATTTCTACGCCAACATCACAGTTGGAACTCCCGGCCAGCTCTTCTCCGTTCTTATCGATACGTCTTCGGCTGATCTTTTGATCGCTGACTCCAGCTGCAATCACTACGGTGCTTTTCTTTGTGAATAACATAAAGTTGAGCATTAAAATTCAGTTCCAAACAGCAACTCTTCGTGCTATGGGAAGAACCAATTCATATCGTAAGTTGTATAAGATTTCCTTTTGCAAGAAATCAATACAGTTCGGCGTCGAGCACTTACACCATCGTAGGGAAAGTTACTACTGTTTCAACCAAGTTCGGTCCAACTAAAGGAATGACGGGAGCTGACGTCGTTCGCGTAAGAATTAAAGACCTATAGAAAAAAAGAACAAAAATTATTTAGCTTGGCACAGTTGTTTCGGAAACTATCACTGTCCCAGGGGTTACCTTCCTCCAAGTCTCTGACTTTGGAACAGTTCTTCAAGGCGTCAAAGCTGACGGCGTTCTCGGTGAGAAAAACTGAATACTCCAAGAGCAAAATCTTCCTGATACTCCAAAGTTTGTCAATTATTTTTCCTCTCTTCAAGGTCTGGCATTGATGGGAGCTTCTCAAACCTCAGCCACCCCAACTTTCGTGCAAGCCGTGCAGCAAGGTTTGGTGAAATTGATTTCTTCATCTTATTTGTGAGTACAGGTGACGCAAAAGACTCTATTTTCTCGATTTGGCTTGAACACCAAAATCAGACCAACGATTTGGGAACGCACGGAGTTATTCATTATGGAGGTTTCCTTTTTCATCATTTCAAGAAATATCTGGAGAGTTTGAGGCTCTGATACGGATCACTGCAATACCACTCGACAGTCTGTCCAGCTTTCTGGGGCTACCTATTTCCAAGTCACTGTTGCCAATGTCAACTCCACTTCAGGCAATTACTCACTCAATAGCGGAAAAAATACGCAGGTTGAAGAATTTCCAAAAACTCAAAAAGAAAGGAACTTCAGGCTTACATTGACTCTACCTCGCCTTACATCTCCGTCCCTCCTCCAATCCTCATGAACATCATGAAGGTCTTGAACCTTCCTGCTCAAAGTTACCCGCCGAAAGTGCCCTGCAATGCAAAAATTACGCTTGGATTCAGTTTTGCTGGAGGTTGAAAATGATTTCTAGCTGCTAATGAATATTTTCTCTTCAGGAGCCTATGTTGAGGCTACTGAAAAGGATCTCATTTTGATGCTCTCTCCTGGTGTTTGCCAGCTGTCAGTCAATCAAAATGACGCTAGCAGGTAAGAAAGTGAGAAAGAACCAAAAGACAAGAGAAAATGGCTTCCTTCTTTATTAACCTAATCTAATTTGAAGGATCATCCTCGGAATTCCATTCTTCCGCGGACAATGCATCAGCTTCGACGTCGTTCGTCACGCCGTCACTTTCTCCCAGGCTCTTTCGCAGAATTAAGCCTTGTTAATAAAACATTTCTTTTCTGAGAAGTATCATTATAAAAATTTTGGGAAAGAATCAAGCCAACGTCTAAATCTTTTTGACAAGGAAGATAATTATGTTTCGAACTGGAATCTTCCAAAAACTTGTAAAATTTCTTTTTTTGAAAAACGTCTCAACGTTTCCGAACGACATGAATAACCGACTTCTGATAATTTTTCTGTAACTTATTAAGGTAACCAATCAATAACTGACGGATTATTCAAAATTTCGAAGGAAAAAAATAAAGTACAGTAAATGTAAACTTACCTTCTTTGTGAAAGCTTCATCACTTGAAAATGTGATCAGCTGCACCAAGACACTTTTTTTTTGATACAAAAGGTGAAAGTAGACGTCTCTTTCATCTTCAAACAAGAAAACTTCGAAATAAAAGGTATTTACAGAAATCCCGTCGAATTTTCTGAAAGTAACTCCGTCAATACTTAAAAAAACATTAACATTTAAAGCTAATCCCGGCTGTCGCAAAATTGTGACCCTTTCTGAAGTTTTTCAAGTAAATGCTCAACATCCTGAACAAAACAATTCCGCAACGGATCTTTATTATTCCAATCATAACTGAGAAGTATATATTTTATAACAATCTCGCATCAAAACAGAAATGGCGCTGAGGCTGATGCACAAGAATGAAAGGAGGATACCTGAAACCTTTGCGCCTAGAAGTAAGCATATTTTTGATATTAAACAAATTAATGAATTATAAATTCGATAAAACTTGAAGTTAACAACTGACATACAAGAAAAAAAGTACAGAATAGTCTCACAAGCAAAAAAAAACAAAAGAAAAATACAAGAAAAAAGGAAAATCAACAAGGAAGGCCACATAAGCAGGATTTGGCTTGAAGACGAAAAAAACCATACTTTAGGGAGAAATAATAGACTTGAGTATTTCAGTTTTTGCTTCGTCGAGCTCAGCGGCTTTCATGAGACTGGTGAAAAAGGTCTCGTCGCCATTGCTAAACATCTTCTTGACGCACGCGGCGACGCGGTCTTTGATCTGTTGACCTTCTGTCGAGTCTTCGAAAGCGTCGAGCTCAATTGCGGACAGGGCTGAATATCTCATTATTTCATCAGATAGTTTTGAAGTTTTCCACTAACCAATATTCAGAATTCTTGGCATGTGCTCGTTGAATTTGCCAAAGAATACGGGAACCTGGGCATCGAAAAGGTCGCAGAAATAACCGTAGATGTACACCGACTCCTGCTGGTCTTCGTGAGTTGGCAGCCAGCTCATGAACATTGGGATTATCTAAAAGAAAAGATTTTACAATCATAAAATTCAAATTAGTTTACGTTGTCAAGGTCGTATTCGTTAGTGCCATTCCGCATAATCTTTGCAAAGGCAGCAATAGCGTTCTCAGTAGCCACCGAACCTTCCTCCGTTGCTCGCGCATCGGCTCTGAAAAAAATGATTTGTAGAATGACTCAAAATTGATTCCATCGATTACCTGTGAATCATCTCAACAAGATAAGGAAGACAGCTGGCAGACATCTGTCTGTAGATTTCAAGACCAGCTTGTTGACTACGAAGAGCCATAATCCCGATTCCATAGGCTGCGGCTTGCCTCACTTCTGGATATTCGTCCTTGAGCGATTGAGTCAGTGAGCTGAGGAGGTCCGGGAACTTTTCAATGACAAGCTAAAAAATGAGATGATTTGCGAGCTTTTCCAAATCTTCTCACAGCGTTGACAAACTCAATGGCATCGTCCATGATGCAGAGCCCCCACTGGCGCTCGAAAAAGTGCTTTGAAGAGCTCATTCGGCTGGCAACTTCGAAGCACTCGATGAGGTTCGAGAAGACAGCTCCATGAGTTTCCTAAAAAGTTGAATGATGTTTTCAAGGATTTTCATTTCTAACCTTGAGAATGCTGTGGATGACTTCAGAAATTCTGCTAATGTAGCCCGAAAGCATCTCCATTTCTTCATCGAGGTCTTCTTTAGCTTCGTCACCTTCCTAAAAGAAAAATGTTGTGTAAACAGTAGAAAAAATAATATTACCTCTTCGTCTTCATTTTCTTCCATATCCTTCTTCTTTTCAAGGTAGATTTTCATTTGCCGATTAGTAAGGTCAACGATTCGCTCAACGTCTTCACTTACAAGACCCTAGAAAGTAAAATTTTTTTCTCGAAAAATCATCAAAAACTCACATCGGTCTCGAGAGCATCGACAATGCTGGACAGCGAGCTCAAATGCTCAGCCTTCACTTCCAAATCAAGCTCCTTGTCGATGGCCTCACATAAAGCTGGGATGAACTTACTCGACAAGTTACGCATCTGAGCCACTCCCTAAACACGTTTCTTCAATATGTAGCCAATGTTCGTTGGTTTTCTTACGTGTGGTTTGACGCAGAGAATGAGACACGGCATCACGTCAGCAGCTGCCTGACGAACACTGTCGTGAAAAACGAAGTCCAAGTTCTTCAGCGCCAGCTCCGCAACCTCAGGCACCCATGGGATGAAATTTTCTAAACAACGCATTGAAATCAATGTTGCAGAACAGAATTGAGGAATTTCCTTCTTTTTTTAAGATGGTCTTGGCAGCTTCTAAAAGCCATAATTGACTCTTCTCTTCAAACGAACCTTTCATTTGACGAGCGTAGCACACAAGCATATCGCAGGCCGTGACTTTTTCCTCCAATCCGGCAGTTCGGATACCAAAGTTTTGATCATCACCAATCGAGTGATAAGACCACGACGGATCATTTTGTTTTTCCTGATCTGAAAAAAAAGACGCTTGCACGACAACCAAAAAATATCAAAAAAATTTTGAGAATTAAAAATTACCGTCAACAACAGCGTATTCCAAAGAAAAGGTTGCAGCCCGAAGGATAGGACCCATGATCATCGGAAGGAAAGGTGCGAAATCTGGACCCAAGACCGTGCAGAAGCGAGTCCAACTGCTGATCATGTAGCTGCACTGAGGATCTTCCACCGAAAGGTTTCCCATTTGGGCGCTCAGGCTATTCATGATGTTGATGGCGTCATTCAGGAACATTTCCTTGCCGACGGCGGTTCCGATAAGTGAGATGCACTCGATAGTTTTTCCTCTCAACTCTTTGTATTCATCGACATTCGAATTATCGAGCACGTAGACTAGAGGAGGCATTAATCGGAAGTAGTACGACTTGAACTGTTCTTGAGCAGCTTCAGCTACAGATGCGATTGCCGTTACAACCTGTAAACATTTTTTGAACAGATAAGATTTTTTTCGATCATTTTCAAAAGTATTCGGTTGGCTTTACTTGCTACAAATGTATATTTCCAAAAGCAAAAAAAATTTTAGAATTTTCGTGAAACTTATATGAACACCATTTAGAAATTGTCTGTGAAATTTCGGAAGGTTTGTAAATTTTTTTATGCGAAAGTGCTTTTAAAAAAAGAAAAACTTTTTTTGAAAATAAATCATACATTGGGATTATAGCTGATTCACGGCTGACTTGAGCCATCAAAAACACGATAATGCAAGAGATAGTGACTGGCTCGTGGAGAGCACAGACAGGCCACGCCCCCTTAGCGTCCCAGGCTAGACGTGAATCAGCTATAGAAGAAATCCTTTTGATTACTTTTATAAGTTCTGCTTTTTATTTATTTCCTACTTGTTCGACGATATGCTTGTTCTTGGAGTTCTGTAGGCCATCAAGAGTGGCCGCCAGTGTCTTTTCCAAACTCTGCATGATTGTTGGCAAATATCCTGACATGACCTAAATTGAATCAACATTCGTTCTCGACTTCAATTATTTTCGTGCTTACGTTCTGTGGGCACTCTTCGCAGAAGTTGATGAGTGCAGCAGCCGCGTGCGCGGCTACTCGAGGACAATCCAGGTTTCCGAGGCATTGCAGCAGGGCTGGCACTACCTAAAGATCATTGCGATTTCATGTGTTGGAAAACACGCATTCGATTTTTTGGATAAAAAATACAATAGCTTTGAGATTTTCATCTCATCAGTTATTGTCTCACGTCATGACCGCGTACAAAAATGCCACTTTTTGTGACTTAGATAGATAATTGAGTGTGATGACTCCTCTCATCTCCTCGACTAATGACTGCGCAGCAGAGCAAAGATCAGACATACCATTGCATGGCACTTCTTCTGGAGTGTCGGGGCGAAGTCCGAGCTCATCTGTCCGATCGCATTGCACATGGCGTAGCGAACACGCGGATGCTGCGTATTGATGTTAATCTCGGTGATGATATTTTCTCTACCTCGTCTCCAGCGTATTTGCATATGTGCTCCATGTATCGGGCAATGTTAGGCTCCATGGCTCTTTGACTTCCTTCGCCAATTGCGGAGAAAGCCATCAAAGCTGCGTGCTTAAACTCCCACTTTTCTGAAAGCCAAAATATGTTGGTATAATTGTTATTTGAAGCTCACGAATAGACAGGAATCCTTCAACAACTGGTACGAAAAGAGGCAGAAGAGTTTTTCCGTTGAGAGCGCAAGAAATGCGATCAAGAGAGCTCTCGCCGATGGTGGCATTTCTTGAAACTTTCATTCATTTCAAAGTTTCTGATTTCAAAACTAACTCTTCGTCTTCATTTTCATCATCCGTTTTCTCGGCCCACTCTTGAATATCGTCATCGAGAGAAGTCATCATTTTCAAGCAGCTTTCGACTGGAAATTGCCAAATTTCATTCTTTTTGAAAATTCAATTTTTAGCAACTGTGTATAAGCCATAGAGAATTTTTGCAATTGGCCTTCTTTTAATATTTATAATATTTGACTGTTTTTTCAGGAAAAAAAAAACCAGTTTGGACCCGCGAGAACGTTGATTTTAAATATTTTTTAGTTTTATTTCTCAGCTCGGATTTTTCGAAACGAACTGATTTTTGGAAGATAAGTTGCGGAGTGTTTCTTGAAAGATTTTGGAGCAGTCTCAATGTAAGACGTGATGACTTCCAAGGCAACATGACGGTATGTGTCGTTTTTGTTTTCGTCAGTCACAATCTAAACACAATCGTAAATCAGAAATTCGCATTTTTGGCGAACCGAAAGGCACATTTGCATGACGTTCGTTAGATTTGCTGTGATAACTTTCGGAATTGTGGCGGCAAGATCAGCAAGGCCTTGAAGAGGACCATCATCATCTTCCTCGGTTTCTGCGATGTGCTGACAGACCTGAAAATGCTCAGCTGATATGCATGCTCTTTTGGAAGACGATCTAAGCATAAAACTGAAGTCATTGTCGTTTCCAGCAAGAACTGAGTTTAAATCGTTTTTTTACACATTTATAAGTTTTTCCAATCAAAACCATTTCTAAAGTGTTCTTGATAAGATAACGTACCGCAACGACCGGGCCGATAAGTGGTTGCATTTGCTTTACAATCTTGTCGTCTTCATCGTTTTCCGTCAAGAAAGAAACGACGGCCTTCACAGCAGCTGATCGTACTTTAGATGACGGGTTTTTCAAGCACTCATCAAACATTTTCTGCAAAAAAAAGTTCAATTTCTCGTTGAATCTTTTTCAAAACCTTCATAGGAATAACGAATTTTTCCATTTGTCCGGAACCGAAAACGTATGGAGTGTTTCTGAAAAAAATTCACATTAAAAAAGTTTTTCTCAATTTGAGATAAAGCGACTTACTCAATGAGAATCATTGCGGCGACTTTTAAGCTAGGATTTTCTGACTGACTGCAATGGGACAAAAACTCGAGGACACCAGTCCATCTCTGAGTTCCCGATTCTTCATCTAAAACTTTCAGCTTCCTGTTTCGAACTCCTGAGAAAGATCAGACCAATCGTTTCATGCGCTATTTGAGAAATCACGTCAATGTATTTTGCCCGAATGGAGTCATCTTGAACGTTTGCGGCTCTTTCAAGGAACTGTAAACAACATACAGTGCAAATCAATATAAAAATGAGGTGACTCATTGATTTCGAAACTATTGGGAAAATATTTCTACCTGCCGAAGAATAGCCTCCTGATCGTTATCTTTGATTTTGCTCCACATTTCTTCGAATTCTCGACTAAATATCCGTCTCAGAAGAACAAGCGCCATTGTTTGAATCTGCAACAGAAATGATAACAACCAGAATAAAAATTTAAAAAAATACCTCCACAGCGGGTTCATGTCCAAGAAGTGTGCAGAGAGCAAGGGTTCGTGTCTCTGCGGGAATATTGTTGTATTCTTCTTCGGCTGAGGATCGAACTGTGTTTTCCGTCGACTGCAGATTTACCAGAAGTTGCGATAAAGCGTGCATATCCATTATCCCAATACCTGGAAAAACAAAATAAACCAGTTCTAACACTTCATTTATTCATACGAATAAAGGTAAGTTTTTCAAAATTTTCACAAGGAAACCTGCGTACACTACAAGGATTATTGGACCATTTTTTGAAAAAAATATCAAAATTCAGGCTTCAAGTAAAAAAACATAAAAAAAGAGAAAAAGAAAAGTTGCAGGGAAATTATGGTTCTAAGGAAAGTCGGATAAACAAATTTGCAAAAGAAAGTAAAGCTTTCCAAAAACGAATTCATTTTTCTTTGTGCATACATGAATTTGGCGGGAAAAAAACGACAGCAAATAAAAAAACATTCTTAATTTAAAAGTCGTGAGAAAAAGCGAGACCCTCCAAATTTGAAAAAAAAAATTTTTCCTACAAGACAAAAAACATTAAGAATTCTATTCTATAGACAGAAGTTTTTTGTTTTTGTCGTAGTATCAGCTGAAAGTTGAGAGAAACTTAGGATACTTTGTTTTAAAGAGTGAGGTTCAAAAGAGTAGTAGACGGAAAAGGAAGTGAAGCGAACGAAGAGAGAGAGAGTGAAAGGATGGGCCAGGATCGTCTCAAATGAGCGAAAAACTCCCGCATTACTCGAAAAAGCGGCGATCGCAAGACTACGAGGCCACGAAATGCACGCTGGCGTCGGATACTCAGTCGATACGCAGGGGCGCGCCAATTCAAACGTCTGCCTGTCTCTCCGTCTCTCATGCCACGCCTGCACTAACCTTTCCCGCCATGCCGTGTGCGCGCTTTTTTGGCCAAGAAGTACAAAAAAGGTTCATTTGACGGCCAGATGGAAACCCGTTCTCGAGTTCACAAAAAAAAGAAAAAATTTTTGACGGTTCAAGTTACTCGGCAATAAGAAAATTGAGGTTGCCAGACGAAGGAAAAAAAAAGTCAGAAAAATTATCAAAAATCTTAAATTTCGTTCTGAATCTATAGGAGAGTTATTAGAGTTTCGGTAAAATTTAGCAAAGTTTTTCTGGAAAAAAAAAGATCCATCTTTTAGTCAATAAATTTCCCATCAACAGCTGATCATCAGAACTCTCAGCTTCTTAACGAGACTATCCGAAGAAGGACTAGACGATCTACGAGCCATTCTTGGTCAACCGACGATCAACTCATTCATTCCATGATTCCGCACACAATATTCTATGAAGCCTGTATAAAATTGTAATTTTTCTCATCACTTTCAATTTTGGAAGGCACTCGGTCTCAATAGCTGTAAAAAAATAATCATTTTTTTACCGGTCATTATTTCGACTATTATTTCTTTTAGACAACGAGTCGATGATTTTTTTAAAATTCTGAAGCTTCACGAAGCATTTTTTTCATGGAACTTATAAAAAAATTTTTTCAAAGAAGCCATCACAGTCTATTGAAATAAAAAAACTTTCTCAAATTGCGAATTTTTTTCTGCTGTGTCATCTTTTTTTGTTGACAAAATCAGAAGAGAACTTTATGATTTCACATTCAAGATTAGTTAAAAGTTAAAAAAACGTAGAGGATACTTTAAAAAGTTCCGATAAGTGTTGTTGAAATGATTTTAAAAAAAGTTTTTTTATTCAAATTTGGGGTCGGTGTATTCGCATTATCTCAACTTTGGAAGGATCAAAATTTTTCAAAGCATTCGTAATTTGAAAAAAACATTGCTTTTCACTATTTTTGCACTTAGTTAAATCACTATTACTTTTTTAAAAATCGAAAGGTTTTTTTGAGATTTATCTCCGCGTTCCCATCTCTGCTAACCTAAATGTACACCAGATTAACAAATAAAACCGAGATCAAGAGATTCTCCGAAATGACAATTTATAACAGAGTTGAGGGCATTCCGTAAAGTCCCGAGCAAACAAAAATTTTTTCAGTGATAGCTAAAATCGAACATTTTTGAGGTCATGAAAGCCAAATCTCGGCCAGGTGAAATATATCTTGTTTCAAATTAAGTTTTTAATTTCTCTCATGTGACCTCTGTATTAAAAACAGACACATAACCTAATTTTTTGATTTTTGTTTCTATTTGCTTTTTAGAGAAACTGAATGTGAAACATTCTACAACGAGAGAAAGTTCAGGCTGCAATTTTGTCGGAATTTCTACCTAGTAAGTCAACTGAAAAAGTCTTTCCAATCGAAGAGTTGGAAATCTGCTTCTGATTTTCTCAAAAGCTGCTTTATGATGACTCCTTGTATTCACTTGCTTTGTAAACTTTGGAGAACTCATCCAAATTTTTACGCTCTATCAAGTAGACTTGATATGAATTCATCGGCTTGTTTTTTTTTCACTGATTGGCCCTTCTTGTGCTTTTTTTTTGTTTTTATTTTCGAAAGCTGCAAATATTTTTGATCTACAACCTCTGATGATCATTATCATGAGCTCGAAAATCAATATTTTCCCACTTTACTTTTTAAGGTTTGTTTGAAGCACCAATATATACGTTTTTTTTTTCATTTACCAAGTTTATAAACCCTTTTTTCTAGGGTTAAAAATGGGAAATAGCACGAAGAGGTACAAAAAAAACCATTATTTTTCAATACACAAAAATTTGATTTTGCGTCAGTTGAACTTATTTTCAAGTCTTCTCATCATTGCAACATCAACGGAATTAGAAACTATTCCTAGTTAGGAATGCACTTCTTGGCGCTTGAGGCGATAGGGCGATGGCGAAAGCCACGGTGGGGCCAGTCGGTCCGTCGGCCATGTAGTCGAAAGCTGATAACGGTGGCCACTGCTTGTCGCGCACGACCGAGATGCGGCGACACCTCGGAGCAGCGCTGCTCTTCTTGGCCGGTTTGGCCATTGTGGCTGACGCCGCCAAATCTGACGACCTCGTCAGAAACTTGCCGGGCCTCACTTATTATCCCAACTTCAACCAATACTCCGGATATCTTAATGGCTCTCCAGGCAACTATCTCCACTACTGGTTTGAAATTTGGATATTTTTCTTCTTGAAACACTTTCAGTGTAGTGTTCGTTTTCTCTGCTGACGTAGTAGAGATGAAATGTGGAGTATTCATCAAGTTTTTTTCTACAATTTTATGTTTTCTTAACCCATTTTTTAGAGTTAAACCGCTTCTCGAGTTCTTTAAGGACAGTGCAAAAGAATCAAATTGATCTGAGAAGAAAATATTTGCTCTGTTCTCCAATACAGTTTTGGGCTTATTTATGTTCAGAAAAACCCAATTGAATGTTTCAACTAATACTTTTTATTGAAATGAAAATTTGTTAATTTTTTTGTATTCAGACCTTATTTGCAGATCTTGCGTTCGAATATTTGAAAAAAATTTACAAAAGCAAATAAAAAAATCACTTTTCATCCTCATTTGGTCGTATTTCGTCGTTTTCTTATCTTTTACCAAAACGACGTTTTTTCATCATTTTTGTTAGCTATGACCGCACTCAGTAGGCCTGAATAACCAGCTTATTGAAGCTGATAATTTTTTCTTATCAATTTTATAGACGTTAAAGAAGCGAGTTCGTAAAGATATCTTTGTTGGTTCAGTGACGAGTCGAGAGTTTTGTAATTTAGCCAATTATCATCATTTTTTTTTGGCTAATGATGTGTGCGAACAGATAAAAGTTTCCAGAGAAACATCCAGAAGAAGACTTTGTTACTAAGACTCTTTCTTGTGGGAAAGAAGTTTCAAGAAAAATTGAGTTTTTTTTAGGCTGGTCGAGGCTCAGACCAATCCTGACAACGCACCTTTGGTTCTGTGGTTGAACGGAGGGCCAGGTTGTTCTTCGCTTCTCGGAATTTTGACAGAAAACGGTCCATTCCGCGCTAACCAGGACGGTTCGCTGCTTGTTGAGAACCCTCATTCTTGGAACAAGGCAAGTGATGAATTGGGAATATCTTTATACTGTGATTTTCGTTATTCAAGGCCACGAAAAAAATTAACATAGGGTTTTTCAGGCCGCTAACGTTCTCTACCTCGAGTCCCCAAGAGACATTGGATTTTCTTACAGAGACAATGCAACGTATGGACCCGATACTCTTTACAATGATGTCAAGGTAGTTGGAAACATTAAAGGAAAAAAAAAACTTTGTTACTTCAGACAGCTAGCGACAACGCTCTTGCTCTTGTCAACTTTTTTCAAGCCTTCCCTGAATACAACGGACGAGAGTTCTATATCACGGGAGAATCTTACGGAGGCGTCTATGTTCCCACTCTCACTCAACTTATCATTCAAATGATTCAGGTGAAAGAAAAAATTTAAAAAATTGCATTCTTTGATTTTTCAGAACAACACTCTGCCGAACGTGAATCTAGTGGGTATGGCTGTCGGAAACGGAGCTCTCAGCCGAAAACAGCTCACCAATTCTGCCATCGATCTGCTGTTCTACCGAGGAATGCTTGGCGTCGAGTAATCTTTTGAAACTGCTAGCGCGACAAAAAAAACTTTCAGTCAATATGAAGCTCTACGTCAGTGTTGTCCAGAGACTCCTCTAGGACCATTGGCTGACTGCGACTTTTCGAAGGTTCTATTTTTTGTTCAACTGAGTTTTCATCCAAACTTTTCTTAGTTCGTCACTTTCGACAGTTGGGGAGATCCAGTACCTCTGAATAACACCAACGATGCCACGACTATCTACTGCGGTAAAATGGTTGCCGATCTTTCTACGAATGCTGTCTGGGCTACTTAGTAAATTGTCTAGTATTTATTTGGAATGTACTTTATACTTTCAGCAATGACGTCTATAATTCTTACCAAGACTGTTACAACTTCACAGGAACTACACAGCAGAATATCGAAGTTTCAAACCTGTTTTCATAAATGCAAAACAAAAATCTTATTGCTAGGAACTTCATCGGAAGCTGTTGAGAAAGACCGGTATGAGAACTCCATCTCGGAACGTCAACAAACTGATCTCTTCATCAAACTTGTACTCCATGTTCAGCACCGGATCCAACCCTTTCGTCGACCAAGGAGTACTGATAAGAGTCTTTTGCATAATTGAAACTAATCGCATTACTGGCGATTCCTAATAATAACACTAGCAGACAGAAACACTGATAGAGGAGATTATCGGCTTACAGGCCCTCTACAACAGAAAATCGACAGACGCCCTGCAAGGCTACGCTTGTTACGCCGAAGACGGAGCCAATGCCTATCTAAATCGGGCCGATGTGCGCGCCGCGCTCAATATTCCGTTGAACGTTCAAGCTTGGCAATCTTGCAAGTACGATCCACATTTCAATCAAAAATGAAAAAAAAAAGACGAGAAGCTAAAATGCATTCATCCCGATTTGGTCTGGATCAGCATCTTTCAACACGAAGAACAGAAAAAAGTAAAAAAAAAAATGAAAAATTTCAGTTGTTCCACTTTTATTTTATTTTTTTTTGATGTAGAAGTAATTCGGTGCGAAAGACTAAAAAAGTTCATGTTTTAGTGACGCGATCAATGAACAGTACTACATCCAGCAAACACCGGACACGACATACATTTTCAAGTTCTTTGTCGATTCGGAGTACCCTTTGAAAGTTTTGATCTACAACGGAGACGTTGACCTCGCTTGCAATTTTTTGGGAGACCAATGGTTTATCGAGAACTTGGCCACGTCTACCTATCAGGTACTTTTTTCAATGAAACCGTCTATTTTGTGAAGTTCAGTTCAATCTAATCACAAACCGAACTGAGTGGGACTACACTAGACCTGGAGGTTATGCGTCACAACTTGCCGGTTACGTAAAATCCTGGTCCTACAAAAACTTCGCAGTTGATCTTCTCACTGTCGCGGTACTTTGATCCGACGTTATACTCTAAGAAATGGCTTCAGGGAGGAGGTCACATGGTTCCGATGGACAGACCTGGTCCAGCTCTCCAGATGTTCTACAACTTCCTCTTCAAGAAGAATTACAACCAAACTGTGCCTTATTCTCTGTCGACGCGGCCACTGCGTGCGCAATACGCGCCAGTTCAGCAGAAATCTTGTAAATTATATTTTAATAATTCTAAAATCAGTGTCACTTAAAAAAACTCAAAAAGATGAAGTTCGAAAATCTGAGGAATCTATGGCGATATTTTTCCTAAAAAATTTAAAAGCTGTACGGAGCTAAAAAAATTTTGAGCTTTTCGTTTTTCGTCAAATTGATGCGCTTGCAAATTTTTCGGAACTTAGGATGAATCTCGATATTTTTTATTGAGTTTCTTGATAGGGACGAGAAAACAAGCTGACAGAGTCTGGAATTTGCCGGGAGTCACCTACGGTCTCAACTTCAAGCAGTATTCCGGCTACCTCAACGGAGTCACTGGAAACTATTTGCACTATTGGTAAGAACTGTCATCAAAGAGACAGCTCATATTTGAATTTCTCTATTGGTTTTTTTCCATTACTAACTTTCAATCTGGACAGTCATATCTTCATTTCAGGTTTGTGGAATCGCAGAACAACCCGACCTCTGACCCGCTTGTCCTCTGGCTTACTGGAGGCCCTGGATGTTCTTCTTTGCTTGCGTTCCTCACTGAACTCGGTCCATTCCACCCGAACCCCGACGGCAAAACTCTTTTCGAAAACGTCTACTCTTGGAATAAAGTGGGAAAAGTTCAAAAAAGAGATAGATTTCCTTTCTCAGGGTGCCAACGTTATTTTCTTGGAATCACCTCGAGGAGTGGGTTTCTCTGTTCAAGACAGAAACCTCAACAACGACACGATTTACGACGACGACAGGGTGCTAAAAATTAGTTTTTTTTTTTAATCTGTGAATTGAATTCAGACTGCCTGGGACACGTTCTTGGCTTTGAAAGACTTCTTCACCGTTTATCCTGAGTATGAAGGCCGTCCTTTCTTTGTCACTGGTGAATCATAACTGAATTCCATCGAACAAAAAATAATTATTTAGGAGAGTCATATGGCGGTGTTTACGTTCCCACTTTGACCTCTCTTCTTATTGATCAAATTCAAGTGAGCAAGTAGAAATTTCGAAGTTAACCAATCTATATTTAAAGGCTGGAAACTTCCCTCAATTGAACTTGGTTGGAATGTCAGTTGGAAACGGAGAGCTCTCGTCGATTCAGCAGTTCAACTCTGCTATTAACATGGGATACTTCCACGGTCTTTATGGAAAAGAGTAATTAGAGTTTTCAAAGCCAAAAAAAAAGTTTCTTCTGTTCAGAGAATGGGACTCACTGCAACAGTGCTGCAACAGCTCGAAAACGAACTCCCAGTGGTTCGAATATTGCAATTTCGCGCAGTACGTCAACATTGACACTTCTGGCAGTGCCAATCCAATTGACAACAGCTTCTGTGCTCAGAAAGTGGCAGATCTCGGTCAGGCTCGCTTTTGGAACAGTTTGTGAGTTTCGAGAATCACTAGAAAAAAGTTGTCCAGTTTTCCACAATCGGAAGTTGTATAATATTCAGAAACTGTAGAATAAATTTGAGAAGTTTTTGAGAAGAGTTTTCTAGAATGAACGCAGTTGAATGATTCAGAAACCTCGTTTACAACATTTACCAAGACTGTTACGAGCAAACGAGCAGACCTTTCGGATCAGTTGCTTCGAAAAACAAGTATCGCGGATTTGTCGACCAAGGGGTATTTTCATTTCGCAGAAGGTACTGAAATTTGAATGAAATTCAGGCTCAAATCTCCATGTCTTCTACTGATAACCAAGGCGGTTTCCTCTGCTACGCTACCGCCGGCGCTTCGAACTATTTGGACATTCCAGTGAGCAAATCCTAATTTGATGAAAGCTACTTTTTTAAGGATGTGCGTGATGCTCTGCATGTCTCGCCTCAAGCTGGTAACTGGACTCCTTGTGTGTTAGTCAGACAATATAATACGTCATCGTTGTTTTTTTTTTCTTAGAGACGACATCAATAATAACTACGTTCAACAGCACAACGACACCACATCCGTTTTCCAGCACATGATAGAGTTTGATAGACTTCCCTGAACATAACACAATTCTGGTGCAGCTCGGGCTATCCGCTCCGCGTCTTGATATACAACGGTGATGTCGACCAAGCTTGCAACTACCTGGGAGATCAGTGGTTCGTCGAAAACGTGGCGACCAAAAACAACATGGCTATCACTAAGAACTTCGACGCCTGGAGGTTGGAAAACTTTTCCAAAAGTTGCTGACTGTTTTTTCAGATACATGACTCAAATCGCCGGTTACGCAAAGAAGTTCGACAACAACGCTGGTTTCACCATTGACCTGCTTACTGTCAAGGTAAACCCTCAAGATAAAAAAGAAGTTCTTGTAACGATTGAAAAGAGTCACGAGAATGTCTTTTTGTTATTACTATCAGCCGTGGCTTGACACAGCTCGGCTTCTTCATACTCTTAAACTTTTCAAAAAAGTTCTCTAAGGAAAAAAGGAACGGAAATTTTTGAAATAAGATTTGGTTAACTAGAAAAAGCCGTCGATCCCCAAGCCTAACTTTTTTTTATTAAACTCATTGCGTTGAATATTGATATTTCAGTTTCTTTGCTTTTTTTCCTTTTTTTTAAATTGATTTTGTTTTAGGGAGCCGGTCACATGGTTCCAACTGACCGTCCAGGACCTGCACTCCAAATGATCACAAACTTCTTCCGCAACCAAGACTACAGCAACCCGACTGTCTTCGATTACTCCCTTCATCCTCTGAAACCTGCCTATCGCATCGCTCAACGAGTATGAGTTTTTCTCTTTTCAGACTTTCTTTTTGTTCAGGTCGCAGACAACGTGAACGCAAATGGAACGTCTTCGGCCTCTTCCGAATCGATTCCACGGCCTTTGGGGTCCAACAGGAAAAATATCAAAGCAAAGAAAATTGAACGCACAAGAAAAATTGCCTTGAACCTGGTCAGATGAAATTTTCAACCTGATTTAACATAAGTTTTCCAGGCTGAAAGAAAGAGACTGAGTTTCGCAGCTTTTCCACCACCACCAGATCAGACGAAGGCTCAAGATGAGGTTATCAATCTGCCCGGTCTGACTTTCCAGCCAAACTTCAAGCATTATTCTGGCTATCTCAAGGCTTCAACTGGAAATTACCTCCACTATTGGTATTTTCAATCAGCGTCAATGGTAATGAAATATGTTGAGGCTGACGGAGTCGCAGAGCAGTCCTGCGACTGATCCGTTGATCCTCTGGCTTAATGGCGGCCCAGGATGTTCATCATTGGGAGGTCTCCTCGAAGAACTCGGACCTTTCCACATCAACCCCGATGGCCAGACAGTTTTCGAAAACGTTTTCGCATGGAATAAGGTGGATTTTCGATAGACTCCCACAAATTAAAAAAAACATTTTTATCATAATTTTTCAGGCTGGAAACGTTCTATTCCTTGAAGCTCCGCGAGGTGTCGGATTCTCCTACCGCAGTAATGAAGTTCCTGCCGATTCTTTGTACAATGATACCTACGTCAGTTTTTTTTTCCGAATCAGTAACGGTTTTCTATCAAAATATTTCTTTTTAGACAGCTTCTGACACCGTTCTGGCTTTGCAATCTTTCTTCACGAAATTCCCAGAATATAAAGGAAGACCGTTCTACATCACTGGTTTTTTTCTTACATATAAAACGTTTAAAAAAATTTTTTTAGGAGAGTCTTACGGTGGAATTTACGTACCTACTCTTACCAGCGCATTGATCAAAAAAATTCAGGTGACAGAAAGAAACTCAGAACTGTCTCATTCTATCCAATCGATTCAAAAATCTAGCTTAAGTGCCTCATTTTTTTTTCCTCAATCGATGATTCCTGTAGACCTCCACTAACATCACTAAAAAAAAGAAAAAGGGAGGGCTTTTCTTCTTCCGTTTAAGCAGGAGAAATGTGTTGAAGGTTTTTTTTATTGCAGAGCACAGAAATGAGCTACGTCAACTTGGTCGGAATTGGAATCGGAAACGGAGAAATGAGCGAAATTCAACAAGTTTCTTCTTCTGTTTCTCTGCTTTACTTCCGTGGAGAGCACGGCAAAAAGTTCGGAAAAAATTTTAAAATTTCAAAGTTTGCTTTTTTTTTAGTGATTGGGACGCTCTTTCCAAGTGCTGCGATACTTCGAAACCACAAGCTTATTGCGATTTTATTTCCTACATCACTCTCGACACTTTTGGAAACGCTTGGCCTAAAGTGGGATCAGAAATCAAAACTGTTTGAAACTTAATTCAAGGTTAATGATAACTCTACTTTGGCCGGCCAGTGTGGTAACTTAGTCGTTCAACAAGGATTTCTCGATGTATGGACAACAGAGTGAGTATCGATAAAATTCTTTCCCACGGAAGTTCAGCAACGATGTCTACAACACCTTCATGGATTGCTATGCCCAGCCCGGAGCCGCCGATTCGAAACTGGTGAAGACGAATTCTCGCAGAGTGAAGCGTTCGTTGCCGACGTCGGAAGCATCTGTCCTCCCTCCACTTCTGAGCAAGCCTCTGTTCATTGATCAAGCGGTCAGCATTCCATTTCAAAATGCTGAAACTGAATATTTTTTTGAAAATCTACTTATTTAAAAGTAGTTAATTAATGTTTAGACAAAATTGAACTACGGAGCAACTGACGCTAATGGTGGTTTTGCATGCACATCTGGTGATTCCGCAGAATCGTACCTCAACCTCCCAGCTGTTCGCCAAGCTCTCCATATCCCCGACTTTTTCACTACTCACTGGAGCGATTGCAAGTAAATTCAAAATTAATGAAAAATTCATATTGCATCGAACCATGTGAAAATTTTTTTCAGCGATGACATCAACGAAAATTACATCCAGCAGCACAACGATACCTCGAGCGTTTTTGTAGACATCCTTCAAAGCAGTGAGTTTGCTTGCTTTTTTTTCAGAAATTTGAAAATTTCGTACAGACTACAAACTCAAGTTCTTGATCTACAATGGAGACGTCGACATGGCCTGCCAGTTCCTCGGAGACCAATGGTTCATAGAAAAATTGGCTAAAGATAACAATATGGCCTTTTCAAAGCCACACAACCCTTGGAACTACACGCAGGGACAGTATGTTCAAAATGAAGGTTCGAAAAAACGAAGATTTTTTCAGATATCTGCCAAGAATCGGTGGCTATGTCAAACAGTTTAACTACAATAACAGTCAGGCAACTTTCGATCTGCTCACCGTGAAGGTGTGAAAACTAGACTCAAATCTTCTTTGCTCATCCAACATCTTCTTAAAATCAAAAAGACTATTTCAGGGAGCCGGTCACTTTGTTCCTCAAGATCGACCAGGACCCTCTCTTCAGATGATCTACAACTTCGTCAACAATCTCGATTACAGCCGCAATCTCACTCTTGACATTTCTAGAAAACCTTTGTTGCCGCAATACACCTCATCTCCAACACCTGGTGAGCTCAAAGCATTTAATCTTCATTTTCCACAAATAATCGACAGTCTACCGAAACATTGCTGACCACATCTTCCAATTGCCGGGCCTGACCTTCCAGTACGACTCTGGATTCCATGCCGGCTATCTCAAAGCCTCACCTGGAAACTACCTTTACTATTGGTAGAAAAACTATTATTTTTCCGCTTTCAAATGAAAACGTTAGGCTTGTCGAATCGCAGGCTGACACAGTCGCAACAGATCCCGTCGTGCTGTGGCTTCAAGGTGGCCCTGGATGCGCTTCGACTGGAGGACTATTTGGTGAAGTTGGACCCTTCTTCGTCAATCCTGATGGAAAATCTATCTTCGAAAATGTGTATTCTTGGAACAAGGTAAGAAGAAGGGAGAGGTTACTAAAATAAGTGTGTGGGAAACTACAGGCCGCCACAATTCTGGTCATCGATTCCCCAAGAGGCGTCGGATTTTCTTATCAAGATAAGAGCGTGAACCAAGACAATAAATGGGACGACACAAAGGTAAAATTAATTTTTCGACAGATTATTTTCATTTGAATATTTTAAAGACGGCAAGCGACACAGCTCTGGCTCTCGAAGATTTCTTCACAGCCTATCCTTTCTTCATGGATAAGCCTTTCTACGTTGCTGGAGAATCTTATGGTGGAATATATGTTCCTACTCTGACTCGTCTGCTCATTCAACGAATTCAAGTGAGCTCACACCGAGTTTTTTTTTTAAATTTTTTTTAGGCCGGACAGTCAAAAATCAATCTGCAAGGAATGCTTGTTGGAAACGGTTTACTCAGCTCTGTTCAAGACGTTAGTTCATTTCTTATGTTACAACCATATTCTGCTTAATTTTAGGTGCGCACTCTTCCGGACTTCCTATACGCTCATGGAATTTATGACAAACCGTGAGTTTTTTTTAGATGTTTTTTTTTTAATAAAGTCTCATTTACAGACAATGGGAAGAGCTCCACAAGTGCTGTCAATCCACAGATCAGAGTGGCAGCTGCAATTATGATCAATACATCACTATTGATCAATACAGTACTGAATTTCCGATCCGATTCAAACTGGTTTCTATTTTATAGCGAACGTCAATGCGAAAAAATACGACAACGCAACCTTACAAAATTGTGCCAATTTGGTTGAGCAGCTCTCATTTGATCGCAACTGGCGTGCAATGTTAGTTTTTCCTACAAAATTTGAAAAAAAGGGAGTTATACGAAAGTTGTTTGAAATGTAGGTATGATCAGTACAACCTCTACCAAGACTGCTACACCTACCCACAAGGAAATTCGAACTTCCAAAGGAAAGACGCATCCTCTAGGCTCAAAGTGATGCCAAATGTTCACAAAAACATGCAAGCGGTTAGAAAAAGATTTATTTCAAGCTATGAAAAAATTATTTCTGTAGAGTATGTCACCCAACCTTCTGCCAAGCGTTTTCGACCCGCTCTCAACGGACGCCACTGGAGGATATTCTTGCTACCAATACGACGCCATCACTCGCTACTTGGCTCAACCCCACGTTCGAGATGCCATCCACGTACCAGACTTTGTCCAAAGATGGGAATTCTGCACGTAGGGCGTTTCGAATTTGAAATCATGATTTTTGAATTATTACAAAAAAGTTCTGATAAGGTGCTGATAGTAACCTTATTCGTATCCAATAATATTTTGCTTCAACTATCATTTCAACTTAAATTACAACTTACATTTCAACTTAATTTTCATTTCAACTTGAGTTCTCTGAAATAAGAAGAGCTTTTGACTATTTTGGGCCGTCATAATTCATTTAATATACTGTTGGATTTTTGAAACTTCTCTATTCGCAAAAAAAGACTATTTTAGGGATATCAACTACGCTTCGTTGTACAATGACACCACTCAAATATTCGTGGACATGTTCAATAGCGGATACAACTTAAAGTAAGAATTTTAGTGTCAAATTAGTTAAAGTTTTGACTCAGAGTTCTCGTCTATAACGGTGACGTAGACACTGTGTGCAGCATGTTCGAGGCACAAAATACTATTCACAACTTTGCAATCCAGCAAGGATTTGTGCGTATTTGAAGAAATCACCTTTATTGAAAAATTGGAAATTCTTTAGAAAGCGCCACAACCGAGGTCAGCCTGGATGTACGCTCAACAAATTGCCGGATACGTTCAGAAGTATCAAAACGGAAACATGACCATTGACTTGGTTACTGTGAAGGTTTAAAAAAACGGAAAAGGGGAAATCATCCGTTTTTCAGGGAGCTGGTCATGGCGTCCCGGTTGACCGGCCTGGCCCGTCTCAACAACTCGTTTATAACTTCATCTCCGGTCAACCAAACTACAATACCTCCGTTCCATTTGACTTGACCAGAAAACCACTTCTGCCTCAATACACGGTAAATTTCGATTACATCAAAATCTTTACAAGAAATGCAGTCATCAATTTTTGAATCGTTCTTGCGAGAGAAAAAAAAACAGTTCTGAAAAAAATTAACCTCGCATGAGCTGGGATTTATTTAGAACAACAACTCCTTTCTACGAAATTTTTTTTGAGATCTCAGCTGAAACCCTGAAAAGTTTTTTTTTTGGAAACTGTCAAGAAACGGGTGGTTTTTTTCATCAAGTATCATAAAGCTTTCTGATGAAATTGTGCAAAATGATTCCTTCAAAACTTCGAAAACGTTTTCTTATTCAAAAAATCCGCTAAATTTCTTTCAGGAGACAGGAGCTGGCGCGGTCACAGTCACAGCGACGCCTGTGACGAACGCTCCAGTGACGAGCCAAGGGCCTTCAAACTCTACAGGAAGTACTAATCCACCTTCTACTACTGCCCCTACGACCGCACCAATCCCCACGACAACTCGAGGCACTTCTAAACTGAATATTTTTGCTTCTGTCGCCATTGCTTTTGTTTCTGTTTTCATCCGAAAATCGTTTTAATTATTATTCAGAAATCCAATTGTTATTTGGTTGAATTGATTTTTTTGGAGGCCGACTGGCTCGAAATTGTCTCGGTATATAAATTGTTGATGTACGCAGGGAACAAATCGCAGCGAATTAGAGCATGATAAATGGTATAAGTAGAGAAGGCAAAAGACAAAATTCAGTTTCATCAACGTCCGTTCTCAAACATGTAAGTTTCTTGAATTCTCATTTATTTGTTGGAATTACAAATTTTCACCAGTCAAGTGAAAATTTTCAATGATTTACTTTGTATAGGCTTAGACATCGCATGAACAGCTCAAAATGATTGCGATACGTTTTTCCGAAGAAAAAAAATTATATTTTTTTCAATGTTCAACAAACTCCTAGCACCGCGCGACCTCGGTTAATTTTTTCAATACTGAATGAGAATTTCTTAAATTATAATAATCAATATTGAAAATTTCTTGATGTTCAGAAATTACCTTATTTAGGCAGATCAACGCGATAGTTTATAACAAAACTCGCAAATTGGCGGGACACACTTTCAAATTGGAGCTCAACGACAACGCTACAGTTGCCGAGGTGCTGCAATTAGTTGCAAAAACGAGAAAGCAAAATTTTCAGGCAAAACAAAAAATTGAAGAGCTAACAACAGTACCCCACCAGATACAATGGGTCGTATTTGGAAGTGAGTATTTTTTTTTGATTCTTAAAAAAACTGGTTAATTTATAGCTGAACACTTGGAGGACGAGAAAATGCTCCGCGAATACGGCATTCGTGACGGTTACACTATTTACTCGACTCCGACATATGTCGAAATCCAAGACATGCCAAACTTGTAACTTGTTCTGAGAGTTCAGATCCAAATAAAAGTTATAATATGAATTTGCGTGAAGTCTAAGAAAAGAAGAAAAAATAACAAGCTTCCGACGCAATTGGCCGGCTCGTGATTGCCTCCGCCCCTTCTTCCGCCAATGTCAAGTTGGCGTCGTTGCGCCTTCAGGGACAACTTAATCCCAGCCATCTCTTATTCATGCCAGCCTTTCTGGCTCTCCTTGAATTGATTACCGCATTGTGAGTGTCAATGTTGGCGCTTTTCCCGTCATCGTCTTTCTTGTGTCGAAGCTTCTTCATTAGATTTGGACGCTCTTCGACCGAGTTGTTGCCATTTCTTCCAGCGCTGTGCGAGTTAGAGCTATGAAATTGAGCTTTCACGCTGCTGTTCGATTTTTTCAACTCCTCCAGCTATGATTCGGGTCATAACGTTTTAGAAAGGCCATAAATCGTTTGTTACAAAAAAAGTCTTAGATCTTACTAGGGAACGTTTTTCATCCCCCGGTTCAACTTTTACTGAAACTTTTCTGAAGTGTACTTTAAAACCCCCTGATTCCAGAACAAGAAGAAAATCTCTCGCAATAGATCTCGTTTTCGAGTAAAGACACTCCAAAAGCTCGAAAAAGCGCTTTTTTGGCCTAATGTGCGTAATTTGCGGACTTCGAAGCTCCATAACTCGGAAACAAGATCTATTGCGAGAAATTTTTTTCTTGTTCTGGAATCAGGGGCTCCTAGAGTATACTTCAGTGAAGTTTCAGCAAAAGTTCAACCGGGGGGTAAAAAACGTTCCCCGGTTAGAAGTTTTGTAAACGATTTTTTTTGATTTTATTTTTCGAAGATTTTTCAAATGTTTCCATAGCGTTATGATTGAAAATTTATTCCTAAAAAAACAAGTTTTTAAAGCAAGTATTCAAGTTTGGCATACACCACACGGCGTATAGCCCCAATTTGTGTGAAAAAGAAACGGCTGTCTCAAGTCGCGTTTTGACTGGAAAATCCTAAACATAATTTTAAAAAAAATCAAAGCGATTTCCATAACTGGACTCCTGACTTTCAACCACCAATAAGCCTAAACCTGTCGACTTGTTGATGAGAGTTTGTTCATTGATGTAGAAAAAAGGCTTTAAAAAACAAACTTACTCAAGAAGTAACATCAAAACGAAGTTCTCTTATGTTTCGTGAGATGCATGCAAAAAACGACCCAAGAGCTCCTTTCAAAATGCTTCTTCTACATTTTGGCAGCCATAGCAACCCAGTCGTTTAATTGGATCTTCGAGTTCTTTCCGTTTCCTCTGACTTACTCCATCGACCTGTTTTCCGTTTAGTATATAGAGTTCTCTAGTTCGCCAAAGCCTTGTATATTTTTCAACTGACAAACAGAAAAAAATTAAAAAAAGTATAAGTGAATATCAGTCATGTCTAAAATTTGACAGCTTTAGCTGACAATATAAAAAAAAGCAATGACAATAAGGATCTATTCGTATTCTCAATTTCGACAGAGTTTGTATGTGAATATTAATTTTATTCATTATTATTTGTGTTGAGCCATTGTTTTTCATGAAATACGTTTATTTTTCGAAACTAAGCGATTTTTTTCGAAGCATTATGAGCCTGGGAAAAAAAATAGACATTTTTTTGTTTTTTTCGCCTTTCTTCAAACTAAAATAACTCATTTTTTTTCTTTACGATACTTGTTGTTTTCTGTGAATAAATATGTATTATGATTTCTACCAAGAAAGTTCATTTCACTTTGCAGTTTGGAGTTCTTACGAATTTGCTTGAATACTCCCTGAAAGTATAGAAGAGTACTCCTTACCTGAGCGAACTTTCACTTTTCAAGATATGATCTTTCAAAATTTTCGAAGTATGGGTTTTAGGCTAACTCTACCAACTGGGAAAACTAGAAGTTCGCGCAGGTAGAGACTATCAGGGATTCTAATCTAAATATTCAGAGTGTGTTTGAGCAATTTCCAGCAAATTCAAAACGGCTAAGTATAATGAAAAAAAAAATCAAATTCCAGTTTTTTGGTTTTCCAACATCAAATAGTATATGAACTTCTGAACAAAAAAATTTACCGGACTGAATCACGTCATAGGTGTCAGACTCACGGTTCGAACTAAGAGAAAGCACTCGGATCCATTCGAACACTACCGTCGGAGCTTTTCGTTTGCTTTCAGCTGTGATACAAGTGAGATGGCGGTTCTGCCTCTCATCTGCAGCGCACTCTCTTCATTCTGTGAAAATTTGCAAGAAGTCGCGCCCCGAACCTCCTCTTCGCTTGCAGTTTTCCTTCACCTTCCGATTCTCCCGTGGTAAACACTGTCCTCCGTCATCTTCTCCAATTGATCGCGCAAAGTCATTCGTATTCAATGAACAAAACCAAGTGCCGTGGGGGTCAGACTATTCCATGGAAATCGATTGACCTGGTCTTTGGTTTCGAAGATATGAATTGAGAGCCTTCTTTTCGTTTCAAAATTGAAAATTTTTGAGAAAAAAACTTCGAATCATTTTAGAACAGTTTTCAGTCGTCATGGTTTTATTCTCACTTTGTCAGAAATTCCACCAAAAGATTTCCCTCTTCAATTTTTTCGATCAATATGTGTCAGCATATTTTTCTTTAGTTTTATCGACTCCCTCTTATCTGTTTTTTTTTCTTCCTAAATTTTTGATGATAAAAACGAAAGCCACAGCTCAAAGTTTTTAAAATTTTTTCTGAGTTTCGCAATTCACACCGGGAGATTTCTATACTTTCCCAGATCTCCTTATACGCCAAGTTTGTCGTTTCACATCGGTTCATTTTTCACGCACAACCCATCATGACGTTTTATCCTCATTATTTCAAGTTTTATGATATTTTGACAATAAAAAAGTATTTTTCCGAAAACTTACTCGGAACTTTATGAAAAAAAAATATTTTTTACTAACAGTTTCGAAAACTTACAAGTTGATTTGCAGACTTCAAATGGCTGGGCCCAAAAGCCAGGGCTGTACAAAGTATGTGTGCGTGATTGTACTCCTGGCGATTTCATTGTTTATGGTGCCGTTCGCGTTTACAAACAGCGCTTGGACAGTGATTGAGTACAACTATGGAGAGTTTCAGGTGAGAAGAAGGTAATTTGAAATAAATTATGGATTTTTTTGTGAAGAGATCCAGTAAAACCGGATTTTTCCATCGAAATAAGGATAAAATTCTTTTTTTGGTTAGAAATCCTTATAATATTGTCGCACTACGTATAAAAAAACCATCAAGTTCTGTTCAGAAATAGAAGATTTTTTTTCTGAACCGGTTTCTCAAACTCTTTGCTAAGAGTGTTAAATCAAAGAATAGAAGCGCTTTTTTAGAAAGATCAAAAAATGAACTGTTTGAGAGTGGCACGATTTTTGATCAGAGCATGAACATATCCCTGATTTCAGTAAATTTCTGACTGAAAATAATACTGCCTTCTAGGTCAGCTCGGTACAGTTCTTCTCAAATTTATTTTTGTTACATTTTTCATGAATTGTCAGCATTTTTGGCTATTTTTTTCAGCCTCCATTTGATCATCATAGAAAGAGCGAAATATTGAGATAAAAAAGAATCGAAAAAAAGTTGAAGCACGTAGAATGATTAAAGCCGCCTTGAATAGAATGAACTTGCCAGTCGGTGTCCAGGTTTCACAGTAGAGCGCCCTTTTTTTATCTAGCTTGTAGAACATTTGGTCAATGTTTATTTTCATTTTTTTCTTTTAGGCAATGTACTAACAATTAGAAAGAGCAAGTATCTTTCATTACATAGATTCTCTGACAATCAAAAACAAAAAGTTTTCAATCATTTCGAGTAACAAAAGCGATCACACTATTTTTCCAGCGAGGAATACGTCCTTGGGATTGTTATGCGCACAAAGACATAGACGAAGGCGAGGCAAAGTGTCTGGAATGGGGCAGCGTCGATCGGGCGAAGAAATTTCCGCCGCCTTTCGAAAAGGTTCTTCCGTCCAGCAGCTGTGAGTTTAGGAAGCTTTAAATTCGAAATCGTGAGTCATCTAGCAAACGAAGCGATTTTGCAAGAGTTTGAAGGCTTTTCGACAGAATTCAAGTAAATTTTGTTCACTATTTTCGATCATCCTAGCATTTGAAATAAACCTAAAGTTTATTTGAAAGGGATTGAAAAATAAGTGAAGTTCCAAATTTCTGTATTCATTCTGCCTTGACCTGGTGATGAAAATATAAGAAGACTGAAATTTTCATTCAGATTTCTCAATGTCGCGACAATTTTTCAGTTCACAAGTTCCTTTTTGAAGAATGTAAAAAAAAATGTTTTCAGTGTCCCGAGCCTTAAACTGGCTACCTCGGATCATAATTATTTTGCTGATCTTAGTCTTTTTGATTGAGTTCTATCACTGCTGTTGCACAGAATCGAACACGAAAAATGATGAACTCTGCATTCTTGTAGAGTTTGGCATCAATTGCGTTCTCGGTTTGTTCATATAGTTTCAGTCAAAATGAAAAAGGCGAAATTCAGGATTTTTATGGCTGTTCACTCTTTTTTACAAAGGTATCACAGCCTACACTACCGTGATCATAGAGCCGTTCCCACCAGGAGCTCAGGTGAGCTGTAGTTTTCTTTTCAAAAAAACATATTTTTTCTACTTATTATTTCAAAAACGTTCAACTGGATTTTTTCCTGCTCAAAGAGTTTGTGCAGAAACGGAGAGAAAATTAAGCTATTAGATTTTTGAAACAAGTCTTCTGTATTTGAAACTCCCTCAAAATAGTCAAATTTATTTTTCACAAAATTTGAGCGAGATGATATTTGAATCCAATTGTTGAAGCTCCAGACAAGCAAAATCACTTCAGTATGAAGTTTCGAATTCCTCGTTGATTTTTTCGGAAACTATTTGTATGTCAAGAAGAAGATTGTGATAATCGACAAATAGGAAAAATCCGTTTTGACATTTTTGAGAATTGCCCTTGAGCACTGAATTCAGATCCAAAATCGTCATTGACCAACTATCAATGTTCGTTTAACTGAACTGAAAAACATGGCGCAGGTAGCGACTATAATCGATTTTTTCCTTGATTTCCGAAGAGCTTTTAGGGCTTTTTGATAGAGGAAATCAAGCTAGTAGACATTTTTTTATGTTTCCTGTGAGCTTGAGCGATGATGAACAGAGATAATTCCAAAATTAACGGAAATTTTTCAGCAACGTCTTGGAACTGGATGGTTCTTATTCCTACTCAGTTTCATTTTCTTCGCGATAAGCGCTTTAATCATGCTGCATGAAGTTCCAGCACTTTTGAAAAAAAGAGGACATCAGCGAGTTCCAACAGGACACCACGAAATGAGCCGAAGGACCATTCCCAGTAATGTCGCCCAACACTATTTGAATGAGCCGATATCTTCTCATTAGCCTCAGGATTTTTGAAAATTGGTTTGATTTCTCAGGAAATTGAGTTGACACAGAAATTCAATGAATTCTCCGCTTCATATCTACTAGAAAATCGAAAAAATTCCTGTTTTGGCTTTTGTTAAATAATCTGTTCACCAGTTTGTGCTTTCTTTTCGTTTTTCACAGTTTCAGTATTATTTAATACTTATCATACGGTTTCATTGAAAGCTTTGAATTGAATAAAAATTGCTTTCTTTGATGCTTTTCTGAACAATAATCAATTTTTCTGTTCACAGAGGAAGCTCTAACTATGTTGAATTTTAGAATAATCGAATAGATTGGACTTATCAATTTTTTTGCAAGCCAACGTTTTTTTTCCATGAATAGTAATAAGGAATGAAAAAAGTTTTGGAAATTTATCAACGGAGTTTTTTTTCCGTAATTTTTTTGCATGATTTGGAGATTTTCTGAAAATTTAAAGATCACGTTGGAATTGTCAGTCAGAAGATAGTTATGGTCATCCTAATAGTTTATTCAGTTTGCACAGTCAAAGTGAAGGTTGAAAAATAATAAGTGAATGTGAATAACAACAAAGAGGAAAAAAAGACACGACGGAAGCATCAAAATATATTTTTCCCGCTCATCTTTAATTTTTGAACTTTTTGTAAAAATATTTGGTTTTTTAGGTACATTTCAGACGGTTTCGGTTTAAAGTACATCTGAAATGGTTTGATGCATCATTTTCATAAATATGAGTGCCCCTGTAAACTTATTTTCTTTTTTTATTCGCAATGAAAATATTTTGTTGAGCTTTTTGTTCTGCACAGAAATACAGCTGTTACGTGTTATAAAATGTTATAAAACAACGAACTCGAGAGCGTTTGGAAAGGATGTTGATGCAATTGCTCGAGAAAACATAGAGAAAAATTATATAAAATGGGGAATTTCGGATGCTGAAATGAAGATGTTCATTCGTCCGAGTTTTCTGCTTGTCTTTCTCACACGGCTTGCAACTGCTTGCTTGGATCATGAAGATCTAGTGAAAAGCCACATCCAAACGTCAGGAGTTTTTATTCTCTATTATGTTAAGCGTAAAACCTAAAGAGCTGAAAAACTTCAGGAAAATTAACAAAACTGCGGATCCCTGTACGGATTTCTACGCTCATGTGTGTCCCTCGAACCTGCCTTTGAATCAAACAGTTGGTGAACGGCTTCGGCAACTTTATCTGCAAGAAGCAGCAAAGTTTCATACGAAACACGACGAATTTACGGTTGGGAAGAAAAGGCTTCCGGTAGGATAACATATTTCAGAAACAAATCTATACCTATGTCCACAATTTTCGCAAAGTTGTCAATGATCTCATTGAAGTGTAAGTTTAAAAGATTTTGATTGAAATACAAGCTCAAATAAACTTGAAGGAATCATCAATCAATCATCATCAATCAATATTTATTGTTTGTTTTAGTCAGATGGAATCGACTAGGCGGTGAAAAAATTGCTCTTTTGAGCGGCACTAACACCGCCTTTGGCGAGAAAGAAGTCAAAACGTGTAGTCGATTGAATTGAAAGCATGATCTTACGGTCCTTCGCCTCGTTCTTCCACAAGTAGATCCCTCAGTTTCGCGGGTACGGGCACGGCGGTGATGGTAGGGCTCGGGCACGGACGCCGTGTACACTCTAGGGTAGCCTCGGCCGATTGAGAGAGCTACCACTTCGAGGGGGGAATTGAGAAAGCTACCACTTGGAGAAGGTTTTAATAATTTCTTGAATTTTTTCAATTGCAGATGCGAGATTACTGGCGATAACAAAAGCCTAGCGATTGACTTTGTTAATCAAACGACCAGAATAGCATTCAATGAAAGTTCCAGCTGTGAAGCCATCGGCTATACTTTCGGTCTTTCAGCGTTCATGCTAGACCCGTATGAATTGGTAAAGAAACCTTTTTTACGCTTCAAAAACTATGTTTCAGTATGGCTTGCTTCTGGATATATGTTTTTTTGGCCCACGTGAACTTGAGTTTTCGAAATCGGATCTGGGTCATTTGTTGAATAAAAATGAAGAAAAGTTTATGAACAGCTTCAAAGACGAAGTTCGCAAAAAGTTCTTGGTGAATCAGTTGTTCCTTAATTTCCTTCCACCTCGATTTCAGGAAACTCCGTGGTTGAAAAACAAGAATGGAACTGAAGTTTACTTGGAGTTCCTTGAAAACGATTTCTCCTTATTCAAAAAGACAGAAAACATTATTCATTCTTGGGAAAAGATTTTCGACGACTTGGAAAACTATTCAAAAAGTTGCAAGTAAAATACTTTTGTGGAATTCATGTTAAAAGCCATTTTACAGACCAAACAACACTATTTCTTCTTTCGTTTGCGCAATCGAAAAATTGATAGCGCTCGTGAGAAAAAAAGCTAGACCGTCATTTGAGTTTACCATGTTTGAGCCATCCCTTAACGCTGGGAACCTCGTTAGTTATTGAATAATGATATATCGTGAGATGTTTTTTTTTTCAATTTTTTTCAAACTTCTGATTCATTTCTGAAGAAGCGATTGTTTTTTCAGCTCAAAACGGTTGTTTCAAACCATTAAGTCATTTTTGCTTACAGGAAAATGAAATAAAGATAAATCGTGCAACTCAACTCCTAACTCTAACGGATAACATGGCGCGACTGGTGTGTTGAGCTTAGATTGTAGTACAAAGCCGCCGATTCCAAGAGCGCCCTTCAAACTGAGCGTTGGTTCGCAATTCACCGTCGCGTGTACGCAGATACGCCGCTTCCTTCAATGTTTAATAGTTTAACGCTGCTGTTTTTTTCATTTTTCTGTTTTTTTCGCTTTACGATCAGTATTTATAGGATGTGTAACGGCCAATCCGCGCCTGATTGTCACGGTTTTCGTTTCCATCAGAGCTAGAGAATGATTTTGTCCGTTCGCAGCGCGCGGGGTGTTTTTTTTTTGACTGCGTCTTTTATTTGGCCTGAATTTTCCGTTATATTAAAAACGCAGGTACTACACAGTCCATAAAAATTATGAGAAAAAAAGCGCTTTAAGGAAATTTCAAAACAACGGCGCAAAAAGGAGCGGCGTCTCCGTACACGTCGCAAACACGCGACGGCGCGTTGCGGACTGGCGTACTCGGTATCATCGGCGTTGCTCTACACTCGTTGTTTCAAAAAAAAAAAAAATTATCTGTTTTAGTACGGAAGCTATGGTTTCATTGTTGGCCATGAAGTTATGCACAGCTTCTATTCGTCGGGAAAAGATGACAATCGTCTGAAAGATTACTGGACTGACTCGTCGCAGTGTGTCGGTGAACAGTATACCGCAACTTGCAATGAGTTCGGAAATGTTTTCCTATTCGTAGTTTTTTTGCATCTCTTCTTTTGTCCTAGGAAGATTGCCTCCCCGCGGGAACGGATAAAACGAACGAGGAAGATGGGAGTGATTTGGCGTCGATTCGAGTAGTTTACTCGGATTTCCAAAAAAATTACCTCCATAATGAGGTTATCATAAACTTTATTTTTTTAATTTAGAAAAAAAAAATCAAGTTTTCTGTCCCTCGCCCTCTGCTCGAATCATTCATTTCAGAAAAGTGATATTGATGGTATAACTTCGGAACAGATGTTCTTCTATGCCTTTGCTTCCATGTGGTGTACTCCTGTTAGTCGCAGTTTTTGAGAGGCTCGAATCATTTGTATCTTTACAGAGAATGTTTGCTTTTGGAAATCCAGTCGATGTCCACTCTGGTCCCTACATAAGGGTGAATGCTTTGTTGGCTCAAATGGACGAGTTCAAAGAAGCTTTCCAGTGCGCCGAAAACTCACGGATGGTTAAAAGCAAGGTGATTACCAAACTCATAAAAATTTCTAGATAATACATCCGAAACTTTTTCAGGTTGAACACTGCTCAATTTTTCGGTCCGGATGCGCCGCAAACCAGAAAGAATAATGATAAAATGCTCTCCAAAAGACTTTCAGAAAAAAATAGTCATTTTTTTCAGTTAAAAAAATCAAATTACACAAATTTTTCAACCAATTTTTTTATTATTTTAAAATGAACGTCTCAATCTTTTCGTGTTTGATTTTTTGTAAGCGAAACTCCTAAAAAATGTTTTTCTACTGCAACTTTTCATTGTACTATGGCGTGAAGCCACAGTTAGCGTGTGCCAGGAGCGTCTCTTCCAAAAATCACACAGTGTTCGGTCTGAGAATTTAGTTAACTCTAAATACGAAAATCTCAAAATCAAACTTTGCTGCGGACCATTCTGGAGCCGTCGGCACATTGGAAAGCTTCTTTGAACTCGTCCATTTGTGCTGCCATTGCATTGATTCTCACTTTGTTGCCCGAATGAGTGTCCTTTGGATAACCATACCTATTCTTCGCCTAAAACAGTTTTTTTATTTGAAAGTTTTGAGTATTTTGAAATACGTTTGAGCAGTACTTAGCTGCTAAAGAGTAGAAAAACATTTGCGGTGTAGTAATTCCTCTTATGTCGGACTTCTAAAACATTCACATTTAGAAAAAGTTTTTTTCTCAACAACCTCTTTTTTTCCAAATAATTTTTTTGAAGTAGGAGTGAATCAATCGTATACCAGCCATATCGGCTCCATCTTCTTCGTTCGTTTCATTCGTACCTCCGACGCATTTTTTTCCTCAATAATCTTATTCACTGAAACTTATGAGACTGTAGTTTTGAAGAAGGGAAAGAAAACTCAGTTGAATTTTATCTTTCGAAGTTTTCATATTCCAAAAACAGTTTAGATGAAAAATATTCCCCTCACCCCTGCAAACTCTTCACAAGTTGCTTTATACTGTTCCTTGACGCAACCCGAAGAGTTTGTCCAAAACTGCGCCAGATATTCGGAACTATAAGTAACATAGAAAGAATGCATTATCTCGTGCGCAAACGTCACACCTATGGTTCCTAGCTGAAATTAATAAAAGCCTATTATGCATGATCAGAAAAAATTTACCATTCGAGCTTTGTTCGGTGTTAAGGCAAGTAGTTGGGTCGCAGGAGTAAGTATTACTTCATTTTGCTGAAAAATGAAACTCATAAAAAACGTGTTACCACACACACACACACACATTGTTAAAAGCATTCTGAGATCGGACCATTCCAAGAAATGCGACTTCGGTACTCATATAAAGTTCTCCTATAAGTTTCGAGAAGACTTCGAGGAAGATACAGACAAGAGAACAGTTATCTTTTCTGAATTTAGTAGTTTTTCCTATTCTGAAAAAAAACCTTACCTGTAAATTTCAGCTGTTTCTCTATAATATTGCTCCCACTTTTCCAATAAAGAGTCGTCCACTGTGAAATAGGACATTTTTTTGGCTAAAAACTCTGTTAAAGCAACAGTGCCGTTATGGTAGGCGACCCATGGGGTATTCTGTGAAAAGGAAAAGTTTTCCGAACTGCGACGGAACCAACTTGTATTTCTTGTTGAAGCTCAAGAGTTAAGTTCTTGTAAAGTTCAAAAGAAATGGCCCTAGATTCGGTGAACGAGCTGCTTCTGAATGATTTCAAAATTCTGGGCGTGTCCAATAACAAGTGTATCACATCAAAAAACTGAAAATTGATGTGACTCCATTGAAGAGAAGCTCAACTTACAGTCTCAGACAATTCGTTTTGCGTAGTTGTGTAACCAAAAAGGAAAGCGATTGATTCGCAGTTGGAATTTGCAGCAAGAGGAAACGTGGGGAACGCTGCTCGGGCAACAGTAAGAGCTAGAAGTTTTCCAACTCCAGGTTTGTAACATCTGTAAGAAAATAAAGTTTGCAAAAAAAATGATCAAAATCTCTCACATCTCCAGAAGTTGATCCACCATTGATCGACTTTTCAACTGTGATTTGAGATCTTTCTGCAATGACTCATTTAATGATGATGTTCAAATCAATCAATCAAATCGTTTATTTTTTTAGTAAGATGTTGTGGGCTAGGCGAAAAGCAAGAACTTTTTAAGTTATAATGATCAACCGCCTTCGGCGAACTAGAAGTTCGAACGTGTATTTGGGGACATGGTCTTACAAGTTGAAACCATGGTCTTACAGTCCTTTGCCTCGTTCTTCTGCGCCTTTACAAGCTCAGAATGGTGCGAAGCTTGTGCTGGAGTTTGTAGACAGTGTTCTAGGCGAAAGTATCAGAATGAGAGCGACCCCTCCAAGTAAAGACTATACACGGGATGAAAACTTTACACGAAATGTTCACAAAGTCAAAAAATAAATACCGTGAAGTCATCAAATTCTGTAGCTACTTCATCGAGTTCTTTGTTGAAGACAGCTGTTGCTAAGCTACTGAATGAATCTTCTTGTCTTATGCCCATGGGGCAGACGTGGTCATAGAAATCGTCGCAGGGATCAACAGAATCGTTCAGTTTTCTGCGGTATTAATGATCAAAAATTTTTGTGGACGAAAAACTTACAAAAGTATATGATTTTTTATGAAATCTTCATACTGGTGAGACAACACAGTTAAATTGAGAATAAAAACAAACTTTACAGTATTCGACATACGCACCGATAAAGATTCAAAAATTTAAAAGTTTTTCCGTTTATAAGCGTTTTCTATTAATGCTTGCTACGAAAAGAATGTTTCGTTCAGGAAGTTATATTGGCGGAATTTCAGGTGAGTCAAGTTGAATAACGGTTTCATTTGTTGTTCTCAGTTTTTTGTTTGAACCAGAAGAGCACGAAAAGTATTGAAAAACCGCGCGGAAAAAAATTTTCTTCCGTTCTGTTCCAGTTTCATAAAAGAACAAGTGCCGAAAGTGATGGTGGAAAGTTCAAAGATTCAAAGACATGCAGCCACAAGAGTTGGTGGAATTAATTCTGGGTTTTTGGTCACGCTCTGTAGGCACTTCATCGAGTTCGTCCTCTAATGCTCCGTTCGGGTGCAACATTTGATATGAAACTCATAATTCACTCTTTCTGATTCTTGCTACATTGTAGTTCCAGAGATGCTCTGTCATTTTCAGATTCTTTGCAAATTGAACTTTTTGAGAATTCAAAGTCAAAACTTATGGTATTCGGGTTCAAATTAACTTTACTTGCCTAAACTCACATCCGAAAGCAAATGCACTTTCAAAAAAAAAATTATATTTTTTCAGTCATAGATATGACTGACGCTTGTTCGAACGAAAAAATCCATAACCATTACGACGTGTCCTTCTTGCAGCTTGAGTATTAACAGCTACTACAAAAGAAGAAATGTTATAAAGCATCAAACTTGCGAATGTTTGAAAAAGGATGTTGACAAAATTGACAAAAGTGAAAACAAAGCAAATTTTATATAAAAGGCGAGTTAAAGATACATAGATGGAAATGACTCGCTTTTCAGTGTTGTTCTACGCGTTTTTCACGATTATAACTGCTTGCTCGGATTATGAAGATCTCGTAAAAACGCACATCGAAACGTGAGATTTGCCCATTTTTGGTTTTTTTGTCTGCGATGTTGAAGAAGTGAATCTTTTCAGGAAAATCAACAAAACTGCGGATCCCTGTACGGATTTCTACGCTCATGTGTGCCCCACTGATCTGCCCTACAATCAAACAGTTGCTGACCGGCTTCGGCAACTTTATCAGCAAGAAGCAGCAAAGTTTCACACGAAACACGACGAGTTCCTAGTTGAATACTAACTTTGTCCAAAAAAAAGAGTTCATTTCAGGGACATTTGAGAGCATATACTCTTAGTTTTCAAAAAATCGTTGACGATCTTCTTGGTGTGTAAGTTTGAGAAAGTTTTGAACTTTTCTGTACTTTAGATTCGAGTTTCCAGATGCGACATTCCTGGAGATCACAAAAGTCAAGCAATCGGATTCGTAAACCGAACGACAGGCATAGAGTTCAGTGAAAGCTTACCTTGTGAATTCATCAGCTATACCTTTGGAATGAAGGCTTCAGGAAAAAACCCTAAAATGCTTGTGAGGAAAAAAAAGATTGTTTTGTTTTATTTTTCGTTTCGAGTTTGGCGAGCCTCTCGAAATGTACTTCTACGGACCGCGCGAGCTCGAATTTTCAAAGTCTGAGCTGGGCCAACGTTTGAGTAGAAATGTTGAGAATTTTTTCGAAACCTTTCAGGGCGAAGTTCAAAAAAAGTTCTTGGTATGATTTCTAAAGTTATTATCTTCATCAACTTTTTAGGAAACTCCTTGGCTTATTAACAAAAACGCAACAGAAATCTATCTGGAGTTTTTGAAGAGCAATTTTTCACTTTTTCAAAAGACTGAAAAAATCATTCGCGAGTGGGATATGATTTTCGAAACACTGAAAAACTATTCAACAAATTGCAAGTGAGTAATTTTGTTGCAAGGATGATTTTTTTCCTATTTTTGACAGGCCTAATAATACTATACCCTCGTTTGTTTGCGCAATGGAAGAACTGAACAAACTTATCAAAGAAGAAGCGAGGCCGTCAATGGAGTTTTACATGTTTGGCCAAGGTCTCGATGCCTTGAACCTTGTGAGTTTTAGGAAGTTGATAGGAGTCCTAGCAGGAATCGTTGTGAATGATGGCATTTTATGAAAACCTTAAAACGATTTTTTGAGTTTTTTGCAAGTTCATGGTTTCGGCCGAATTTATTTGAACTCCCATTGGTTGATATGTAACTTTGAGTCGTGGCGATGTATTATGCTGCTCTAAGAATCTTTAATAATTCAATTTTTTCTTTCAGGATGATCAAATTCTCATCAATCGCGCAAATCAATTTCTAACTCTCACGAACAACAAAGCGCGAATGGTTTGTTTTGTACTTCAAAAAAATTAAATTTTGGGATTTATTTTTTGCAGCTCGGTGGCTTTGGTTTTATTGTTGCACATGAAATCATGCACACTTTTTACTCGTCCGAAAACAATGATAATATTCTGAAAAAATACTGGACAAACTCTTCTCAGTGTGTCAGGAAACAATATGCGGCAACTTGCAGGGAATTCGGCCAAGTAGGCCTTTTTTTAAGAAAAGGTGTTAATTGTTTTCCCACAGGAGCAATGCTTTTTTTCCGGGACCATGATGACAAACGAAGAAGATGGAAGTGATTTAGCGGCGATACGAGTAATTTATTCAGACTTCGAGAAAAACTATCTTCATAACGAGGTTTGTAATTTTTCTTCAAAACCGTAAACTTTCTGACTTAAAACAGCAAAGGAAATATTTTTCCTCATAGGTAAGTTTCTAGAAACGTGAAAAAAGCACAGAAATACTAAATATTTTTCTTTTCTGACAGTGCAAAATGAACATACAGATTGATGTCCTATAAATGAACTGAAATGTTTCTTCAGAAAAGTGACATTGCCGGTGTTACTCCACAACAAATGTTCTTCTATTCTCTGGCATCTTTATGGTGTACTGATGTGAGTTTACAAATCGTCTACCTGAATGAAAGAAAAACTTCAGAGTCAATATTCTCTAGGGACTCTAGGGTCTCATTCCGATCCTTACATAAGAGTCAACGCTTTGTTGGCTCAAATGGATGAGTTTAAAGAATCTTTCCAATGCGCTGAAGATTCTCGAATGGTGAGAAGCAAGGTATCACAACACATTATTCCAAGAAGAAAAAGACAAGTTTTTAGGTTGAGCACTGCGAAATTTTCGGCAGTGATGCACCACAAACTCGGAAATCTTCTCACAATGCTTTGTTGACTGATTCGACATAAATGAATAACTTTCTTTTTTCACTTAAAAAAACATTCATCTAACAAAGTGCAAACAAATTCGAAAATTCATCAGATCGAATATTTCTCACTAGGGAACTACTCGGACTCGGGTACGCATTTCGAGTTGAGACTTTGGTGGCTTATAGACCCAGGTCAGAATACTTGAAAACAAGAGAGTTTATCTGCTGAACCCTATAGGCTTCTGAGAAAAAACTTGTTGAAAATGAACAGTTTAGGCTTGAAAATTATCAAATTTTCGCTTTCCTCCTTCTTTTGGCTGAAAAAAAGTTCTTTAGAGTTTACATAGCCGGATCATCTAAGGCGATTGTATTAAAATATAAAACAAGGCAAGAAGCCGTATTCTGAAAAATTTCAGGCCTAATTTTCACATTTTCTACTAATTTTTTCTCAGGTCTCTATCAGGTTTAGCAGATATTCTTTTTTGTTTTAAAGTATTCTGACTTGGATTTATGAACCACTAAAGTTTCAACTCGAAACCCGTACCCGAGTCCGAGTAGTTCCTTAGTCAGTCAGTTTTTAAATTGCTGCTTCTATTGGTGATACAAACTCATTTTCTTTCAGAAAAATTGAATGAATCAGTCCTTGCAGAGATTTCTACGATCATGTCTGCCCCATCAACATGAGAGCAGAAGAAACTTTTGGATTTTCAGCGCGTGCTGCATATAACAGAGAACTGGCGAAAAATTGTTACAGATTACGATAGTTTCTTCTTTATTTCAGTTTTATCGGTTCAGAAAACCTTCACGTCCAAATCTCATTTCCGCTCGTTAGTAAATCATTTTTAAAAAAAGTTAGCGGTTTTGTACTTTTCGAAGTGTATCATCTGCAGATGTGGAGTTTCTTTAAAAGCTCGTGTTTTCTTGGTCCAAATCGAATTATTCGAACGAATTGAGGTCAGAATAGTTATCTCAGTATTGAAAACAAATTTACATAAAAGCTGCAGTTTTTTAACTTTTCTCCAATACCCCATTCTTACCAGTTAAATCAATCTACCGCTTCTTGATGTGATAAGTCTTCTCTGTTGTACTCATCTTCATTAAAAAAATAGTAAAAAAAATTGAGATTAAAATAATGGTGATATAAAATAAAGACCAGCGAAATTTCAAACGGCGACTTTTCCGATTTTTTCATATCGCTAAGGAACTTTCCGACGAATCTTTTTCCGACTTTTTTTCTCGATAAAATCTTTTTTTTAAATCGTCCTATGTAAATTAGGCAAGTAGTTCATGATTGAAACACAAAGAAATAGGAAAAAAAAATGTTATTAGATGTTTTATAACCCGCAAAATATAAGCTCAAAAAGTCGGAAAGGGATTCTTCGGAAAGGTGGCCGTCGGAAAGTTCCTTAGCAATACTAAAAAATCGGAAAAGTCGCTGTTTGAATTTTCGCTGTCTTTTCTTTCATACCACTAAAAAAATCGAATGAGTTTATCTCACCTCAACGCGAAATTATATTTTAACCCAAGTAGGCAGAAACGATAATCAAAAATGTTCATTGCAGAAGAGGCTGTGTATGCACAAAAACAAGCAATCGTACCATCTTTTGGAATAATTTTTTTTTCTCATTTTTCAAAATAATGAATTCAATCTACATTCCAGATTCTTATAGATCTGTTTCAAAAGCGATATAGCATTTTAGAACATTGTGCAACCTTCTAGAAAGGTATAGAACAAATAAGAAGATTGTGAAACTTTCTTGAAGGAAATGCTTTTTCATTCAAGCCAAAACTTATAGTTTTTATTATCTTTTGATGGATATATCGATAAAAAAATTGATGAAGTATTTCAAGAATTCTGACATCGAAGGATTCACAGTACTGCAGATGTTCTTCTACTCATATGCAGCAATGTTTTGTGAGGAGGTTCTCCATAGGCTAGAAAGCTGATTGAATTATCACAGGCAAGTGAAACTGATGGAAAACTGGAAGACACTAATTTTGGTTTTAAAGTGAGAGTCAATGCAAAGATTGCACAAATAAACGAGTTCAAAGCAGTTTTTCAATGCGCCGATGATTCCAGAATGGTCCGGAGAAAATTTCGCTTCTGTATTTCAAACGCAGCAGTTTTTCCATCTTTCAGACACAGCACTGACACGCCTGCTAATCATTCATATCATACGATGTTCTTGAATTTAATTTTTAATTATCCTTTTTTGGATTGAACATAACGTCTCATATTTCTTTTTGCCCAATAAATGTTGGTGTTCAGCATAATATTTTTCAAACGGCAAAGAAATTTGTTTTGATTTTTTACAAGTTTTCTCGAGAGCGGATCGATTCCAAATGATATTTGATTTCAATCTGGGAAACGCGCTCTTGTGGGAGTGTTGAAATTAAACATAACGGAAACAATTTCTTGTGATCCTGACAATTCCATGCATCGATGCAGTCTTCTTGGGCTTTTTCTGTTATTTTCCTTTGTTCTTACCGTCCTTAGCGAAGATTATTTAGAAGATCACATCAGACAGTGAGTTTTTTCAAACTTATCTTAATGAATTTATATAACAAAACATCGTTCTCAAACATGATTTTTTCAAATATTGCGAAACTTCAGCCGTTTGAATCACCCCATATCGGCATGTGATGACTTTTACGCTCACGTTTGCCCATTGGACTTGAGAAAAACAGATCTCATCTCAACTAAGCTAGAAGATCTCCATTGGTTTAACAAGAGAAATCTATGGAGCCCATTCGATCAATATCTTGTGAGTTTTATATTACAAGAGCAGTGACAATATGCGCAGATTTGGAACTTGCTGGGAGTTCGCTGGAAGGCGGAAAATAAAATGACACAATTTTTTGAAGTGCGGCCGAGAAACGAACATAGTAATTATTTTTATTGAATCTTCGGCAAGCTCCTCAGCTACCATTCGATCGTTTTTCTATGATGAATATGGTTATTCAGAAAAGTATTTTCAACTTTGCGAACAGCCTTGAGAGCATCAAAATAGAGCTGCTGAGACTGTGAGCTTCATGACTCCAGAACAGTAATCGAAAATTTTTTCAGGTGTTCTGGAGGATCAATACAAAAATATTTAGCCGGAAAATTTGTATCGATTTATTTAAAGAAAAATGTAACAGGAAATTGTGTGCACAACGTCGGAAGATTTCACATCGCCGCTAAACTGGGTTTTTCACATGGAAGTGAGTATTTAATGATGAAAAGAACTATCATTATAATTTCAGTATCAAATAATCAGCAGTATCATGTTTAATGGAGCCAGAGAAATTCAATTTTCGAAAACAGAATTGGGTAAAAAGTTAAACCAAAAAATGATTAGGTATTTCGAGGATTTCATTGATGTGACCAGGCAAAACGTCAAAGTTAGTTAGATACCAAAATTTCGTCGAAATATTCTCAGGTTTCAGAAGACATCATGGCTCAGAAAGTACGAAAGGACTGAAGCTTTTTCTGCCCTCTTGAGAAATAATTTTTCTTTTTTTGGTTATGAGGAGAAAGAGATCAAACGAGCTGAGATTCATTACAAAGCAGCTATGAATATCGCTCTTCATTGCACCAGAAGGTTCACTAGTTATTATCCTTTTCTCTATTTGATTTATAACAGAATCAACGAGACCGGTTTGAACTTTATTTGTGCATTTACTACTTTCAACGATTATTATGAAAGTGTTACCGCCTATCCAGACAGATACGATATGGTACTTTTGATGGGAAATTTCAATGCGTTCAATCTCGATGTACACTCGAAACTGCGGAATAAAGGAAATAGGCTCTGTTTCAGGTTGGCGTTGCAACTCTGAGGCCCGTGCAGTACCTGGCGAATTCCAAAAAACAATCAAGGATTGTATGTTTTATCCTTGATAATTCATTAAATGTTCAATTTTCAGTCTGGTGCACTTGGTTTCATTGTCGGCCACGAAATAATGCACACCTTCTACGCGAAGAAGAACGACCCACCTGAGGTCGCCAAGTTCTTCAAAAAATCGTATGGTTGCGTGGCCAGACAGTACCAAAAAACTTGTCGATTTTATGCCAAAGTAAAAAAGAAGGAGAAGATGTTTTATAACGAAGTTTGATTTCAGGGAAACTGCGTTTCAGGAACAAATTTCACAAACGAAGAAGATGGGGCCGACATGACTTCTGTTCGAATTGCATATGAAACTTATTTCAAATGTCGTTTGGGAAAAGAAGTGAAGCCGCTTTGAAATGGTTCTAATGGAACTAATTTACAAAATACTTTTCAGAAAAGCGACATTGATGGAGTTTCCCAAGATCAAATGTTTTTCTACTCATTGGTAGCCCCTCATTGCAAAGTGGTAGTCACGCAAAAAATTAAATTCGGAATTCGGAACTTTCTTTAGGGCGAGTCTAGATATTTTTCCCATCCTCTGGACCCGCATTCCCAAATTTACGTCCGCATCAACGCCGTAATGTCTCAGATGGAAGAGTTCAAAAAGGCTTTCAACTGTTCTAATTCTTCGAAAATGATTCAAAGCAAAGTGAAAAGCAGTTCAGGATTTAAAATAAGGATGATTTCAGGGGGAGCACTGCAACATGTACGGCACCGACGAGCAGTTCTCTTCAAAGACTCCTCAAAATTTTCTCTCTAATGACTCGTCAACATTAAAAGACGACTTATGAAATCTTCAACAATAAACAAAGTTTCTTTCGGATTGCTTTGACTTCAAGCGTTTCTGTAATTTTTCCTCTTTTGAAAAAAGGGCGAATAAAAAATCAGACTTTTTTTTCGTATAAGTTCGTGAGTGTTCTTATTTTTTTTTCGAGAAGATGACTAACGTAGTGAACTTCTTACACGTCTTTATCTGACGATGACTTATCGTGAGAAGGAATGTTTTAAAGGTCCCATAACATTTCGCGCGGCCAAATGTTGTGACAGCCTCGTGTACGCTCTGCAATTTTGGAGAAAACGACATCTTTTGTACAATGAGAGAAGCTTCCTTCATTTTTTTAACGATCTTTTGAGGTCCCCTGCAAAAAACAAAACTATTGGTTAATCAAGTGAGGGTTTTATGATCTTACAGTACCCCATTTTTTTGAGACCTCCCAAGAAGATCTCCGCGTCTCTATTGACCTACCTGGAGGATGGCACGCAAGACGCCAACTTGGGTGGTCCAAAAAACAGGATACTGTAGTTCTTGCATAATGATCTCGAGACTACGAAGAAAAGGGGTTTACTTCATAATAGTATTCTTTTTTGAGAACTTTTGGCTCAACCGCGTTTGCAGAAGTGTTTGAACGTTTGAAAATCCTTTTAATGGGCTCGGGAAAAAGCTCATGTGATCTAAAGTTTTTCCAAATAGTGTCTAAGCACCTTCAAACACTTCTTTCTGTCTTCTTTTTAATTTCATTTCCTTCTTGTAAAAACCTATTTCATTTCATACGTGTTCAGTATTAATTATATTTTTGTTTTACAATTCAAAATCGTTTGGTTTACCTTGATTTAGTGTAAATCTATTTTCTTTTCAGAAAATTCACCCCAAATCTTTTTTTGCCCGTTCTTGTGAGTTTTCTATCTTTTTATCCAAGCTCGTTATTTTTAATTTGTGAATGTCTTTTTTATTGGATTCTATAGGGAAAGAAAAAACCAGCGAGAACCTTCTGCGCTCCACGGATAATCGTTACCGTAGCGGACCACCCAAGAAGAAGTGAGCGTGAGGTGTTTCGCGGAGAGCGAAGAGCTCTGGAAAATGGCCGAAGAACGTGTCGATCTTTCTAAACTTCCTCCTTCTGTGGCTGTTCAGTCCATCCCGGGTGTGCTCAGCGATCTTCGCTCCTATCTTTCCAGTCCTCAGGTATTTTTTTTTTCTTTTTTTAGGAAAAAAAAACAGTTTATGAAAAAGCCTCTGATATATTTTTCTAAAAAAAGTTTCCCTTTTCCTCGATCCGAACTGAAAAATGTTGTAAGTTGTTGTATTTTATATTTCATTAATATTTTTGAAAAACTGATTTCAATTATACCTACAATTGAAAAAGTATAACCGAAAACACTATCAGCAAATTTAACCAACGTGTTGAGATCCGATCTTTAAAATGTTGACCCTCCCAAAAAAATAGCTTAAACTTTAAATCTTTTTTTTATTTTTCTCAACCAACAGATTGGAGAGTTTACAGAATTCCTTCCAGAATTTTCCTCACAGTGAAAAGAAATTATTTTTTTTTACAGGACATTAGAAGCTTTGAACTCACTTCAAGTCGATTTTTTTCGAAACAAGTCGAAAGTTTTTTTCTTACCTCCATGCGATCGATTGGAGTTCTTTTTACCGGTATTTTTTTCTTTTTTTCATCTATTCCGTTGAATTTTTTTGAGAAATTAAAAAAAGCCGTGCAGTTCATATAAAATTGAATATTCAATATTTCAAGTTTTCAGTTTGAGCAAAGCGAGACGAAAATCGGCAGAATTATTTACGGCCAGTTCGCTTTCGAAGTGCCATTTACTGTCGAAAGTTTTTTTATCGCTCTAAGTAGAGTTTTTTTTAAATTTTATTTTGCTTTAATAAAAAAACTTTTCAGTGTCGACAACCTTTTTTCTCAACCAGCAGCTTTTTCGTGAGTTTTTCTTTCTGTTCAAATTGTATCAAAAAAATTCAAGTTTTAAACTAACTGTTAAAATTCTGACTGGAAGTTTATATCAGAAATTTTCGTTCCAGCGATCTTTACTTGAAGCTTGGAGCATTTTTTTCGAACATTTTTTTCTAAAAAAATGGTTTTATTTATCGCAGCTATTTTTCTGAAACATTTCTTTTTTTCCCTGTGAGTCTGTTAAAAGAGTCATTAATAGTTTACGTAAGCTTCATTTTTTTGCGAGAGTGATGTGCTTTTTTTCAATTTTTTTAACTTTTTAAAATATTCAGATTCGGCCTTTAACAGTTTCTGCAAAAGGATCGATTGCACAACTGTCAAAACAGTTAGTTTCGGAACCAAAATGAGAAAAATTCCGCGAGATTTGCTTGAAACGGTAAGTCTATTCTGAAAACTCAACTTGGACAAATTTTTTTCTTTACAGAAACTGTTGTTGGTCACGGGAGACCTTCTTGAGCTCGTTCAGAGCAACTTTCCAAATTTGAATCGTTGTGTGTTTCGATGCGTCGAATTCGACTTTCTCTCCAGTTTTGTTGGTAAAATTTTTTTCTGTTCTTTCATTTTCTTTTTAGGAATCAAAACAAATGCATTTGAATTGTCCGGTAGAGTGAACTATCGTGAACATCTCATTCATTGAAAATTTCTAAAAACCCGCCAAAATTCCCTATCACTTCGAGTAAAAACTTATTATTTTGCGGATATGATTTTTGAATTTTTTTCGAACGAAAATTGAGACTTTTGTCCAAAATTTTGCAAACTTTACGAATATTCCAATTAAACCCGATCCGGAAAAATCCATCAGAAAAAACGACGACTATTGACGGGAAACTGCATATTTTTTTTTTTTGCAGACTCGTTTTGTATAAAATAAGCAAATTGCAAAAGTTGCAAAACATCTCGCGTTTTTTTAATTCAAAATTATGAAGAACATAATTGTAAATTTTGAAAACAGGAATATCATGTTAGTTTCAAGCTGTCGTTTCTTCCAGAATCCTCAACGTTGAGAGACCGAATCGAACACCTGACCTTCGATTGTATTCCGAGATATTTCAGAGGATGCTGCATTATGCAGGTTTTGTTATTTGAAAAAGTTCTGATTTGTGAGTCTAATGATTTCAGATGATTTTGGGAAGAAATCTAAAAACAATGAACCTGCACTGTGTCAGCTCAGAAATCAGCTCAGACCTGAACTTCGCTGTGATAGAAGAAATAGAAGCGAATCAACTAAATCTGGATTCGTTTACTTGGGAGTTTCTTCAAAGAAGCGAGTGAGTCTTTAATTTCTTTCCCCTTTCAAGTTGCGAGTTATTTGAAAATTAGTCCTCAATATATTCAATCTTTTCCGACTTGAGCGGCGTGGGAAGCGGAGAAGTGTGCGGGAAGCGTAGCATGCGCGTATGCGGATCTTGGCACAAGTTCAACTCAATTGCCAGAGACTTTTCTTTTTCAATTCTTTATTGATTTTTCCATTTTTGCATCAAGAAAATAGTAGCGCTCATCTCCGCCTACCTCGCTCAAATCAAGAAGAATTTTGTGTATACAGTCTAGACAGCTATGCTCTCCTTCTTGTTTACAGCGGGAAAAGTATTTCTATAAATTTTTTTGATCCTGTCAGCAGTATTCGAATGTTTTCCTTTTGACAAATCTCATTTTTTCAAAAACTAAAATTATAAAAAATTCAAAATTGATGTCAAGAATATTATTTGCAGATTTTCTCAAGTACGGGAGCTTTTTGGAAGAAGCCAGCGAATCAGCAAATCGGTGCTTTATTGCTATTTGTCACACGAATTGCCGGATCAGTTTGAGCCTCAAATCAACTTTCCCTCCTAATTATTTTTTTGGGTTTGATTCATTCCTGTTGTTGTTACGAGGTACTAACCAAATGTCTCAGTTTATTAAAAATTATGTTTTTCAAATATGAATGCTCAATATATCTTGCATTTCAATAACATTTTGTGCCCAACAATCATATATTTCAAATTTTTCCGCAGCCACCTCTTCGTCATAAAAATCCTCATACATGACATAGCCATTTCTTTGGTCTTTCTAATACTTTTTTTATTGCATTCAAACTATAAACGTTTTTTGGAGCTTGAATAATAATCACATAACGCGAAACGTATTTTTTCTGTAAATTAATCTGTAAAAACCGAATTTGTTAAAAGGTTTTACCAAATTGATAAAATCCAAGAAATCCTTTTTGACTTTTTCATGCTTTATTTTTTTCCGTGTATTTCATTCGATTTTACAAAAAAATTTCACGGTTTTTTTCACTTTTGTCACCCGATTTTTTGGTGTACCTCCAATAAATTTTTTTAACGAACATAATGTTACGCGTTCATGCCTTCGCAGTTTTTTTCGTTATAATATTTCGAATATATCGGACGAATTTGTTTCATCTTATAAAAAAATTCTGTTTTTTTAGCATTCAAATTACAGTTCAAGTTTGACATACGAAACTCCAGGGAACGCAGCAAATGCGCTCCATGTCACTGGCGTACATTCAAATTTTGTTCAAAGTGGACGCCTAATTCTGTTTTTGTCCAGTTTTTCTATTTTACTGTTTGCTGGAAACTTCTCAATCAAACAGATGTTTGTTTTCAGATTTGTTTCACATATTTCGCATATTTTGAATTATTTTACTTCCGTAAAAACACGAAATTTTCGTATATTTCGATATTTACCTCAATGGAGATTTCAGCGCAATGGAGGCGTTTGGAAAGAAGACGCACTGTTATATGAATGGGAAGCCAGACATTTTTTCCCGACGGGCTAAAAAAGAGCATTGGCGTTCGCGCAGTGCATTCAAGCTCATGCACATTGATGACGAGTTCAAAATTTTGAAAGGTTTGTAATTTAGAAGCACAAACTCCTTGATTTCTGATTATATTTCAATAAAGGTCTTTAGGACATTAGGGATAAAGACTACACTGACACGTTTCCTGACGCGAATCTCAACCTAACTATTTCAATTTTCTTTTTCCAGGCGTCACCAGAGCGATTGATCTGTGTTCGGCCCCGGGGAGCTGGTGCCAGGTTCTTTCAAAAAGGCTTGACGTTGAAAACGAGCATGTGAAAATTATTGGCGTCGATCCAACTACTGTCAGCCCCATTCCAGGCGTTACCATGCTGGAGGGCGCTATTCATGAAGTACGTTTTTCGGTTCATTCAACATTTTTGCTTTTTTTACCGAATGATTTATGACACGATATAAACTGACATGCACTTCTACTACTAGCTCAGAGCAAATCAAACAGAACAATTTTTTTTTCGTTTTCACTGCACGTTACTCAAAGAACAGACATTAACAAAAAATTTTCAGCAAAATAGTTTTTTGGCTTCATAAATCATTATTTCTCAAGTTTTTAAATATGGAACCCTGCAATTTTTTAAAGAAATGAAAGCCAATTTTTTGAAGTTTTTGTCGCAAAACGTGTTCAAAAAAATTTTTTCAATTATTTCAATAAAAAAACAGGTTTATGGAATATCAGTTTTGTAACAAATCTTTTTTGTGGCAGGATGAAACAATCACGAAAATCATTGCTGAACTTGATGGAGTGAGGGTTGACATTGTGCTGTGCGACGGATCTCCCGACGGTTCGACATTTTCCTTTTTTGTCACGACTGGAAAGAGAAAACTCTTCACACTGCTCAATTTAAATCTATTAATCGAACTTTTAACCAAAAACATTGTTTTCAGCGACTGTTAACCTCATGATGGACGAAATGCTTCAGCGTCAGCTCATAACTTTGGCGTTCAAAGTTGCAACCCAGACTTTGAAAGTTGGCGGGACTTTCCTGTCAAAGGTATAAATCTTATGATTTCATCATTGTTCATTTTTTTTTTTGCAGATTTTTGGCTGTCAGAATAAAGAGTTGGTTTATGCGCAAATGAGAAAGTTTTTTGCACGAGTTGAAATGATCAAACCTCGCAGTAGCCGTCCGACCAGCAGCGGTGAAGCTTTTTGCTTTTCTTACTTGAAATTTTTTTTAAGAAACGTACGTTTTGTGCACGAACTTCCAGCCGCTTCTTGGAACCGCTCCTGATTTTCGATGTGCAAAGCCTGGAGGTAATCTCATCACCTGGATGAAAATTTCACAAAAAAAAAAACCTTGGAGAAGTTATTCTGCCTGGAGATTTCATTTCGACGAAAGATCTTCCATTTGCTTTGACTGGAGACATGAGTGAATATGATGAAAAATTGGATGATTGTCCTTTGGATCTTTTATTGGGCATCGAGAACGGCAAGAACCCGTTCGATAAAAGGTTAGATAGAAATTTCGAAGCAAGCAAAACCATTTGAAATTTCAGTCGCTATCAATTCAAAAATTGTGGCCCGCCGCCCGAGCTGAACATTTCCAAAGTTCTGGAGCGTGCAAAACTTGCGCGTGAAAAGCCTACGTTTTTCGAGCTTGTCCGCGTGAGTTTCGTTTGTATTTGATTTCGATACTTTTTACATTATTCGCATATAAGAAGTCGCGTTGCAGAAGCAGAACGAAGCTCTCAAAGCTTCACCTGGCTACGTCCTGGGAACTGGAGATCTTGGTTACCTTGAAGAAACTGTTGAAGGAATTTCCGATCTTTTCGACGAGATGACTCTTCCTACCGAAAATCCCGATTCTTCTCGTTCTTCTACTCCTATCGCTACCTCTGAGTATTCGTTCCTTTCCACTTCTGCTTCCACATCTTCTCTTTATTCTTTCCTTTCTACGTCTCCTCCCAACCCTCAGTAAATTATAGCTGATTCATTTTGAAGTTATTCGTTTTCAACTTACTGATACACTTTTCATGCATATTTTTTGTAAATTTGCTCACCGTATTCCGAGAAAAGTTTATTTAGCAATGAGTTGGCTTCATGAAAGACGATGCCATACTGTTTTGGAATACTGTCGCTATTATGCTCAATGGAATTGTTTTTCATTATTGCTTCAGTTAGTGCCTTTTTTGGTGTACGAACGGTTCTCACACATATTATCTTTATTTGCGGCTCATTCCTTTCTGATTTTTTAGAAGTGAAATCAGCTAAAGTATCCATGTTGCTAAATTTTCATCAATTCCATTTTCTAATTTCTTTTTCCCTTTTTTAATTGAAAAGCTTCTTTCCTACCTTTTTTTGTTTCTTTCATTTTATCAATTTTTTCACGACGTTGTTTTTGCTCCTGATGTTGCCTTTATCTTCATCTCGTAGATTTTGAAATGACTTTGTTTTCCCGCTATCATATGTTTGTATAAACTTAGTTTTGATATTATTCACTTCTATACCCTAAACACTTTCTTCTCTAGTTCTTTCACCTGACGCTCTACGTTTTTGTAATGATATGTTTCTAAAATATCCTGTGCTTCTAATTACTTTAACAACTTTTCCGCATGTAGACTAAGGAACTTTGAGAAAAAAGTCAATGGTAAACCACTGGCTGTACCTTTTTGATCACTCATGAAGAGGCATAATTTGCAACTCAAAATCTGTTGAATAAATCCTTTCTTTGTTTTCAGTTTAAAATAAACCATTTTCCACATTTCTTTGCTCAAATTTTTTGAACTGCAAGATTTTGCAAGCGTTAGAAAATGTGAAAATCTTGTTTTCTAAAAACTTCATCTAAAAGCATTCCTTGAAAGCTAAAGGAAAAGGTTCCGTACTTCAGTGAGTGACGTGAACATGTATTGGTGCTCATTCGCTCGTTAACGAATTCGACTCCGGATAACTCCAAGGTACTTGCAATTCAAAGTGTCTTTAATGCCAATTACACTAATATTTGTTTTATGGAGGCGTCAGTTCAAAGAGTAACAAACCAAAGGAAAAAAAGCAGTGATATAAACAGAAACAATATAAATTTGCAGATGGTCTCATACATTAATTTTTTCAAGTTCTATTGGTTTTTATTTGATGGAGTATTTGGACGAAACTTTTTAAGGTACCAGTAAAAATGAAACCTTGTGAAACATGTATTGCAACGATCAAATTTGTAAATTCTGCTCTGAAAAAGTTTTCATCATGTTAATGTATATAATCTTCTTCATGGTTTCACCCACTTTTTTTAGACCTTTAATGACTTTTTTGAAAAAAAAAGTTTCTTAAATTCTTTCAAACGTGAAGTGTACAGATGAGCCTTATCGAAAATCAAAGCAAAATCGAGGACGACATTGTCAGCTGTTGCTACATCTCTCTCAAGCTTCAGCCAATCTCATTGTGAGTTGGGGTCTTTAATGAAAAAAATATTAAAATTCAAATTTTTGCAATCACTCATGTTTGGTTTAAATGTTTTTCAATGTACGGTATTGAACGTTTTGCATTCATATTTCTTACTTTTCAAAAATCAGGATTTTAGTTCGAATGTTCTTACAGTGTCAAGTTTCTGAACCAACTTTCAAAGCTTTCAAAACATCAATTAGAATGACCTTGAATGCACACAAGTCACTTCTGACCATCCCACAGAGAAAAGAGCTCAAAAAATGCTTTATTCTCGTCCGTGTACTTTTGGAAGACGAGATGAAGTGAAAGATTAAAATAGGGCGGTAAACCGAGAACACGGACAGAATTGATGGTGACAAACAAAGGCTCTGCAACAAAAGCAGACTTCGCGAGATTCTCCTTCGGCTTCCGCGATCAGTTCTTCTGCAGATGAAGCCGTCGGCAAAATTGAAGCCGTCACTGCTGAAAAAAGTGAGACTTTCCAAAACTGTTTCAGATTTATAATGAAAAATCTTGGGAGGTAGTTAAAACCAGTTAGTAAAAGAGAAACTCGATAAAATATATTAAACTTGAATAGTTTCTCGACGCTTGTCTGTTACTTTTGAAGAGCTTGAGAAAAGTCATTTTTAAACGACAATTTACTGATAATTGTATCAATCCCTGATGCGTTAAAAGTTCAAGTTTTACAAACATAATAACTGAGAAAAGGAAAATTATTTTATTCTCACTCAAACGGAATTCACCTGAAATGAAGCAAATGAGGAGAATAAGGTTGAAGCGCAACATGACGTGAGTCGGAAAGACGGTGATATTGCACTTGGAAGTGAGGTCCGTCGGAAGCTTCAGGCGACGTCGCCCTCCTTCCCTCCGCCTTAAACGCCGCCTCCGTCTATTTATGTAATTTTGCGCATGATTAATACCAAGTCGCTTAGTGGTGTCGCTATGCCAAAATATTCCCTTCAAATCGAAGCTGAACATATTTTTGCGAGTGGGAATTTCAATTGCTTAGCTACCGATGGCTAGAATAAGATTTTTTAGAGACTTGATGAGATATCAATAAGTTTGCTGAAAACATTGCTTTTTTCACTAATTTCTGGAAGAACACAGCAAGAATAATTTATAAGGCTGGTTCATAAACAAAATTCTTTCCAGATTGAAATAAAAATTCATAAGAAAGTTGGTCTTTCAAGATGGTCTTCCCGATTCATCGGTGGATCTTTTGAAAATATTCTGCATCCAAGTTTATTAGTCGAAAAGCCACGAAAACTTCAAACATGAATTAATTCTGGATTTTCACAACAATCGATCGAAAATCTTTCGTTTTACCAGATTAATTCTTCAAGTATCCGTCTGTCATATGCCCTCCGATCAGAAGAAAGATGGTCTCAAAGGAGTTTTCGTTGGTATAGTCTGTGGGCCACGATTTGAAATTTCATGGAACGACATTCCGCTGCGCCACTGCGCGCCTTTGCGAACCTTGGTCGCACATTTAATTTTTTTTTTATTTTTTATTAAGATAGTCTACTTTCCTGTACTCCTACAGCAATAACAATCAATTGAAAGCGTGCCCTAGATTCGAAAGACGCTTCGCGAACACACGCAGCGGAACAGCGGAATGTCGTTCGGTGAAATTTCAAGTCGTGGCACACAGACTTTATTATTTTTTGATTCTAATAGGGTGCTTTTCGAGAACTGCAAAAACTCGCAGTTTGAAGCTTACGTCTTTTTCCCGTGCTTTGAAAATTCAACTGTCCAACTTCCATAAACTGCAGATATAAATAAACTTTCTTGCGAGAAAATTTTTCTTCTCTGGGTAATTGAGGCTTTAATAAATTTGATTTCAAAAGCCCAAGGACTGCGGATTTTCAGGGCTTTCATTTTCTTCAAGAGTTCAATTGTTCAAAGTCAACTTTTAGAGAAAATTCTCATAAAAAGTGCTTTTAGATTTTTCTCTCTGCATCGAGTTCATAGCCTAACAGGATTGTTTTTGAATCGTAGAGCTGCGTCAAAGAGCACTGAGCTGATTGATGAGTCGACACGAGAGGCTGAGCACGACCGCCGCTTTACACTCTACAACTGCAATATCAAATCGAAAACGCGTGGATCTGCACTTTGTGGCAAAACACAGGACAGGGCAGAGCTCGTCGAATTGCGGGGGAGTCGGAGGTGTAAGGACCTCGGCCGTATCTTACACAAAAGCCGTTTCGATGCTCCGCCCAGACATTTGATGCGAAACCATCCCGACGTCCATTCATTCTGCCTGAAAGCTCGGCCTGGAGCGATGTCGGCAACTTTGGCTCTTTTATATTGTCTTGCTTCTAGACACGAATAAAGAATTTCATCTTCTGCAACTTTAACTCAGAGCTTTTTTTTGTTTCTCGCTTCATCCTGTCTCTAATAAATTTCATTTTGATATGGATTTTCAATACTTCTTATAAAATCGCTTTTTTCAGAACCAGCCATGTCCGACGAGGAGGAAGTGTAGTAAGTTTTTCTTCTATTTCTTAGAGCAGCTTCAGAATTTTAAAAAGTGATTAAAGCTTCTGAAGACGGTTTTTTTTCAGCGAGGATGAGGAGGTAGAGGAAGAAGAAGAAGTCGAGGAGACTGCCGAAGAGCCAGAAGACCAGTGAGTAACTCTTGCAACTGATCATTTTCAAGGGAAACTTGTAGAGAAGAGGCTACTGAGGAGGTTGCTGCTCCACCGGCACAGGAAGAAAAGTGATTGCAACTATTTTTGTTCTGAAAATTTATAATGGATTTGCAGGCCTCGTCCACGTCCTCCTCAACAAGAGGAAAAGCCTGCTGCTGAAATGACCGAAGCAGAGGCTGCCATGCTTGTCCGTTTTTCATTTATCTTGCCTTTTTTTTTCGAAATTTCAGCAATAACAAAACTTTCCAGGCAGCAAAGAAACGCCACGAAGAAGAAGAAGCCGCTAAGCTTTTGGACTACGAGCAGCGTCGCGTCCTCGAGAAAGAGCAAATTGAGCAGGAACTCCGCGAGTTGAAGGAGAAACAGGAGAAACGCCGTGCTGAGCGCGAAGAGGACGAGCGTCAGTTCGCCGAGCGACGTCGTCAAGATGAGGAGCGCCGTCGCAAGGAAGAAGTTAGTATCTGCGATATAACTAAGAACATTTTGATTTTCAGGAAGATCGCAAGGCACGTGCTGACGCCGAGAAAGTTCGCAAGAACGAGGAAAAGATCCGCCGCCAACAGATGATGGCTGGTTCGTTCGCTGGAGGCCAAGCCACCGGCTCCGGCAAGAACTTCATTGTCACCTCTAAGGGCGAGCAGGCCGCTCAGTTCGGAAACTTGGCACAGGTATCAAGACATCGGAAATGCTGTTTTAGTTTTCGTGTACTTCAGGCTAAGGGAAAAGACGCTGTCAGCAAGGAACAGCTGGAGGAGGCAAAGAAGAACTTCTTGGCTGCCGTTTGCCGCTCCGTCGACGTGTCTGGACTCATGCCCAACGACTTGAAAGATAAAATCAAGCAGCTTCATCAACGCATAGTCAAGCTTGAAGCTGAGAAGTACGACTTGGAGAAGCGCCGCGAGCGTCAGGATTACGATGTGAGTTTCATTTTAGACTCTAAATCAGCTAAAAAGTTGTATTTACTTGAAACTCGAAGATTGATAATCAAATTTCAGCTGAAAGAACTGAGCGAGCGTCAGCGCCAAGTTGCTCGCAACAAGGCTCTGAAGAAGGGACTTGACCCTGAGGAAGCTGCTGCCTCCAACCACCCTCCCAAGATCACCACTGCTTCGAAGTTCGACAGACAGACCGACCGTCGCTCTTACGGCGACCGCCGCACCCTCTTCGAAGAGCCTGTGGTCCAGAAGCAGCCGAGCCTCGCTCGCGGAACGGCGCGACCTCCACCAGAGTGGGGCCGCCGTACCAACGAAGAGCTTGAGCAGATCCGGTGAGTTGTGTTCTCATAAGCTTTCAATACGTTAAATAATCATTTCAGCAAGAATCTGGAGCCGCCAAAGTACGTCGAACAAGTGAAGGTTGAAGACGCTCGTCCTCCAGTTGAAGCCAGACCTCTTCAGTTGCCTGATAAGGACTTTGAAGACGAACCAGCCCAGGTTTCTTCCTTTGGAAGACGACTCATATTGATTTTTTCCAGATCCAAGAAGATCCAAACTTGGGAGAAGAAGTTGAAGTCCAATGAACTGCTTTGAGGTGCATCAAACCGCCTCAAACCTCGTTTTCTGTTTCAGCCGAATGGCTCTGCTCATAACTTTTTGTAACCCGGTTTGCAATAAAAGTTTATTACTCAATTTGTTCACTGAAAGTCTGCTCTGTTGTAAAAAGTGCAAGCCACTGCCAAGACTCATCAAAACATTACACAAGCCGATGGGCAAAGGCGGAAACACTCGAAAGATTTTTCCTTCGTGCGAAAAAAAGACTGACTAAGATCTAAAAAAAGGAAATTTTTTTCTGTTATTTTTAATATTTTGTTTGTTTCAATACTCAAATTTTTTTGGCTACATTTTTTTCAATTCATCAAAATAAAAAAAGGTCGAATAAAAGCCGAAAATGAAAAACGTTTGCAAAGAGTTTTTTTATATTTCTTTTTTTCTTCAAACAGCGTATAAGAATCAAAAATTTTTTTATTCAAACTATTCTCAATTCAAAAAAAGGACAATTTATTGAGAAAACTTATCGATGCACTTCTACAGCATATATACACATGAAATTATGAAAAAAATAAGGAAATTTCAAGAGATTCATGGTACACTAACTATAGGAATTCATAAGTGCTTCATATGGAATTCTTCATCGGGAAAAATCATAAATTAGTTTATTTATAGTTGAAAACCGGGAATTAAGTTATCGGCCTGTATTGAAAGGCTTCGTTTAGAAAATGGTTTTTTTTGCTTAAAACAGCAAAAAGTGCGTTGAATAATCCTCACGTGCTCAATCGTTGCCAAAGGATATACGTAAATAAAGATAACACGGAAGATGATCAAAGAGAAACAATAATTACAAGAAATGAGAATATTAACAGCGTTATTCCAGAATCAAGAGAATTGAGGAGCGAAGAGGTTGATTTTTCACTTTTTTTGAAAAAAATCGATTGATTTATTGAGTAAACTCAATAAAAAAAGAACCAGTTTTGCGCTGCGCATTTTTGAATTTCTTCATTTGAAGATCGGAGGAAAGTTATTTTTAAGTTTTTTCAAACGAAAATGGGTATCAATACTCAACTATAATGCATGAAAAAATGGTCATATTACATTCCAAAATTGAAAGAGCTCCTAGTGTCGATTACACCGAAGAGCTAGAGCATGTGTGAGTTCTCGCAATTGTTGCCGATCGTGATCCGTTTTGGGTCCGGCGAGGCGTTAGTCGACAACATGCTGTAGCCTTGGTCGTTCGTGTCCCTCGGACCGCCTAAACTGCTCTAATAGGCTTGATTCAATATTTTTGCACAAAAAAGCCACGAAAACTGCCTGACTCACAAAGCACTTTCAGCCAACACATAAGCAAAGTTGCAATACATTGAAAAAACGCTTCATTTTTCGACTATTGCAACTCATACGGTTGCATTACATGATAGAGCTGTATTCTCACACATCAAACAAAATTGACTTGTTCCATTGTTTTGAGCATTTGGGCATCTGAATGGTCACGTTTTCAAAATTTTTAGGAGATTTATTTTTGATATAAACTTGTAATATACACTGCGACGCATAATTATAGACCCACCCTAATTTCTCCGATTTTAAGAAAGATTGAAAAACTTTCAGTCACCAAACTTTTTTTGTGATAAACCTTTTTGATAAGGAACATGATCATATCATAATTATCAATCACCCAGTTGAAAAGTTTTTCCAGATACGAGAATATTGATTTTTGACCGACGCAGAATTATAGACCCACCCCAGAGTTTTCCGAGTTTACGTTTCCGGTAACACGTTTTTCCTGTTTTTTTCAGTGGTATATAAGAGAAAAAGTCCTCGTGTATCAGCCATAATGCCTAAATCTACTCAACTTGATAATACCGAAAAAGCGGTAATCGATGCTCTACTCAACAACGGCTTGTCCCATCGGGAAATCGCTCGTCAAACGGGTCGCTCAAGACGAACTTTTGACCGTTGTGCAAGGAATCCGCAAGAATACAGCAATACATTCTGGACGGCACAGGCTGCTATCGGTACAAGCTGAACGAGACGTCTGTCGAAAAGCATCAAACTCTACGAAGTCCGCCAACCAAATCAGATCCGAAATTCCTGAAAACGTCTCGAAGAACACCATCTTACGAACAATTCATCGTTCCGGTCGATTTGTGAATACTCCAATGAAGGCAGCACCTTGTCTACAGCAAAGCCATAAGAATGAACGGCTCCAGTTTGCACGCTCTAACATGGCCACGGATTGGAATAAAGTATCAATTTTTTCTATCACCTTATGGTTCCCAATTTTTCTGTTCAGATCCTCTTCAGCGACGAGAAGAAGTTCAACCTTGATGGGCCAGATGGGTACGCTCACTACTGGAGAGATTTGAGGAAAGATCCGATGTACTTTTCCAAGAGAAACTTCGGCGGCGGCAGCCTCATGGTTTGGGCGGCTTTCTGCGGCAACGGGACGGTAGCTCTTTCTTTTATTGGGACCAGAACGAATTCGCAAGACTACCAGCAACTGCTTGCCCAGCATCTCCTGCCCTATCTCCGTCGCCGACGACGTGTTAATATGATTTACCAACAAGACAATGCATCTGTTCACGCGAGCAACTCCACATTGGCTTAGTTTGCGGTCAATAACGTGGTTCTTCTGGACTGGCCCGCGTGCAGTCCTGACCTCAACCCTGTAGAAAATTTATGGTCAGTCCTTGTACGAAGGGTCTACGCGAATGCCAAGCAGTATACAACGGTCAACGATCTGAAAAGAGCGATTCGTGCCGAGTGGGATGGTTTGGACAAGTCACTGCTGCAATCACTCGTTGGCAGCACGCCGAACAGGATTTTCGAAGTCGCTCAGAAACAAGGAGGCATCCCACATTATTAATTAATTTTTTTGTTATACTTCGTTGACTTTGTGAAATGCATTTTGTTGATTACTTATAGTGGGTCTATAATTCTGCGTCGGTCAAAAATCAGATTTTCTCGTATCTTGAAAAACTTTTCAACTGGGTGATTGATAATTATGATATGATTATGTTCCTTATCAACAAGGTTTATCACAAAAAAAGTTTGGTGGCTGAAAGTTTTTCAATCTTTCTTAAAATCGGAGAAATTAGGGTGGGTCTATAATTATGCGTCGCAGTGTATACAAACCACTCAACAAACCTTTTTGCAAGTATTTCTCGCAGAACTTGGCAACAACAGCCGTTGCAATGCTGTCTCCGTGCACATTGACCGTTGTGCGCAAACGGTCGAGCATGAAGTCGACAGGGAAAATCAGAATGAAAAGGTTTGTAGGCAGTCCAATTGCGATCAAGACCATGATCATTGTGACAATGCCTGAAAACTTAGAATTAGAGACCGAATTTCCTATTTTTTGATAAAATCAGTTTCCGTTATCCTCTAAAATTTTTCCGCGTGAAGCTTCAAAGTTTTCCAAAATTAGTCATAAAATTTTATCATTCGCTAAATAGACTTTCCAAAAAAATTATTTTATTATTTTTTTGCAGCAACCCTTTTTTTCGGGAATATGCTATCTTCAAGATTTTTGCAACATTGAACGAATTTTTTTGGCGTATAAATAGAAAAAAATGAAGAAAAAAAGTATTTCTCGGCGTATAAAAAAAGAAAAAAAGAATGGTTTTACTCACCCGCTTGAGGAATACCAGCAGCGCCAATACTTGCAAGTGTAGCGGTGAGACTAAAAAAAAAGTAACTGGAAAAACCACACGAAACTCTTGAAAACCTGACAAGAATGACTTGTCCTAAAGACAAATCTTGTCCAACACACTGCGAGATGTAGAGCGCCGCGACTGCTTCGTAAAGGGCTGTACCGTCCATGTTTCTTAATTTCGTAATTATACAGTGAGTACTTTCTTAATTGAAACTCACATTGTAGCACCCAGTGGCAAAACGAATCGAGTGACTCTTGGGTCAATGTCATTGTTTTCTTCACAACACTTGATGGAAAGCGGCAACGTGGCTGAGCTAAATTATTTTGGTTTTTTTTGCTCATACGGAAGAACAAATCAAAACCTTGAGCTTGTAGCCAGAGCTGTCAGTAGAGCTTGAGCCATCCCAGCTACGAACTTAAGAGGATTTTTCCTGGCGATCTTCAAATTAAAGCATAATCATTCCCAAGTTTTAGCGCCATATCTCAGAATGTCCAAAAAGTCACCAGAAGAAGCAAGAGAGGCAGAACAATGAAGGCATGGATGAAAAGGCCCAAAATGACTGTGATCACGTATCCCATCAGTCTTTGAAGCTCTTGTCCCGGGTCCTTCATACCAACGATTTGCGCGGCGATAAGGAAAGTTATGCCAATTGGAGAATACCTAAGGATAATAAAAACTTAGCTGTCGTATTGAAAAATTCTAAAAAGGCTATTTCGAAAATTTGAAAACTCACATAATGACCCATGAGATGAGCTTCATGCTTATGGCTTCAAGACTTTTGAAGAAAGCCTTCAGTGGCTTTCCGTCTTCACCAACCACTCCGATAACGATTCCGAGAGCGACGCTGAACACCACCAATCCCAGAATGTTCATCCCATCCGACACGACTCTTTCTGGCGTCTCGGTGAATAGCGCTCGTTGTTCTGGGAAGATAAAATTCATAAGTTTTTTTTTCATCAAAACTCACCAGGGCTCATGGTCATGGCAATCTCAGGTGGAATTTCAACACTTCCGTTGTAAAATTTCAAGCACATTTTCTCGGATCGAAAAGTCGCTTCCATCAAATTTGAGGGAAAACAGCTTCTAAAAAAAACTTCTTCTCGATATCAGTGCGTTTCAGAGTTCACTTGACGAGGTCAATGACAGTATCGATAGCAGTTGCCACGCAAGGAGTCGTTTTGACTTCCCCCACAAGATCTTCAACGTTTGTGGTCGTCCATTTGCCAGGTTTGATCACGGAGACGAGAAATATACCTGCACCTTTGGAATTTCGATAATATCAACTTGGAAAATTCGAACCAAGAAAAACAGCAGAGAAAGTGGTTAAAGTGTAGAAACTCATGGAAACTACTCCAAGTCGTCCAGCCGTTGCAGAATCCAACGAAGCCAAGCTAGTTCTAAATTAAACGATTACAAAATTTGTTTTTTCACAGCGACGATGGCTTAAAATAAGTTTTTCGCTCCCTATTGGTGATAACTGTTGAGTATCGCTCGAAATGTTTCTCTTAAAGTTTCCGTAGACTCTTTTTTATCATAACTATCAATTATCCCTCAAAAAAACTTTTAGGGATGTCTGCGTCAAAACTCGAAGTGCAGGTTTGACAACCCATGTTTTTTTTTTCCTTAATAGTACGGTGGATAAGCAGAATTTCATTCGCACTAGCGGCTCTGAAAAAATAATAATAAAAAAGCTCAAATGCTGTTGAGCCAGCTTATGATTAATCTTTGTGGTACAGCTCCAAAAAACTATGAGATTAAGAACCAATCGAAGAGAGGATGAAAGACTCTTCGAAATAATTCATTTTTTTTGTTTTGTGGGAATTAAAGTTTTTTCTGAAAAATCTGCTTGCTAAGAAGTGGATATTTTGAAAAAAAAAATCATGAAACTGACATGATGCTGGACATGATCATAGGAAGAATGAGCATCTTCAGCATTTGAACAAAAAGATCGCCGGGAAACCGCAGGTAAGAGAGGTGGCGCTTTGACCAGGCATTACTGGGATCTCGAAGCGCTAAACCCATTACGACTCCGATCGCCACGCCGGCGACCGTGAACAGCAGCAGCATGTTCTCCTTTGACACACGCGCCATTCTGTATTTTGAAAAATAAAAACAAAACAATTAATGGACAATTTAGAGATAAACGGATCAAAGCATACAAAAATATGAATTCATAATGCATTCAGAAACTGAAACACGGAAAAAGTGGTTATTAGGAAAGTATGAATTAGAATCATCTCGAGGAGCGTCTATCTTTCACCGCACGAGTTACTTCCGCGAACAAAAAAAAAGAAAAAAAATTTCATAATAAAGCCGTGGTGTACAGTCAAAACATGATTTTTTTCAGAAATTGACTGATTCGTGAAGGCTGATGATAAACACTAAAAAAAGTTTTTTTCAATTCGACTTGGATCGATAATTTCTCGGAATAGAAATTGAAAAAAAGAAATAATATTGAGAGATTCAAAGATAATTTTTATTAACCAATAAATTAACACCGTATCAAAATTTATCATGGATTAGCGGTTCTGAGAGAATTATTACAAGCAAAACAACAGGCGTTCTGCTTTTTTTTATGCTCTTGATTAAACTAATTGTTTACATCTTTTGTGATCATTCCGACACTCATTATCAAAGAACTGGCAAAAGCAAAAAAGTTCATTTGAACTAAGAACAGGCGGATTAGACGGCTTGATGATCAGTATAGTCCTTCAAGTGAACAGAGCTCTTTTTAAGCTTTCGCAAACCTGGAAAATTTTTGTTCTACTAAAAGCGACGTTCTCCAGATAAGCTATCGAGGCGATTCGTCATTAAAAAGAACACCGATGTACGACAAAATGAGGCCAGGCTCGCTCAGAGAAAAAGTGGCAAAACAGCTCATCGCTGGAGTGTTTGTTTGTCTGCGAAAGATCTGATCCTTGCGATTTATCAGCTTTTTCTCTCAGATCTTCTACGCAAAATGCTCTGTTTCCATTAAACTTCGCTCAAAAATTAATTCTATAAATACAGGAATTGACTGGATGAAAGGCTTCAGGCAAACTTATATACTCATCATTCAAAAAAAGAGGACTAAGAAACGGCCAACAGAAAGCGAGTGAGTTTCATGAGCTATCAGAAACAAAAATTAAAAAAATGAATTTTCAAGAATTTTTTTACGTAGAAGCAAAAAAACTTGTTCGAAAGGAGTAGACAACAAAAGCTCAAAAACGAGAATTGAGTTGCCCCTTTGCGGCCCACCTGCGACAATTGGACGTGACACTTTGGCGGTGCCTCGCCTCTTCAACTGCTTTTGGGACAAATCTGGGGCAATTGCTAGAAAAAAATGTTGATTTCGAGGTTGTTGCGGCTCTTGGTCGCTTCAATCTGGTCTTTTCAGACGAAAAACCAGAAAGGTAGACGTGGTAGCACAGAAGAAAGATCACAAACTTTTGGAAGGTCTTGTGATAAAGAGCCTGAGTTAATTGTCGTCCTTGAATGTGATTACGGAGACTGAGCTTCCCGTTAACTCTAACTTCAATGCGAAGACTTATCACACAGCGTTCCGATTGTACATTTCATAGAAAAATTAGGAGAAGGTTTGATTAAAATAGAAAAAAACATTAATGATCTATAATTGCATCTAATGGAAGAAGACAGACAGAGGGCAACCGGATAAAATGGGAAATTCGAAAATGAATGAGAGTTTCTGCGCGTGCTCGAGGTGCTCGCGGAACTAACCATTCATCAAAGACATTGCAAAAAGATCCTCGCAAGTACAACAGAACGGTCTTTGTCTTAGGTTTTTTTGTCTACAACGTCGTCGCAGCTCTTTTTGAAAGTTTTTTTGTCTCCAGCGGAGGGTGGGAAGTTTTGAAAGTTTGTTAGAAAAAAATGGATAAAAAGTTATTAATAAAATAATTTGAGCATTAAAAAGTAGTTATTTCAATGATCTTGTTTTTTTGAGATCTTGAAAAGTCCTCTTTTCGCCTTCGTGAATACTTCCGAAAAAATAAATCCGCTCAAAAAAGAAAAAGTTGACACAGAATATAACGGCAAAAGCAGATAATTTTACACCAATTTTTGTTACACAAAAGAAAAACGGTGAAAAAACTATGTTCAGAACGCTTAAAACCGAGATTCACCGTGGTCAGGAAAAAAAATTCCGCTTATCTTTTTTTCATCGTTTCTTCCGTTTTTTTAAAAGAGACATGAGAAAAAAACTAGTAAAAAAACAAATTGGATCACTTTTTTTAAACTTGTGAAAAGATTCATTTTTTTAATTCGTGACTTTTTTGTAAACTCGAACAGCCTCTGCTCCTTGAAACAAAAAAACTATTTGGGAAAGAAGACGACGCCGCCAATCTTGATGTTCTCCGACACTGGTCTCTAACGGAAGCTTTGATATGCATGAGTTCGTTGCTTTTTGTTTATACGTAGTTTTTTTTTCAACATTTCTCGTTTCCTTTTTTTCTAGTATGTTTTTCTCTAGTTTAATCTAATGGACGATCATTTCTCTTTTGCGTCAGGAACAAGAGCTTTTGCGTCAGAATTTCAAGTGGCACATATGAATAGCAACATTCGAAACGCGAGACGAAATTTGCGAAATTTCCAGGATTTTATATCTCTTTTATAGGGTTTTCATCAAAGGAAAGTTGTTATCTCAAACCAAGGGGATCTTTATCTCAAACAGTGACGAGAAAGGATTTTCTATGCAACATTTTTTTTGGCGAACTAAAAAAAATCTTTGGAAAAACGTTCCTTTTGCTGTTGATATCACAAAATCTAAGAAGGAAATGCGTTTCGCTCTGAAGAGTGTTAGTCATATTTTGAAGAGAGGGAAGGCATCTCAGTCATCCCCGTTGTTTATGATTTGGACACGCCGGCCATTACTTGAAGTGCCACGTGCGGTAATAACCAGTAAAGAAATAAATGACCTAACACTTTTTAAGGCAAAAAAAACTGCAAATTGAGGAAAGTCGAGGCAGACAAGCTTCGTTTCCTCCTGAGGACCACAAGAAGTTTGCGCCGGATGTTGCGTCACAATGGCTGAGATTTCAAGCGGTCTTTGAACTTAGTAAATTGTAAATTGGACCCTTTTTGAAATATGGAATCACTCTTGGTAGGCCAACTTCGAGCAAAGATATATAGAAACTATAAAACAACACTGACTCAAATTGAATCGGAAACAAAAAAATTATGTTCTCTTCTTCGACGAGCTGATCACCTTTGAACCGCGCTGTGAGACTGAAAACCCTCGGAAAATGAAAAAAAATTATTAAGAATTTCAGACTTTCTCGGTAGACTTATCATTATCGCAGTAGAGAAACAAAAAAATATAAAATTTTTCGAAAAAAAGAAGGAGAATAGCCACGAAGAATTGCAGGAGAAACCCCCTGGGTAAAAAGAGTCAAGAGGATTCACTAACTAGCGCAAACATGCCCAAGTCAACAATCGTTTAACAACTCATTGTTCGACATTTTGAATACTATTAGCTGAAAATCATCTAGTAGTAGAAAAAGTGGATTTATGGCTTTGAAGCACGTGGTGGAAACAAGACCGAAAAAAACGCAAAAAAGGATAGAAATTCCGTTTCATTGCGTTTGCAGCATTCTATATTCTAGCTCCCAGGAAGCCTGATGACTATTTTCCGAGTTCTCAACAGGAAAGGAAAATTTTAGGATTTTCAACTGAAACTAATCGAGAAAAAATATATATTCGGATTGTAATTCGAAAAAGTCAGAGAGCGTCCAGACGCCGTCCGACACAACTGGCCAAGCTTTTGAGCAATTTGTCACTCACCTCTCTATGATAAATCGCGCCGGGCAAACTTTTGCAAAGGTGCCGAGCCAATGTGAGCCACGTGGAGAAAGCATGTTGAATCTGATAGAAGTTCAAGAGAGCGACGGCCATTTTCTCTGCACTAAGGGGCTCATTTTTTCTTTTCCTCATGTTCCAATTCAGAAAATTAAGCGAACCTTTTTTTTCTTTTTATGAGAAGGAGAACAGAAAAACAGTTCCATTATTACTCTTGTCGGAGAAGGTTTCTCTTGAAGATTAATTTTAACTTCAAGAGAGACCTCTTTTTTTCTCAGTCTATTATTGGTAAAAATTTTCGGCTCTTCTGAGATTTTCCACTCTTGGTTTTGAATCGTTTTCTGATATGATAGGAAAAGCTAGATCAGGTGTTAGAGACATATTCTTTTTGATTTCTCAACTACTGAGTGATAACTGTTGTTGGATCTGGGAAGTAGCAGTGCTGAGTATTGATGATTCTTTGAAACCGGGATCATCTTTGAAAAAGAAAGAGGCTCGTGGGATAAACATTTTCAATTTCAAGTTTCGCGTTTGTCATTTACTTTTTGAAGTTTGAATTGGATCGCAAACATGCAAAAAAAAATTTTTTTGGAGAGCTTAATTTTTTTTATTTTGACTTTTAAAGGATAAATGGCTTGAAAGTTTGAAAAGAAGGCTAGAAAGCAATGAGTAAGGAAGAAACAAGAATTCGCCTGCCATCCGCACATGAAAACACGCCCAGCAATATCTGCACATGGCATATGCCACAAAAACTTGGGCTCCTCCGAGCGAGTTAATATTCGCTTATTGAAATCCGCGAACTGTGTGAGCTCTCCATGAGCCGGGACTTGTGTGTTTTCGCTCACTGGCCGCCAGGCTCAGTGAATGAGAAAAATCTCAAAGGCGCACTACAAACACAGAATGAAAATTAGGTTCCGTTTGAATGGGTGTCAAAAAAAAACGGGTGAACTGCAAAACAACCTTGAAATTCTGTTTTTGCGGCTGCGTGAGTCTCGACTGTTTAGAAAGCTTCTGACTGTAGAAAAATCACGATTGAGCTCATTTTTATATTACTTCTGCAGAATTTGATCCATTTGTGACGTTTCCTTTGGGTCGTCGCCTTTTTCAATCTTTTCTGAACCAATTATCAAAAATTAATTTTGCCGCAAAGAGAGGATCGAAAAAATCTTTTTTCTCTCTGAGAAAATGCAACGTTTAAATCATAAATTTCTCCTCTCAAAGTTTTTCATCATTCAGAGTTTTAACTTGTAGATGAAAGACCTCACAAACATTATTTCTTTGCAGAGTTGTTATCTGTT